GGAGGCTGTAAAGCTTCCGTCCAACAGCATGGCAGATAACATCCACATCTGCCTCGATAATCTCGCGGTTGCGGGTAGGCTCATCTGTCCAAGTCCCGGAAGCAGTCAAGCAAAATTCACCGCCTTCCAAGAGCTGTCCAAAACCTGGTCACAGAGAGAGCGAAAACCCTGGACATCCCCGGGACAAGTGTATATCTGGTGGTGCCCAGGACACGTAGGCATCCCCGGAAACGAAGAAGCAGATGCCCAGGCCAAAGCGGCCTGTGAGCAACCACCCAAGACACAACACCCGGCCTCATTCGCACATATAAAGAGAATCGCGAGATCCTACACTTGGAAGAGTTTCAACGATCGATGGGCCACTACCTGCCCTCAACAGTATCGAGATCTAGGGATCGCTATCCACCCGCGACCCCCCGAACTTGGCCTGCCCCGGCAACACCTAGGCAGATTACTCGCAGCGAGGTCGCACCACGGGGATTTCGTGACCTACCACGAGAGACTCCAGCATCGCGACGCACTGCTCAACTGCGGGTGTGGAAAGACAAAGACACCAGTCCACTTCTACTTTTGCAAGCGCGGCCGCAAGGCCACGCCCGGTCATCTAAAAGCGCATATGGCCAAGAATAGTATAGATTCCCTCCTAGGCACGGCCAAGGGAGCTCGTTTGTTTTGTCAATGGGCGGAGGAGACCAATTTCTTTACTGAGATCTGCCCATCGCACTGAACAGGAATGTTAGATGAAGACAGTCCCCTGTAACATAGATTCGACTAGCATAGACCATGCCGGCACTGCGCCCGGCACGTCTCACGCGATGAGACGTTAAATTTCAATCAATCAATCTATTAGATAGAATATCATGCTTTTACAACCTCACAAATATTCGACCACCTTTGCGTGTAACAACATACAACACTAGGGATTCGCTGGTGGTCACCCACCTAGCTACTAATCTAGCGGTTTACACTCTTGCATTTGGGAATACCGGTGTCCAGAAGTGGATGCTTTTAACATTAGAAATAGCAGTAGATATTGACGACGGGCAGTGAAACCACCCGCAGGTTTAAGGTGTAAGATGATGGCAACGAATAACAAGATCCTCAACAAGACCTTACTATCCGGGAGGTGGAAAGAAATAACAAGATCAAGGGCTCCTTGCCCTGATCGGAACGACAAGTACCTCAACAGGTACTAACAACTGTAGCCTCAGCAGGCTGGGGAAGAAAAGGAACCTCAACAGGTCCTTGAACAATCACCTCAACAGGTGAAAGGTGGGAACAATGGCCTCAGCAGGCACAATCAGATCTATAGGGGCAACAAAAGTACCTCAACAGGTACGTCAGACATTGAATGCCTGTCCAAGTAAAGACAAATTGGTTCAGATTACTGTGGAAAAGGCCGTTTGAATTCCTATATTTTTCTCAAGAGAGTGACTATGTACATAAGGTCTTAAATACCCTTCAAGAACGCGCTTACATAACTCGTCTGAAACCGGAAAAAAAACGAAAACGAGCACCGAAAACCCCTAACCCCACGTCAATATTCCCGAGGCAACACCCCTATTGTCAGGGTACGGCTAGGCCGAAGGCAATAGTACAGAGTGACGGGGAGTAACGGGCGTCCCTCCTACGTAGCACCGGGTGGTCACGGGCGGTCACTGGCGGTCTCAGGTAGGGGTGCCCACGATGATGCATTGATCTCTACTCCTTCCCTATCCTACTTCGAGATGGTCCTTATATAGATAGCTGACCTCCGGACGCGTTTAAATCGAAGGATCGACTATCAGAGAGTCCTCTGCGAAGACCCTGACGCGTATCGCGCGTGGTTTGACCTGGTACGGAATACAATTGCGAAATACGCGATCCAGGAGGAGGATATCTATAACTTCGACGAGACCGGTTTTGTGATGGGCCAAATCTCGTCCGAAATGGTCGTGACGACTTCTGATCGGCGTGGAAGGCCTAGAGCAGCCCAGCAAGGAAATCGGGAATGGGTTACAGTTATTCAAGGCGTTGGGTCGTCCGGTTATGCCCTCCCTCCGTACATCATTTTCGCCGGCAAAACCCACCTCTCGTCATGGTACGAAAACATCCCATTACCGCCTGATTGGGTTATCGCAGTTACTAAAAATGGCTGGACTACGAACGAGAGAGGCGAAGATTGGATAAAACACTTCGATCATCACACCAAGTCTCGTACGAAAGGTACTCATCGCCTATTGATCCTCGACGGTCACGAAAGCCATCACTCGACCGATTTCGAGGTATATTGCAAAGCTAACAATATCGTCACGCTTTTTATGCCTCCTCATTCGTCGCATAAGCTCCAGCCTCTTGATGTTGGTTGTTTTCGCGGGTTAAAAAGAGCGTACGGAAAAGAAATCGAAGATCTCATGCGAGCACATATAAGTCATATCTCGAAAGAAGACTTTTTACCGGCGTTTTTAAACGCGTACAACGCAACTTTCACGGTTTCAAATATCCAAGGAGGTTTCCGAGGGGTAGGAATAGTTCAGTACGATGCAGATTATGTCATATCACAGCTCGATGTGAAATTACATACGCCAACACCTCCGGGTAGCTCGGCTGGTCTCCCGGTCCCTTGGGAATCAAAGACTCCGAACAACCCAACCGAAGCCCAATCACAAACCCATTATGTGAAAAATAGGATTGTATGACATCAAAATAGCTCACCAACGTCAATTTTTGCTGGAATAGATCAGATTGCGCGAGGTACAACGAAGGTTATGCATCGGCTTGCCCTTTTAGAAGGCGAGGTCGAATCACTTCGAAAGGCAAATGAGACCTTACGTCGACGTCGCCGTGCGAAGAAAAAACAGCTACAGAGTGGAGGGTCACTTCGTATACGAGATGGACAGGACCTACAGTCTCAACGAGAGGTTGATGGGCAGTTACATGACGAATTTCGTCAAATTGGTGGTCGTACGAGGCGTTTATGATTAAAATATAAATTAAAATAACCGTGTACGGCGCTGTAGAATCTGCGGCGAGCCCGGACATAATGCGCGCACTTGTGGAAATGATGTAGAGACGTCTGAAGATAACGATTCTGAGTAGTTTCAATTGATGATAGGCGTTGTGGTTGAATTAACTTATACATTGTCGTATAAGGTCTGCCAAAGTGTGCAATTGGACCGTGGACTACGTTAGACAATTCCCGTCTTATCTAACGTCCCACACCTACATCCGGGACACCCCACATGTGGGACGCCCTAAAAATGACACTGTATATTATAACCATTAACTTCAACCTTTTTTTACACTTATTCTAATGCGACTACAATACAGTTTTCACCGTCACTAGGGTTTTCAGACTCGCTAGACTCATCTGTACTATCCTCAATTTCACCAGCCCCGATTTGAGCCTTCCGAATAGCCTTGATATTAGTAAACTTCGAATTCGGGCTCACCTTGACCTTCCTCCGCTTCCTAGCCCTACTAGCCTCGAGCTCTGCCTCTATTGCCTCAATCTTTCGCTGTGCGACAGCTAATTGGTAGTCCTTCTCATCAAAGCCCTTTTGAACTTTCCGAAAGAGTAGCCGCTGGGTATTTGGATCACTATCAAGCTTGCTGAATAAGCTGAGTTGATCTTGGAGCTCATCTCTCCTCCTAGGCGTTGACCAGGCTACTGCTGATATCTCTAACGCCCAGTCCTGACTACCCTTACTATCAGAGTACCCTTTGCAAGTCTGACTAGGCTGTCTGATTGGTGCTGACGTATTCTCAAGGAGCAGGGGGCTCATAAGGGGTCTAGCTAAGCTCGAAGGCCAGAGACCAGTATATTTCTATCCACTGATAATGTTCTTAGCGGTCAATGCTGCTAGACGTGCCTTTCTATAGCAGAGGAGAAAGTTTCTCTTCCCTACGGCAGTAGTAGTATCCCATCGGTCAAGGTAACCAAGCTCCTTCTTATAGGCTGCCTTGAGGGGTCCAAACACTGACTGATCGAGAGGCTGGAGAACGTGGGATGTGTGTGGCGGCAAGAAAAGCAAGTGTATCTTGTTTATGAAGCAGAGGTACATAAACTCTGTCGTTTCGTGGCTACTATGCCCATCTAGGATAAGTAACCTAGTCTCTTCAGGGTCCTCTGGTTGAGTCAAAGGAATAAAGATCTTTTGTAGCCACTCAATAGCGTAGAGTCTGACGTCCACCCATTCTCTGTTGCTGTAAACCTCCAGGCTTCGTATGGAGTCAAGTCCAGAGGAAACCACTGCTGCTGGACAGACTTCCCCTTGTATATCACAAGTGGGTGTAGTGCAGTACCAGTCGCCGAGATACACTCTATAAGAGATGTCCAAGCTCGAGATCCAGGCTGTTTCTTCCGTATAGAACGAGTCTCAGATGATCCTAGAACAAGACCATTTGATCCTCTACCTTCTAGAATACCTGTCTCATCCATATTGTACCGATTCGAGGCCTTAATAGCTTTGATCTCAGGGATAGCGAGGTATTTGAACCATTGCCTGATCACATTAGCTGAGGCTCCATTAATACGCTGGGAATCGATAGCTCTGCTTCTCTGGACCTTGACTGAAGGGTTACTCTTGATAAAGCCTGGACCCAAGTGGTTCGGTGTCTCCGTGGATCTGTAGGATACGCTCGGCGAAGTCTTTGAGCTGTTGATGGGTTGGTGGGAAGCCTAGGGCAGCCTGGATTCGAACCCATTCAGCCAGATGAGATTCCTGGGCTGGAGAGAGCCTCTGGTAGTCAGCGAAGGCTATATCTCTTGACTGGGCTCCCTGAATCTGTCGTGAAAGAGTAGACCTTGGGACACCATGCTCATATGCTGCTTTTCGGAAGCTTTGACCGGTAGCTATTGCTTGAACAGCTCGATAAATATAATCTTCGGTATATTGACTCATATTAGTGTAAATAAGACGTATGTAAAACTTTGTAACGATTGAATCGATATTGGTAAAGATAAAAGAGGTTGAAGTTAGAGGCTAGCGGTGTTGATGAGGCATTTTTGGGTGTCCCACATGTGGGGGTGTCCCGGATGTGGATGTGGGACGTTATGGGTTGAACAATTGAGGCCCATCAGTTTGAATAGAACCATGATCGGAGATGTGGGATTTATGCGTGGCGCCGTTTCGCGACTTGATCCAGCATTCAGTGATTTAAAACAACAGTATCTACTCCCGCCTCCCGGCCGGAATGCCAGTCTGGGCATTCTGCCTTCCGATCCTATTTGTCGGGACACCCAGCAGGCCGTCAGTAAATTCAACACAGGCCACCCTCCATTAAAAAGGCGTGGCCGGGCGACTTCATAGCCTTGCAATATCAAGAGAACGGACATGTCACTCTTTGGGAGAATAAGCCTAGAAACTTTGCGGTATGGATTTATGGCACCTCATCACCTTCTGAGTATGATCGTCTCCTTTCTATCCACCGCGTCTGGGATAGGTCTAGAACGGGAGGGGATAAAAAGGGTGTGCTTTTGGCCACCCGGTCTTTCGACGACGGTAGATGTTACCAGATCAATCATGAGCCAATTTCTTCGGCACGCCAGAAAACTTACTTTAAGGCCCTTATGAACCCTCAGGGCGCTGATCTGTGGTACCAGAACGATTTGCGACTTTCTACGAGCATTCATGATAACTATACGCTGTACTGAGTTTGGGAATGGCCGACTATCTCTACCGATACGATCTCTCAAGGCCGAATGGAAGTTTATATGAGTTGTATGGATGTTCAGATCTTATCGGGCGTTCAGAATGGGACGGTCGTATTCGAGGAGGGCCCAGACCTGAACTTCGCCGGTATTGAGGAACAGATGCTTACAAGTTAGATGTCATAAATGAGTTCTATAATGTCACAGCAATAGTCTTTTCCTGGCCAAGTCTAAAGCAGGTTTTTAGTCAATATATCTCATCACATGAAAATTTTCTCCCAATCCAAATATCTCAAGTGGTATACAGCTTTGAATACCAAAGCACTCCCGTAGGTCCTCCTCAAGGCCCGAAAAGAAACGGTGGTTGTCTACCATCATAATCAAGGCTTTGAAACTACCTTATGCTCTTTCTTGTCTACTTTCGTCACGCGAGAAAACTCTTGCAACTGGGACTTTGGCAATGTCAGAGATGAGGTGTATACACGTGTTATTACATTAAGGTGTTTTCACTTACCTGTTGGGTTTTGGTGATCTTGAAAAGACTTATAGGTCTCCTCTTCTGGACAGAGGATGAACGGCCTGCTCTTTTCAGGATATCTTTCCATGACCCCGCCTCCTTCACTTTCCATGTCTGCCTTGTGGTACGCCTGGGACGGCATTGCGAGGAAGCATTTTCATATTGCTGATACCGGGTGATACTGTTCTTCTCAGTCGGACTTACGGGTGGGTAGACGAGTGGATCAAATAAGGAATTCCATGGCAGCTCGATGTCGGCATGGCTTGTATCGTGGTTGTCAGGTTCTTTGTCCCCGTGATTGTGCTCTGTGGTAGGCTCAGACAGGCTAAAACCTGGCTGGCCGCTAGCCGTACGTGCAAGAGAAGCCATTTTGCGTTAAAATCAGCCAAGAAAGTTAAGAGAAAGGGGGGCAAGCATAGGGGACATTGTGCTTTATAGGGGGCTTCTAATCAGGAGAGCCTTTCGGATCGACCGACTAGGATCCTAGCACATCCCTCGCCACATGAGGAGCAAATCTCTCTACGTTTTTAAAGATACACCGAACTAACCTGTCTGGTACGGAGGACGCTAGGGGTGGATTGCCTTCCATAAATATCCAAGATGGAAATATAGCTAGGTGGTCTACAGTCTGAATGATAATACCCTTTGGGATGTCTGCTAGTTTCCTTAGGTGGATTAATGACCCAAGGCGCTCCCAGTATAGAGTGAAGGCCTGGATGATCTCGACGACGTGTTGCTGGTTGTAGCACTAGGACTAACAGTATCCTTGACCCAATGTGATCCCTGGGTTGATGACCTGATAGATCATGAGGGGGCAGGCGGTGCACCCACTTGATGGCGATGCTACGTCAAGTAAATGGGAAATTTGGCAGCAAACCAGAGCCCTAGGATATTCTATACCTTCCCGAAACTTCCACCACTGTCAGCCTTTACATATGAGGCAGACTTAGGAACTTCCTCTTTATCTGGCAAGTCACAGCCACCTACCGATGGGAAGAGAGCACCAGGGGTTGTTTTGAGCATGCAGTATGTAGCTACCAACAGAGTATTCATGGCAACCGAAACCATTCATTCCTTGCTCCATTTCAAACTTAGGTCCTCTGCCTAATTATGAGGTGCCGAGCCAACGCGGAGATAGAATGCGGACTCGCCCTCCGTAGCACCGGGCTTGTTAATCCCAAAGCACAGGGCGTTATAGGCCGCCTCTGGAATAAGCTCGTCGACAAGGTTGTTGTTGTTCGAATCGCGGGTAAAACGGATGGCATTCTGACCCTCAACTCGCTCGGGCAGCTCCACGCCGGTGTTCTTGGGACCCCAATCTTCTACAAATAAAAGTCAGTTGATATGTGACGAGATGAAAACTCAATCAAGGTTGCACGCTTACCGAACTGAGGCCGCATCGGAATGCTGGCATCGTCGATGAGAATCTGCACAGCCGAGACTTTAGGCTCTTCTCCAGCATTCGGATTCAACAGCTTCTCGCCGTCAAACAATCGCAGATAGCTTTGAACAGCGCGGAGGGCAAAGTCGACATCGCCAGGACGTTCTTTGGTCGCATCCGAAATCGTGGAGCAATAGCCGACCACGGCGTCGTATGGAGTCGTGTAGTTCACGCCTCCGAGAGAGAGGCCGAGAGAGAGGCCGTGAGCTACTGCGCAGCGCGTAGTCGATACGCCTGCGTTGTTGTCACTGGCAGCCGCAGCCAGATGCCATGTTGACGACATTGGAGTGGATTGCTGTTGGTGAAGTGATGATAGCAGAAGCAGGGGTCGGTGTTTGTCATAGAACAAAGAAGTTGGTGTCTGAAAAAGTACCTATAATTTTCAAGCCTCAATAAATCACATGGTGTCCGAGGGGTCATTTTTGCCTTTCGCAGCATTGCCATTACCGGATGACTCCCATTTCCCCTTCATCTTGAAATCGACGTACGTGAGACTGATCGAAGTCTGCACATCCCATCGGTTCTTGCCATGTCTGAACATCTTGGAGAAATCGAGCGACTCCGGCATGAGCTAGAACAAGCAAAGGCGCGAGAGGAACAGCTCAGGCTCCAGGTCCAAGAGACCACGCTGGGAGAGTATCTACACGACTGCCACTTTCACATTTTCAAAGCTCTCCGGATCGCCGACAAGTCCTTATCTTCCACTGGACATGCCACAAGGGTCGATGACAAGCGCTACCCCATGTGGCTTCGTCGTTGGAGCGACTTTACCGACCTCCAGCGAGACCATTTCGACGAGATCAACAGGGCCTTTGGTGACAAGAGATTACTTACTCCATCGATTACTACCCGCCATCAAAAGAAGGTCGCCTGCCGGGCTCCGGTAGCTACTAAAAAAGACATCGACATTTTCAAGAAAGTTACAATCAAATCACCTATATGCGAGATATTCCAGAAGCTAGTCAAAGCCGATCCCTACATATACAGGACGTTCAACTTCACCGAGCTAGGATTCAGTAACAATAGCCGCGAATTGAAGCGGCAGGGCAACGTCGATCAGACCGGAGATTCGGAGCAGGGCCAAGAAATACAGGGGCGCCGACGGCGATCTGGACCAAGCAAACGAGTCGCGTCCGAGCAGAAATTCCAGAAGCCAAGCTACCCTGACAGGCTGGGCATCCGCAAGCACCTGGGAGGTGACCCGAATTTGGTCTTCGTTTACGACTACAAGGCGGCTCATAAACTTACGGTCGAAGATCTCACGTCAGCTCTTATCAAGGAGAAGCTATCTATGGAGGTCGTTCAACGGGTTAACTTGGATACAACCAAAACGGATCCTGAACTAAACGGCCGAGATAAGGCGGAGAAACAAGTTGCTATGGCTTTGACACAGGTGTCTGATTATATGGTTCAACGTGGGGTTGCGTATGGCTATATCACAGCCGGCAAATCCTTAGTTTTGCTTCATATCAGACAAGACGATCTACGGACATTATAGTATCACCTTTGTGTGCCAGATGAAGAAGCGACTGGCGGAAATAGAGATTTTAAGGAATCCTATACCGCAGTAGCTCAACTAGCAAGCTTCTGCCTCTTGGCTCTTAGATCCGACGCTCTCCAAGGACCTGCGCTCAGCAAAGCTGTCGAGAAAGCAAAATCAGAACTACAAATTTGGCCGAAACCTTACAAGGAAGCGGAGGAATATGTCAAGGCTGAGAACATGGATTCTTCATCACCGGCGCCATCATCGCAGGTAACAGCTGGGTCATTATATGAGGATAAGTCGAACATACAACTCACGGCTCGAGAATTCTCCTTACGATCAAGATCGACCTGCCAAGACGCCACGGCGATTCGAAGAGATGACGAGGACGATGACGAGGACGAAGACGACGGCCCCTCCCGAGCTCTGCCAAGAATGCCGGGAAGCACCGGTGCGAACAAGCGGAAGGAAGGGCCGTCGAGCAGCAGCTCCGAGGACGATAATCAGGGGACGTCATCAGACTCTGATTCTCCACCTACTAGGCAATACTGTACGCAGGCTTGCTTATTAGGTCTTAAGAGAGGATGGGATCTTGACGAGAATTGCCCTAACGTGTCCTTACATCGCACTGTCGTAAGTAGCACTCGATACCCTATTAACGCTAGCAAACTTACTTCCCTAGTTGGGGAACGGCTGCACCGAAACCCGTATCGAGACTGCGTCGCACTAGACCCTTACGGTCTCCAAGGCAAGATTGGGGCGATAGGGGCACTCTTCAAGGTTGAACTAGCGCAGTATGGCTACACATTCGTCGGCAAGGGGACGCAGTCGGTCCATTTTCAATATTTGCAACATGAGAGCGTGGTTTATTCGCAGCTTGAAAGGCTTCAAGGCGAGGTGGTCCCGGTGTACCTAGGGATCATCAACCTGGCCAGGCCCTGGGGTTATGTCCTCCCCGGCGGGGCCTGTGTCGTTCACATGATGTTGATGTCGTGGGCCGGCGAGGTGGCAGCGGATGTAAACGTGCCGGACTTAGCGACGGAGCGGAAGCGCTCGTCGCGAGCCGTGTGGGGCGAGGGGGTGGATCATAATGATGAGCGCGAGCCTAACATACTCTGGAACTGGGAGCGCCACCGCGTTATGCTCGTCGACTTTAACCTTGCCGCCCTCCGACCAGTCGTCAAACATAAACGATTGTCGAAGTTGTCTAAGATGGGTAAAAAGAGAAAATCGGAAGAAGGTATTCTTGAGATACTTGGCCGGAAACGTGTAATGATGGGAGGGGACAGTCAGCAGGGGTTAGGAATTTCTGCCCCGCACGTACACCGTATATATCCAAACTACGGCGCCTACTTAAGGTACGTATTCACTCACAATATACTACTTCGGGGTTTAGTAGAGTCTAGGGAAAAGAGAACGTAGTACGGCTAGCTGAAATAGTATATAATACGCTACGATTCACCTAATCTCATAGTGTAGTAATTACGAGTAATCCACTCCAAGTATACGTATCGACACTGATCTTTAGCCCTAACCAGAGTATTCTACGGAATTTATTTCGAGGGGAAGAACTAATATAGATAACTAGAAAACCAATAATAGAAGATAACTAGAGTGCCTGTTTACTGACGCTTGAGGGCCATACCAATTCGGTCAGTTCGGTGGCGTTCTCGCTCGACGGCAGGCTCGTGGCCTCGGGTTCAGACGACCAGACCGTCAAGCTCTGGGCCGCCGACACGGGCGCGCTGCAGCAAACGCTCGAGGGGCACAGGTCTCTCGTCAGGTCGGTGGCGTTCTCGCCCGACGGCCGGCTCGTGGCCTTGGGTTCAGACGATCAGACCGTCAAGCTCTGGGCCGCCGACACGAGCGCCCTGCAGAAGATGGTCGATATTGGTATTACATCACGAAGTCTACTATTCGATAATAATAGCTAATATTTCCTAACTGACGCTGGTGCTATCGCTATTTACGCCTCACAAGAATCGGGTCTGATAAATAATATCACCAACTTATCTCCAACGAACAATGAGACTGCACCTAAGCTTATTCAAGGCGATCGCCTAGGATATGGTCTAAGTATAGACCGGAGCTGGATCACGCACTATGCACAGAGAATTCTCTGGTTGCTACCAGACTTCCGGCTATTATGCTCATATATATTTCGGTCGACAGTGGCTATTGGTTGTGGCTCAGGTAAGGTTAGTATTATGCGTTTTTCACGAGGATAGATTCGAGATTATAGCTGTTAAGTGAAATCTTGGAAACATTTATACACTCTATTATTTTTATTCACCTTGCAGAGGAGGGTCCTAGGGGAGGGGTTGTATATATACTCATAAGTGATATTTCTAGTGCCTCCGAGCATATTTGACAAATACCTTTGATAACATAACTGTGGAAAACAGTGTTCAAGCCCTTTTGTCTCTTTGTCCTTTGGGTTTTAAATCCCATGCCCCTCGTAGGGTACACTTGTTACACGCAAAGGTGGTCAAAGATTTGTGAGGTTGTAAAAAGCATCATTCTATCTAGTCCTATGGAGCACGAAGGTTGGACTTAGTCCCGAAGGGCTAAGTCACGTGGTAACCTTGGTGGTCTTGGCAAAGCCCACCAAGGTTGCCTAACAACACTGTACGAAAGCGGAAGCCGATTTACGTTGCCCCGCTTCCGCCCACGATCAATCATTGCCAGCACGAACAGTACCAAGCTGCAATTCTCAACCAACTGCGGTAAGCTAGATGATTGTGGTTCATTCCTGTGGCTCATACGCCTCATTTTGAATCAATATCATCACAAATGCAGAGTTGCTGCCGCTACACTCTACCACTACGTTTAGCTTCCCATGCGCCGCAATACTGAGCTGGCTGCCCACGACTCTTGGGACCGAACACTTGGGTAGAGACGATATGGGAGCGCTGTTTGCACACAAATATTCTTGCTTACAACTCATGGATGGTGAAAAGGTACATAGAATAGAGGATGAATGCGAAAAGAATCGATTCAATAGGAGTGAGGTTCAAAAATGCGTCAAGCCACATGCTATTAACGGAAACTGTCCATAAAATCATTTGCCATAATTTGGGTCAGTTTATTACGTTAAAATTAGTTGTGTAACGTTAGTCTTACTAATAAAGTTACCTATGTATTTCTTAACTCTTATCACGGAGTTAAACTAGGTTATTAAGCCGGGAATAATCTAACCGCATTGACCACCTTTTTGCATGCACCCCCATTTTGCAGGGAATTTCTACGCCTCAACAACACGACGTCTGTCAATTTACCTCGCAATTGCTCCCTATCTACGTACAAAATGGCTAATCCAGTGGAGAATAGTCTGGACGATTTTGAGCAGCAAATCGAACGCGCTAAAGAGCTTGTCCGTCAGGGCTCTTCCCAGGCCGTAGCAGCTCATCGGTACGGTATCAAGGGGACTACACTGTCCTACCGTATTCGTCACGGTAATTCGTATCGCGACGCGGCCTCCAGCAACAAAAGTTGACTCCAGAGCAAGAGGAGGTTATCGTGAACTGGATCCTATACGAAGAAGTGTGTGGACGGGCTCCTAGCAAGCGTTATGTGGCCGACTTCGCTGCCAAAATCCTCCTTGCTGTGACGAGGCAGAGGCACTGCAAGCTCGAATCAGGGTTGCGACATCAGTCTATCTCTGTTGACGAATACTAAACTGAAGAAGAGAGAGAAAGAGATCTAAGTGCAAGTGCCCTTTCCTACATTATAAGGAAAAGGGCAGCGCGTACAGGTGGGACACCCATACTAGGGTGTCCCTGTCTTCGTCCAGGGGCCCAGGGGCCAGGCATCGTGACCGGCGTCACACTTGCTCAAGGGGATAACAATACACTCGGCCAACACTGGGTGGATCACTTCGGTAGCCGCCATCCACAGATACGTACCAAGATTGGGCGCGTCGTAGATGCTAGCCGAGTTAGAGCGTCCGATTCAAACAAGATCCGAGACTTCTACACCCTCCTCGAACGCTTACGTACGAAGTATCGTATCAAACCCGACAACGAGTATAATATGGATGAGACAGGTGTCCAAGAGGGAGAATCTGGGCATGGTACGGTTATTGGGACGTCTAATTCACGCCGGGTACGCGTATCAAAGTCGGACGCTTCGTCGTGGTGCTCCTGGTTAGAGTACATTTCGCATACCCAACGGGGTACACCTGTCTGCGTATTTTCCGGCAAGAGAGTCCAAGCACAGTGGTTCCCAGACCAAAATATCCCTGAGTGGGAATACACCGCGACGAGTAAGTGCTGGAGTAATAAAGTTATCGCAAATAGGTGGTTAGATCAGGTTTTTCTCCCCGAGACGAAGCCTAGGGGTACCGAATGGCGACTCCTTATCCTCGACGGCCACCAGACACATATCCATGCCGAATTTATGTGGAAAGCCTACTCGAATAGAGTCTTCGTGCTGTATTTACCCTCACATTGCAGTGACGATCTCCAGCCGTGCGATGTCGGGCCGTTCTCACCTTTGAAGACCTACTACCGCCAAGAGCTCAGGGCTTACGCTTCCTACAAGGCTACAGCCCCAATTTACAAGCAACGTATGCTAGAAGCATATCTACGTGCTTCGGAGAGAGCCTTTACTACGGAAAATATTAAATCTGGCTGGCGGAAGACTGGTATATGGCCCCTAGGCTCCGAAGGACTAGTCGACGTATCTTGTGATCCTCCGGAGCCTCATACACCAGATCCTCCGTCTCATATATCACCACCTTTAGTTGCTTTTACTCCTCAGAAATCGCAGCAACCATCTAGCCAACTACAGTCGATAGAGAAAGCCGAGGGCGGGGTATCTCGTAAGATTCGTACCCTAGTAGGCAAGGCGGGCAAGGCCCTTCCACTCCAGGCCGCCGAGAATGCCAAATTACGTATCGAAAATGAGCAACTATATAAAGAACTCGATAAATACGCTCCAGATATACGCCAGCCCGTCGAGCCAGACCCGAATAAAGTATTCGTTAACTTATCAGTGATCCGAACAGCCCAGGACAAGCGAAATAAGCGAATACGGCCTATTTTACCGGATAAGCAGTTAGAAATTGATACTTTTCTCGAAGGAAGGGTCCCTCCTAAAAAGAGTGCTCGAAAGAATATATCTAAATCTTCGGACACTTAAATTAAGTATGTTCTGTATATAAATAATATGGACGAAGTATTTAGGTTGATTCAGTTAGACCCTGCAAAATGGGGGTGCATGCAAAAAGGTGGTCAATGCGGTTAGTATTTTGAACTCGAGCTTTCATTATTTTGATATTGTAGGTTGTAATTTTGCACTGATCTCTTCTAAGAAATTCTTCTCCTCGAAGGTGAGAAATACGTCATCCGGTATGACGATTTTTCCTCTTTCTATGATTAACTTAGATCCATAATGCGCATCACTAGTCATGTCGTCGTCGCGGTCTTGGGAAGATGAATGTTCCACCTTAGAGCCCAGTTGTATGTCTGGGTGACTTTGCCTATCACTTTCCTCAGCCGCGTGCCAATTCTGTCCGACATCTTCGGGAGACCACCAGTACGAAGGGTAACTTCTCTGGATATTATTCAGAAGTAGTGCCACGCACTTCATCAAGATGCAAGAGAGTATGATAACAGGAAATAGAAACCAGCCGAGCTTGGCTACGTCGTCGTTCACCACGGCTAGCAGGGCGGTGGCACCTCCAGGCGGATGGACAGTGCCTGTCAAGGCCATTATGGCCGTCGCGCAGGCGCAACTCAACGAGCCAGCCAGCCATAGCAGTTCTCCTGACCACGCATTGAGGGCGAACAGTTTGCTGATTGATACCCCGACCATAGATGCAATCAGTTGGCCGAAGATGGAGTTTCGTGGCTGGGCCAGGGGCGACTCAATGGCGTAGAACTCAAGGACTGCTACGGCGCCCTGTGGGCAAAGGTTATCATTTCGTCTTGCTTCAAACCATCTCAGTACTCCGTAAGCTGTGACAACTTACAAAACTTCCAATGATGACAGGGGCGCCGCGCTCCTGGAACGACGGGATCGCACGACCAATCAGCGCGACGCCGAGCAAGCTAACGAAAACGCCTATAAAGGCCCAGAATGCCAAAGCAACATTGCCGAGAGGACGCTGAGGCGTCGTTCTATGGCCGAGGAAGTGGGCGACTGGATAGGGGAGATGCTTCCATGGTGGACTCGGTACCCAGGGATTAATATAGCGGTCGATGCTGACGTTCCATTTGGAAGGGTTGAAGGGCATATGGCGTAATGGTAGTGGTCTCGTTGATGAGACCTATAAATCCGCAAATCCGATATCCCATGAAATACTTCGATAATGCAATGACGGACTGCTGGAATGACCCCAGGTTGATGAACCAGTGGATGACTTGCAGCCAAACTTTCGTTACCTGATTCTGAATTCAGATTGTTAAGAAGTAGGGAAAAACGACGAAACAGCCCGGACGACGTGTCTTAAACCTTCGAGCGCCCATCTTGTAGTCGCACTTCTGTTGTACCACTTGCATAAGTCCGCATAAGGTGATAACAGATGTTACGAAAACCTACGAGTCGTTGGTTTCACGAGGTTATCGGCCATAAGGTAATTATGAATAACACAATTCAACGCTATACGTGGAATTCGCGCACGCGATGGCCAATCGAAGATTTGCTTGCTTTATGTTTGGTAAAGAAAATTGCGAAAGTGAACTAAGACATCGTTTGTAGCTCGCGCACGAGCTACGCCGCTACGGCGGTGTCATCGGGGATTAGTTCCGAGAAATGGATTTCCGCGGAGCCGAGACTAGGCCTTAAGGGTCAAGGCGATATCGGGTCGCCTATCTCCTGCCAGCTCGCTTACGCTGCCGATCAGGATTCAATTTATAATCAATTAGACTTGAAGTTGTCATAAATAATGACCTAGGCAGCATAGAAGACATCAATGTCGGTTCAAGCCGATCCAGAAGTATAGAGTAGTGTTCCTTGCGGTGAATCAATGTGTTAATTGCATTCCAACATGTCCAACACTAAAAACCTCGGAGAACGCAGACTTAGAGCCTGGGAACATTTCGCGACTTTAGATGCGTAAGAATTTCGGCATGATGGGTCACTCCTGTCAAGCGCAGTGTCTTATTTATCGGAGACCATGTGAAATGAGACGAACCATTCCCTTGGCACCATAAAGGTACCCATCATACCCATCATCCACGCTGTCGGCTCAATGGGGAGGCCGAGCAGGAAAGCCCCTGTTTTCCACGAGTCATGTCAAGTCTGTGCACCCACCGTAATGAGACCTGCCAACTTTAGGAGTTCCCGTTTAGAAGGTCCTGGCCAATCATTTATGCATTCCCCCCTGTCCAAGAGAACCCGACATCCGTGGTGAGGCTGAATGTGGTGGAACCCAGTATCAAGATGGCAAGGATAGAGATATTATCAAAGGGCCCCAACCCCATGGTAACCTCGGATGGGAGCTTTTCAGGGACGTGTTTAGTATAGATTTGATCCCCCCAGAATCATTGGCGATGGCAGTGCTATTAATTTCCGCACATGTCCTCAGCCTAGCCTTGTTCCCGGTCTGTCAGACGGCAGCGCCCGAGGTGATCCGCCATACCTTGTGACACGCTATATTTTAGCTCGTCTGTAAATAGAATCGTATGGATCCAGGTCAAAAGGTGATGTTGTAGAAATAGCTATATAATTGAGGACTGCTCACCCCAATGTGGCACCAGATCCAGCTCCCTGTGTCGGATTATCTTTACATTCTTTAACCCCGACTTATTATATTCGTTTGTTCGCTAGTTCGTTCATTTATTCATTCATTTATTTGCCAAATCAGAAACACAATGCGCTGCTCTATTCCCGCTGTCCTTCCCGCCATTTTGGCTGCTGGTTCAGTCCAGGCTCTGGCTATTCCTACCGATGTCGATCTTACCAAGGCTGTGACTACGACCTGGGACGGTGCTAAGGTTCGTCATCGACCAGGCACAAGGTGTTCATGTTTGCATGTCGACTAACTTTCCCAGCGTGAGGTCGACCTGGCCACCCGAGCTCCAGTTGAAAAGCGCCTCGTTATTGCTACCATCCTCACGGCTGCTGCTACAGCTGCTGCTACAGCTGCCGCTAGCGAGGCTGCCGTCAAAGCGGTAGACGCAGCGGTAGACTTTATCAAGGATCGTATGTCATCCTAAACCCTCTGCCCCTGAGCAGGCGTCTTAGCGCCACTCACGTACGCTATCACTCCACCCCCTCCTTGTTTTATATGGACTATGATACCTTTCAAACCCTATAAACTTGCCTTCTGATTATGCAAGGAGGCATTACGTCTAACCGTCGCTAATGTCGAATATTGCAGTCGCCGACTGGGACGATGCCCGTGAGGCATTCACTCAGAACACCACGGCCACCATGTGGGCCAACAATCCCGACGTCAACTTGTACCCAGCGGCCATCTGCTACAACAAGGGATGGTCTGTTAAGGATTCATCTCTCATTTCCGATGTTGTCTCGGTCAAACTTGAGTTGGGGGTGCTGAACACTGAGTAAGTTGAAAATTGCCGGCTTTCGTACGGTTGTGATGATGTGTCACGTACTAGGTTGGTCACTAACAAATTCTCATCTAGCTACGATTGCATGTACATGCAAAGTGGCAACCAGTTTTACACTGAGAGCGAAGGCGGATTTATCAATCTGTCATACTCCTACAACGAGCTGTGCAGCTTCGATCAGGTCACCGGTGATCTGACCTGTAACTAAGAAACTCGGGAATGGTGATTTCGGACCAAGGGCATATGAACCACACTATGCTATGTGAACGATGGATATAAGAGTAGGAACTGTACTAAAAAGGTCCTTGCAATCGGTAGACTCTAATTCTTGTCGTACGCATCCTTAGGTGCTGTAAGATATATAATTTTACATATTTATCTAACTATAGGATATTGACTACTTTTCTCTAATGTGGTCACTTATTATCAAAACATAGAGATAATATTATTGTGACGAAAACTCAACTAGTCTAGCTGCTAAATACTAAAATGTCTGTAAGGGTTTATACTAGTTAGGACCGCGAATTAAGTCTTCTTTCCTTCTACTAGAGTAATGCTAACTACACTAACAAAATAGTCTTGCTGATAACGAAATAGCCTAGCACTAGGCCGCAACTATAGGCTTGCCGAAATTCAAACCTTCTGCGCCAACGTGTCAAGCTGATAGGGGCCCACCTCAATAATTCAGTCAACTTTGTCACTATACTAGTGCCCGTAAAGACACACGACACCCTAACCCAGCTCAGGGTTTTGCCTATCAGAGCCTGTAACTGTGTTTGCGCATGTGACCCGCTATATACATTGTGTTATATATCATGAACAACATCGACTAGCAACCGCTAGTACTTCTACAACCTCCAAAATCGATTAAAATGCTGACAGTTATGTATCCCGACCTACTTCCCAACCTGTCCGTCGTCCTTTTTATATCCCTACATGAGAGCGTTTAGGCTCCGTGGAAGACCGGGAAACGGTCCGCCGGGATATGTCAGAACGCATTCATACGGTATTAGTACAGGATAAATCATATTGAGTACTTCGCGGGGGAGGCTTAGGAACAGATACAGCCCTTGATGAATATTAAGAAGTTACTATTCCGTCAGAAATGAAGAAAGCCATAACTGGGGCATAGGAATTTACTTTGTCGTTGTGGAGATATATCAATAAAGAATGGCATTGGAGTGGTCAGGAGATATTTACGTACCTTCTGGTGGTTTGGGTGGGGAAAGAGGGCAAGTCCTTATTTGGAATCCTGGTTTCGAAATAACGCAAGCCTTTGGTCACTAGAAATCTTGAACATCACCAGTTATATCGAAGTGATGATACATCAATCTTCACCTCGTTGAAAACGCACACGTATCATAATTATAACATATGCCACACCTAAGCGTTCCAATTCACCTTGAAAAATTCAATCACATCCCCTGCCAATTCGTCGGGCTTCTCATAAGCCGCAAAATGACCTCCCTTTTCATGCTCTCTCCAAAATTTTATATTGTTCGCCGTCTCGGCCCACGCCCTAGGCACCATGCGAATTTCCTTAGGGAACGCACTCATGCCCACAGGAGACTTTAGAAAACTGCCTCCCAAAGCATCTCTCATGAAGTCCGACACGGGTGTAAAGTTCTCGCGGTACATCTGGAAACCGGTGGTTGGCCCTGGAAAGTAATGCAGGAGCGTCCAGGTGATGAGCTCGGTCGGGGTCCAAGGTATTCATCGGTCCAGACGAAGAGCTTGTCCGCCATCCAGGCCAGCATCCCAGCAGGGGAGTCATGCATGGCGTAGCCTAGGGTGCGGGGCTTGCTTTGGTGGACTTGAAAGTACGCGAACTCGGTTTGGAGAAGTGAGTTTACGAACTCGAGGGCACGCAGCTCAAAGGGTGTGTATTTGGGTTCCAGGTCGAGCTTTGGGGGTTCCAGCATAATTAGCTAGTTGGAATAATTAGCTTTTCTAGCAAGAGATATTGATGACAATCTGACTCATGGGAACTCATACCATGTTCAGGTGCAGCAGCTTGGCGTTGTCCGGGTGTCGCAACGCGATCGACCTCCCTACCATAGAGCCCCAGTCGCCGCCTTGGACGACATACTCGTTATAACCGATTCTGAGCATGAGTTTGTTCATGATGTCTGCATGGTGGAAGAGCTTCAGCCCTTCTCTTTCGGTATACGAGAAGAATCCATAGCCTGGCAACGAGGGCGCAACAACATCGAATCCGGCCTCATTCCACGTCTTCAAGACTTTCTGAACCTCAATGAAGGATCCAGACCAGCCGTGCAGGAACAGCAGAGGAATGGTGTCGGGCATGTTCGAATTAAAATGGACGAAGTGGATGTCAAAGGAGCCAAAGTCATCCATCTCGATGGCCGTCTTGAATTGTGGCATCTGGTTAATTTTGGCTTCTTCCTGTCGCCAGTCATACTCATCCATCCAGAACTTGACCGTTTCTTGGATAAGCCGGAATGTGACGCCATTCGATTCGCCCCATTGGCTGTCCGCAATACCAGTGGGCAGTCGGGTAAGCTTGAGCTTCTTTCGAAGCAGCTCCAGCTCGGCATCGGATATAGCTACCTACGCTTCGTTAGCGACAATCCACTAGACTTTGCTTGAAAAAGCACTTACTTGAAAAGGCTGGACGGAAATTTGGGGTTGGTGCTAGATTTCAATGTTCAAAGAACAACGAAACTGCAATGGTGGACCGTTAGCTAACTCTGAGAATTGTAAATTCAGGGATACATGCAGTGGGAGTTTGATCTCTTTAAGAAGTAGTCGCCCAGCATGTTACATTTCCAAGGAATCCTGTAACGAGGATACCACACGTCTCACAATATAATAGTCAGGTAGTGCAAAGGGTAGCTAGAAGTAGGCCAGTGTATGGGTGCGTATATTGCAAGACTGATTCTTGAAGAATCCAAACTAGGTGCGAGCCTCTCGAGTTCTCCTCTTAAGCTGGGCGGTTCCGGGGTTCTACCGGATCGGGGGCGAATCCCTCCCGACTCAGCTTGTCAGCTGAGACCGGCCCGCCACAACGGCTCTTTCCTTACAAATCCCCCGTATTTATAATGCATGTTATTAGTGAAACGGGGTCAGGCGGTCAGTAGGATATACCTACCACTAACACACTGAACAGACGGCTCCAGTACCAACAGATCCCATCTGGTGGTCTTATCAGACGAAGATCGTGGTACTGGTTATAAGAGTGAAGCTCTTATACGTCTGGTGCGCGAGTTGGTCAGATGTGCCTCTGATACTCGTATCGTGGTAATAGGATCTCGAACGTAAAGATAAGCTGAATAACTAAAATAACTAAATAACTGACTGAAAAGCGAAGGTGAAGATATAGATAAGAAGGAGATGATGATATGAAGATGGGGGACTCGTGTCCTACTCTGCCTCTGTGCCTCTTAAAGAAGAGAAAATAAACTTTCTCCTAGCCCCGTAACCTATTTCCCTGATGTCCGGCCTTACCCCGTTACAGTACTTGTCAAGGGGGTGAAAACTTTGGCCTGATACCGTAGTATATTAGCGACGGGATAATTCTCAGGATAGGATTCTTAACTCTGTGAGTTAAAATGAAGCTGTCACTAGCACTGGATTAGTCTGATCAGGACGATATAAAACCTTACGCAGTTGTTAATGCTAAGATAAAGGCAAAAGAATGGATTCTTGAAAGCTACACCTGAATATACTGATGACGGGCAGTGAAACCACCCGCAGGTTTAAGGTGTAAGATGATGGCAACGAATAACAAGATCCTCAACAAGACCTTACTATCCGGGAGGTGGAAAGAAATAACAAGATCAAGGGCTCCTTGCCCTGATCGGAACGACAAGTACCTCAACAGGTACTAACAACTGTAGCCTCAGCAGGCTGGGGAAGAAAAGGAACCTCAACAGGTCCTTGAACAGTCACCTCAACAGGTGAAAGGTGGGAACAATGGCCTCAGCAGGCACAATCAGATCTATAGGGGCAACAAAAGTACCTCAACAGGTACGTCAGACATTGAATGCCTGTCCAAGTAAAGAGAAATTGGTTCAGATTACTGTGGAAAAGGCCGCTTGAATTTCTATCCTTTTTCTCAAGAGAGCGACTATGTACATAAGGTCTTAAATACTCTTCAAGAACGCGCTTACATAACTCGTCTGAAACCGGAAAAAATGAAAATGAGCACCCAAAAACCCTAACCCCACGTCAATACATAAGTGAATAATGAACTGAAGTCTAAGTAGCACACTAAGAAAAAGAAGGTCACTGTTAACTACGAGGAGAAGATGAAAGAAGGTAAGTGATACGTGACCCCATGTGTTACACGCAAAGGTGGTCAAAGATTTGTGAGGTTGTAAAAGCATGACATTCTATCTAGTCCTATGGAGCACGAAGGTTGGACTTAGTCCCGAAGGGCTAAGTCACGTGGTAACCTTGGTGGTCTTGGCAAAGCCCACCAAGGTTGCCTAACACCATGGGGGGTGTGACAGTTGTCACGTGATTGCCCCACACTGGTCTGAACAGATTGATAAGTGGTTGCAGATACCAAAGTCAGGGACTTTGGTATTGGTCTCTTTTGGTGAAGACATCTGGTACGGTGGCGTAGTGGCAAGGATTGCAACCCCTGGCGCGGCGTGACAGGGGGTTGCCCTATAGCTAGAGATAAGATAGATAAGAGCTATAAAAGAGCTCTGCCAGGCCAGAATAGCTGACCTGGCCATCCTTTCCGAATACAACAATTCACACCCCATATGCACTCGCATCAGTAAGATAAGAAGAATATGACAATCAAGATAATCCGTCCCTGTGTTACGGGGATACCACACGTCTCACGATAATATTCAGGTAGTGTAAAGAGCAGCTATGATGCGCTAGTGTTATGGGTGCATATTGCAAGACTGATTCCTAAGGAATCTAAATTAGGTGGGAGCGTCTCGAGATCTTCCTCTTTGACTGGGTGATTCCGGAGTTCTACCCGATCCGGAGTTCTACCGGATCGGGGGCGAAACCCTCTCAACTCAGCCTGTTAGCTGAGACCGGCCCGCTCGGACGGCTCTTTCCTTACACCCTGCGTCTTCTTTAAGAAAAGAAAAGGAAGTCCTCCCTGCTAGACACGCGTCTCGGGAACGCACAAAACTTACCAGGGCAAAGTCGCGCAAACGCATCGAGATGGGAGACCCGAAGCAGCGGCAGTGCTTCTTTGGTCACCTGCTGCAGGGCGCAATCGACGAGGGTCACATCATGTCAAATCCCAATACCTTCATTGTTGCGGCGACAGAGACCACCGCCACGGCCTTGGTCGCTGCAACGCATTTTCTGTAAACAAATTCAACAGCATTCAGAAGATCAGAAGACTCAAGGATGATATTCTCGTGATGTTCGCTTCAAACCCGGGGTGGCGGGGGACTCAACGGCAAAGTTGCCATACCTCAACGCTGTCTTGTGAAAACCCTCCGTGCTCGCCCGCCCGCGCTGTGCGGTCATCCGGTCCCTCCTGGCGTTAGTGTATCGACAGATCATTGCCGGTTAGCCATGAATCCGACATATTTTCACAAGCCCGAGCTGTTCCTACCCGAACGACAGCTGGACAGGGAATCGCTCGATTACCAGCTGCCGGGCACAGCATTCAGTTACGAACTCCACGATTGTTTGGGTAAAATGGGGCAGTTGGAGCTGCAGGTAGCGCTAGCTAACTTCGTGTTTGCGTATGACTGGGAACAAGTCGACCCAGATAGCTAATCCGCATTACACTGGTGGCCCTGATAGCACATGTGGGGCAGGCAATCGAATTGAATTTTCTTTCCTCCTTTTCTTTCCCGTACCAACATACATTTGAAAGATCCGAAATAATTAATGGTACGAAGAGCTGTGGTTGAACAATATCCTGGTAGATACCCAAGAAAAATCAAGACTGCAGATTGTGGACTTAGTCCATGCGCAGTCCCTCTCGTCACGTTTCATGTCATTGTGCCGGGTCACAGCGCAAGGTTGGGTGGGTTTGGAGGTGACCTCTGGACCAATGACCCGTGTTATCTCACTATGTGACGAGAAGCGCGAGGAAAGCCACAGTCATAATCAACACTTTTGCAAACATGCTTCTCAGCTCAGCGGGATCTCCGTACGCGCCGTGGGGCTCTGTAACGTATTACGTCCCGTGGCGGTGTATCGGAAGCAGTTCTGGATGAAAATAGTTGGAGCCCATGGTAGTCCTAAGTGAACTTAAGTACACTTCGCAAATTCGACTTTAATCAGCGGAACTTCTGGAGTAAAAGCAATTCCGGTACATTACAGCAAATAATTTGTAACGCGCAATTTGAAGACAGCCAATACAACATTGTAGACTGATATAAACTAAGCACTTTACGTAAACATAGAAATTATCTTTTGAAACGCCCATTTATAGCGTGTACTAGAATCCGCGTACATGGCAGTTGGGTATCACGCATAATCCACTTCGTGCCTCATACACGGTACAATGGACAAAAGCCCGTTTGCTCGCACAAGCAAGTCATGGAATTCCAGCAATAACCCCCCTCCCGGGCCCCTCTAGGAAGTATGCTGCCTAGAGGAATCAAGAACCATGGAGACGATGGCTTTCAGGCCTTGGCCTCAGCCTGGCCTACACATCTCTGGAAGGCGGCTTCCCCTCATCAAGACTGACGACATCGACGGCTTTCTCTACATCCTTCCCGAGCCCGACATTTGCCCCGGCCGGAGCAGCGTTCTCAAACTTCCTGCCCCTCTTCTCGGGACCGAGCGCAGTGGTAATGGAAATACCAAGCGCAATAATCACGGTGGCAATGCCCATGGTCGGCCCATACGCCTCGACCGTCTTACCCGTATGGCTGGTAACAAAATGGGACTCGGCAATAGCGTTGACGATCTGGGCCGACGGGGACGAGATCATGTTGCCGAGTTGGTAGGTCAGGCCAGGGAAGGAGGAACGATAGGCTGGAGGGGACAGCTCGTTCAAATGGATGGGTATCACGCCCCAGGCACCCTGGACAAAGAACTGCATGAAGAAACCTGAGGCCGACAGAGAACTCTCGCCCTCGGGGAGGATCCAGGCCGGTATCAGGGCGCAGGACATCAGGGTCGAGACAATGATAGCGCGGCGGCGGCCGACGAATTGAGAGAGGTATCCTTTTATACCGTCAAACATCAGCAACACATCATGCGGAAATGTAACAACCTTCAATCAGGGGAAAAAACTCACCAATAATAGTCCCACCCACGCAAGCGCCAACCTTCATCCAGATACTTGCCCTCGTAGCCGCACTGTTTCCCAGCTCCTTCTGCTCGATCATGAAGGTCGTGTAGCTGTCCTGGCTTGTGTGCGAGTAGTAGTTAAACCAGGTCATGAGAATGATACAGTATATGCACATGCGCCACTCCTTGGCCATCATCTGCTTAGTCTCGCGCCAGAAGTCGACCGCACTGATGTGGTTTCCGGCCTTCTTGGCTTCCCGGAATTGCTTGGACTCGGGGAAGAGGCAGCGCACCAGACCCGCGCCGAAGGAGAGACCGGCTGCGATCCAGAAAACCGTCTTCCAGCTCTCAGTGGCACCGCCAACGCCCAGGTTGGCGCAGGCGGCCAGCACGAAGCCGAAGGAGTAGCCTTGTTGAAGAATGCCACTCATGAGGCCACGAGCAGCAGTGCTATTTACATGTTGGCTTGGTTCATTGGGAGCTTTTTGAGATCCACTTACGGGCAATTCTCGAGGGCCATGGCCACGGCGTTTCCATACACTCCACCCATGAACAACCCAAAAAGGGACCTCACGGCTAGAAATTGTTGGAAGGTCCGACTGTAAATGGTAGCAATTTGCAAGAAGCCTGCCGCGAAATGAGTTCTTAGTTCCCGAGTAATGCTAGATTTCAAGCCACTCACCCAGGATAATCATATTAAACACCATAGGCCATTTTCTTCCAAACCGATCTCCTAGCCCACCGAACACAGCCGCACCGACTGATCTTAGAAGCAGCGTAAGAGTGATGGCCATGGTGATTTCTGTCTTGGACCGGTCATAATACTTGGAAAGCTTGACCGTCTGAATAGACAAGGCGTGGAAGTCAAACGCATCTTAACGCACATTAGCCTAAACTCAATCACATAGTACGGCTCGGCCCGTTTATAATCTTGCGACGGCATAAATAATTTCTGAAAGACGTACCAGCAGTCCATGCATACAGCCCAACAAGAAAGTACAGCCAGTCCCTGGCACTGAGGAGCATGAAGAGCGAGATGGGATTCTTCAACGGCGGAGGCGACTGCCATTCTGTGTGAGCTTCGCCGTCTTCATTCACGACGACGACTCGCTGCTTCCATATGAACAGATCGCCCCACGACTGCTTTGCCGTGGCGAAGGTGCCTTTGGCCAGTGGGTCGGCGGGCTCATCGTGTGCCGTAGCCATAGTTGGTTCTGTCTCTGTGTGAGTGTCCACGTGTGTCTTTGCCTATGTGTTTGTGTACGTGGTACAAGAGTCGGAAAGGCTGCAGGTCAATCAAGGAACCTAAATCCAGTGCAGGTGCTTTGGAACTTTCGAGTCAGCCCTCAGTACTTAAGTAGTCAACAGATGACTGCTCTTGTGGGGCTGCTTGGCTATCTATACATCCTATCTTCCTCCCAACCTCCTATCCTATCCGTGGAGCAACCCTTCAACCCAGTATTCGGTATCGTCGTGCTTCATGCTGCAGGCAGGAATCCTCCTTGACCCATTCACCACCGCCGATGCTTCCCTACAAAGGATCGCGTGAGCACAGCCAAGACTGCCAAGTATTGTGAAAGGAGCTTCATTGGCAAGCCAAGCCCAGCCAAGACTACCTGAACGGAGGACTCTCCAAATTCACACCAAAGGCCCAATTCTTTCCCCTCGCTCGTAATCCTGGGGTATGGAGAAACCCTTGCGGGGGAATTGGCGAGCTGGTGGTCAATGTGACAGGTCGCTGATGCAAACCAAGAATATTGCATTACTTTGCCACGGACGAGAACTTTTGAGGAAAACAATTGTGGGAATCGTACGAGCGTGGGGTCAAATTCTGTGCTTTTAGTCTTGGGAGTTCCATAATCATGGGCCTGGATCGTTCTTATTGCCAAGAGAGAGACAAAATCAATTGAAAGCGTCTTGCTGGGACACAGATACCCATGCGCGACGTTTCTAAGCCTACTTCCTCCCATCACTGTCAGTGTCTTATCGTGATATCTCACCTTCGAACCCAGGGTACGTCCGTAAGGCGGCACACTTTTTCAGCCAAGTGATGCTGAGAAGAAACTATTGGGCATTATAGGGTTGGACAGCTACTCGTTGTCTCTAACTTCCTCGTGACGCACTCAAGCATCAACCACGCAACTTTTTCTTGGCTCTCCTTGGCGACTACCCACACCGTTGGATTGGAGCGCAGAGTTGTTCAAGGTTGAGGGGGTCCCTTGGCATTCTCATCTATCCCCTCGTCTGGCATTCTCATTGGCTCTGAAGGCATCAGGATCATCTCGATGCCTCACCGCTCCGCAACCAGCGAACTCGTACGGCATAATAAGTCGGCAAGCTGGGTTATCCCGGGGGTATGCGTGGTCTCTGTAACCACCGTAGGATTCGAACCGACTATGCTTGTCGCTGACCTAGACATTACCCTAGATTACAGCGGCTTATACACTATCTAAGCGGAGTCTAAGTAGTTTAAGCGAGTCTCGAATTAGACACACATGTTATTATAAAAGGTAATCTGTAGTTTCTTGCCCGAGAGAATCCATAGCTTTATTATATACTCCGTCTCCACTAGTCCGAAACTATCTCAAAAGCTTCTAGGTTATTAACTAGCTCAGATTTAAACGAAGTGTTAAACGAGTTAATACAATGAAAAATAAATTGTTACATGCCCCAGGGACACCGCCTGTGTGCTAGATGCAGCGTGTTACACGCAATGGTGGTCGAATATTTGTGAGATTGTAAAAGCATGACATTCTATCTAATGCTATCGAGCACGAAAGTTGGACTTAGTCCCCAAAGGGCTAAGTCATATGGTAACCTTGGTGGTCTTGGCAAAGCCCACAAAGGTTGCCTAACACAGCGTTTGGGCCAATTGCCTATAGATAGCCCTTCCGTAGCTACAGCATTTAGGGACTTAGGCCCATCATTATCATCACCAATACAACCCTCTTGCCTGTATTGTCAACAGAAACTGATTAAATAATACTAGTATACTAAAATATTAGATGAGGTAAGATGATAATATAAATGACCGTCACTGTGCGCTAATTCAAGAGCAATTCTTAACAAAACAAGACTGAAGGATACGGATATACTAGAATTATACAAGTAATCTACGATGGACAGGATGCGCGCAACAAATTATTTACATTGAATTGCTTGTAATAAGTTATGTCAGACCCTAGCAAGGGCAAAACTGCACATGAAATTTAGGGTTCTCCCTCTGTGCACCATGGATATTCCTTCCAAATACTTAGAAGGTAAGGGTGGCGCCAGCAGTGCCGACGACGGCGGCTTTGACGGCGGAAGAGCCAAGTAGGGTGTACTTGTAGGGTACAGAGACATCGCCAGCGGTTATGGTACTCTCGCCGGAGCCGAAGTCGTTGTCATTGGAGACAGCGAAGCCATCGCCGTCGACAGAGTAGAGGGGCTTGTCGACGTCAGAGAAAACGTTGGACTCAACAAGGAGCTCAGCGCCGAGGCGGGAGTTGATGCCGTCGGAAATCTTCTCGTAGTAGTTGTTGAAGATGTGGCCGGTGCCGAAGCGGAATGAGGGAGCACGCGAGTTGAGGTCGTAGAAGTAGTTATTAGCGAAGGTAACGGTTAGGTGTCCGGTGTCTTCATCGCCATTGTTATCTGAGTGGCCAATCAAGGAGCCCTTCCAGTGGTTGTGGAGGAACGAGTTGGTGATAGTGACGTAGTCAGAGCCGTGGGTCACATCGAAGAGACCATCATACTTGTCCTTGTCGCTTTGGGTGCGGTCGCCCTGGAGGTCGCAGTGGTCGACCCAGACATTCTCACTGCAAATGTTTGTCAGTGCCTCCATGTTTAATGAAGTTATGCGTTTAGGGGTGGTTCATTGCATTGTACTTACACGAACTGCATACCAATGGCATCGCCGGTGGTGGCCAGAACCTTGTCGATAGACAGGTTGCGGACAATAACGTTAGTGACGGGCTTACCCGACTTGCCATTGATCTTCAAGCCAACGCCCTTGAGGATAGCGTTAGAGTCCTTGCCGAGAATGGTGGTATCGCTGGTGACTTGGACGGCCTCGGCTCCCTCGATAGTGCCGTCGACGATGCAAATGGCGGCGGCCTCCTGCTTGGCACAGGCAACCAGGTCGTCAAGCGTGGTGACGGTGGTAGACGCCCCTCCAGCACCGCCGGTGGTACCGCCGTTTTCGGTGGCATAACCGACCGAGGCGGCCTCGCTGGCATTGGCGCGGCGGAGGACGGGGCTGGCCTTGGTCATGACGCTGAGCCCGAGCGCAAAGAGAGCAGTGGTAGTCTTCATGTTGACGAGTTGACTTGGAGTGATGTTAATGTATCTTGAAAAAGAGGGAACGATTGCTAAGAGAGAATGTACACTTAGGTCACCTGGACGAAGAATGAATGAATGAATGGAAAGGCGAATGAGTGGCCGTGTGGATGAATACGAAAAGCAGTCGCAGTTCTCGAATACAGACATTCTTATATACATCCTTCCTGCAATCCTTGCCTCTTCGCCTTACGTGTTTCTTCCAATTCCACGATCGTGTGAGCGGTGGTTCGTATGCGGCTCCTCAGCTGTCGAATCTCGGCTGATCGTCTATGACCGGATCACTCAGAGCTTGGCAATGGGCCTTCATTTCTGCCAATACAGATGCCAAGCCGATGATTCGACCGTTGAGGTCGGTTAACCGGATCGATGGAACAGCTTGGCGACCAGGGCGGGTTGATTCTCGCGACTGCAAACATATGACATGATGACATGGGGGTTAATCCCAGAACGGGGAATCTCCTTGGACTGCCATATGGTAATGCCAAGCCGTTTGGCCCCTTAGCCCCAGTAATTTTGGCATCTGCAGGCATTATATGTAAAACAACATGATTTCTTCATGGTGATAGTGGATCAAATGCGGCGAACTGCAGTTGATTCTTCACTATTCTGGCGAAATGCAAGTCACATGTGTCCCAAAAAATCACTTTTCCAGCTGTCTCTATTACCTTGGTTCATATAATCATGTGTTATGCTATGACGGCGGATGAGCTGCTAATTGCATGTTCTGGACAAAACTCCACTTAAGTCCAACAACTTTGGATCGAATCCTTTTCTGTATTATTGAATTGTTACGAAGTAGTTATGAACTGAGACCTAAAATTCCAGGTACGACAAAATAGACTGAAAACCTCGGAACCGCACCAATCTGCGCCCAGGTGACACAATGCAAACCTCATTTGTGGTGCTACTCAACTCGCGCATCAGAACGGCTGTTGAAAAGTGGTAGCCACAGTATCCGGTATTTTGTAGCTACAGTTCAGCCCATGCAGGCGAAGAACATGCCGAAGGATCCCACGATCGTCTCGACTTATACTCTGCTGTTGCTGCGGACAAGTGTCGGCTCAACTCAACACAACACTACGACAGCCTCTCGTTCGTTCATATATGACATTTTTAAGCAAAGGCACTGTTTATTGAATGTTCAGGGAACTAGCCTTAGAGAAAACGAAAATCGCCCGTAAGTCTTCCTACGTCGAGGTTATTGCGTGAGTGGCCACGAGTCCCAAATGGATGAACTATTCTCCTTCATGTATCCCCTCCGTCTTCAGCACGGAAAGCCAACGAAGCTCAGGAATCTATCATTACACTGTTCAATTCTATTCTCACTGGTACAACTCATCAATTTCAGCTTATAACAATCGAAGCGGCTTTTGTGAAGGTTCATCGAATTTTTTTAGCATTAAATCCACGGTGGACGACTCCCACCCAGCTGCGGATGTATTATTCGCAAATGTCCGCAGCTATATTAGACGGACAACCCGAAGGTAGATAGAATCAGAGCATGTATTATAATACGATCTTAAAGTATCTAATTTTCAGTAGATACTATGTACGGAAAACATAATAATCAAGGGGTTACGTTATAACGGCTCAAATTAGTCTATAGGATAAAAAATAGCGAAAGCAGACCGATAACCATAGGTTCAAGTATACTCTTAAGAGGAACGTGCCCCACAAGCAAGTTAGCTGCTTTGTCTTAGTACCTAGGCTAATAGACTAAAAGATCTAACCTAGAATGCCACTAGATCACTGACATTTGATCCCACCAACTGCTATATACAGCACTTTGTGGCTCTGTAATCGGCAGCGCTGTGACAATTATCCCCCCGTCTGTAAGGCTCGACCCCGAGACTTCAATAGACGGTTTTAGCACTGAACCTTTTGGATGTTATCCCGCTAGATCCTCGCTAAGACCATTCTAAGAATCTCACGGACTCCTATGGGCTATCCGAGCTCACAGGAACATCCCCACTACTAGTACAGGGATATGGTATCAGTCATTAAAACCCCCAAGTACAGAGCACATATAGCAGACCACCGGTCATATATGTATACCCCGCACTTGTCAACATACTTTAGGAGGTAGTTGCCGCTGTCGCGCACGGCATGCCTGCGGTATCGACCGTTTCGCACATGGCTGCACAACTACGATTCGAATCCTCTTGTCTATAACCGAGGGCTGACACCCGTACACCATGACCCACTGGTATTATTGTCACAAGGGAGGACAAAGCCCCTAGGCTAATAGACCAAAAGTTCTAGAATTCCAGTGGATCACTAACATTTGATCCTACTTACTGCTATATACAGGACTCTATGGCTCTGTAATCTAACGAAACCTCTAATAGTCTAGCTGCGTAAACCACTAAAGAGTCTGTAAGGGTTTGTGCTAGTAATTAAGTCCTGCTGCGGAGTCCTTTAGCAATAATATCGGGGTCTGGCGTATGGAGTATAGTGCTTTGGGGTAACTGAAGTATTCAAGTAGGGTAACTGGGAATAGAGTCGTCAAGGCAGTTTGCCTCACCAATGGGTTAGATTGATGCTTAGATTGATCACTGAAGTAGAGACTGTATATCTATGAAATGCCTGGGAGTCCTGTCCCTTATATATCCATTCCCTCTTTCACTGATAACTGGGGCCATTAGATCCTTCATGGATACTATTGGTCCTAACTGGTTGATTGATTGATTGAAATTTAACGTCTCATCACGTGAGACGTGCCGGGCGCAGTGCCGGCATGGTCTATGCTAGTCGAATCTATGTTACAGGGGACTGTCTTCATCTAACATTCCTGTTCAGTGCGATGGGCAGATCTCAGTAAAGAAATTGGTCTCCTCCGCCCATTGACAAAACAAACGAGCTCCCTTGGCCGTGCCTAGGAGGGAATCTATACTATTCTTGGCCATATGCGCTTTTAGATGACCGGGCGTGGCCTTGCGGCCGCGCTTGCAAAAGTAGAAGTGGACTGGTGTCTTTGTCTTTCCACACCCGCAGTTGAGCAGTGCGTCGCGATGCTGGAGTCTCTCGTGGTAGGTCACGAAATCCCCGTGGTGCGACCTCGCTGCGAGTAATCTGCCTAGGTGTTGCCGGGGCAGGCCAAGTTCGGGGGGTCGCGGGTGGATAGCGATCCCTAGATCTCGATACTGTTGAGGGCAGGTAGTGGCCCATCGATCGTTGAATTGGTCCTAACTGGATATGTTGGATCATTTCATATCCAAATGATCCACCCTTGTAAGTCACGTGACTTGTGATCCTTGCACTAGCTGGCTCCTCCTGCAGCTAGCCACTCCTGTGTGACTTTCCATCGCACTGAACAGAAATGTTAGATGAAGACAGTCCCCTGTAACATAGATTCGACTAGCATAGACCATGCCGGCACCGTCTCACGTGATGAGACGTTAAATTTCAATCAATCAACCTGTGTGACTTTCCCCTCCTTCTTTGTCCTGTATCCACTGGGCCTGCCATCGGGCCTGTTGCGTTGGTTAGAATCGTAGATTCGTAACACTAGGGCAGCCTGGATTCGAACCTATTCAGCCAGATAGGATTCCTGGGCTGGAAAGAGCCTCTGGTAGTCAGCTAAGGCTATATCTCTTGACTAGGCTCCTTGAATCCGTCGTGAAAGAGTAGACCTTGGGACACCATGCTCATATGCTGCTTTTCGGAGGCTTTGACCGGTAGCTATTGCTTGAAGAGCTCGATAAATATCATCTTCGGTATATTGACTCATACTAGTGTAAATAAGACGTACGTAAAATTTCGTAACGATTGAATCGATATTGGTAAAGATAAAAGAGGTTGAAGCTAGAGGCTAGCGGTGTTGATAAGGTATTTTGGGGTGTCCGACATGTGGGTGTGGGACGTTAATGGAATAATTTACTACTGTGTTTTCAGACTTGGACGGAAACCAGTCTTGGTCATCAATATTTTAGGGTTGATACTGTCGTCCCTCATCATCATTGTCGTGTGCTGGTGTCAGCCTATCTTGCCAGTCCGACTCGGATGGCTCTCCTCGCTTGGCATGTTGGTTGGCGGGGGCAATGCCGCCTATTCGGCCATCTTGTCCAGCCTGATTACAGACATCATGCCGCAATCCGATAGTGTCAGAGGTGGTACCTGCGCAGCCACCACTACTTATTTCCAGACCAACAACACTAGCCTAGCTTTCTTTCCTCACCACAATACATCACTTCTATTGTGTGTCCCTCAACAGGTTATGAGCCCTCACGCTCACGCGCATCACGAATAATTGCATTTCTGAAGCATTATTCGTCATCATCATCATCATTTCGATCATTTGCACAATTTTCGGCATCTGATTCGACCTTTATTTCGCGAAGTTGGCCTTCGAAGGTCCGCTACGGTAGGTGCACGAATCTGCTGCAACCTGCAGCAGCGTGGTCACTCTCCAACTTCACGGCTTGATCACAACAACAGCATTGAGAATAGTGACTGCACGAGCCTAAATCATTGATTCTGGCCTTGCAGCTCATCACTACACACTTTCCTCGGATTCGTTGATTTCTGCAGTTTTTCCACTTTGTTGGAACGAACGCGTATCCGACGTCATTACCTTGAAGTGGGTCACGAAAAACTTCGTGCCTGCCTCAAGCTTCAACACTACTTAACATCACACAATATTGCGTCCATCTGATAACGCAGTGACTTCACGATCGCATCATGGCGACTGAAGCATCTGTACGGCTGGCGCCAATTCCTCAGCTGGAAGGCGAGAAGAACCTCAAACTCTGGCAAGTGCAAGTAACTCAACATGCCGAATACTTTGGCCTCGAAGCCTTCCTCGATGGCACATCAACAGCACCACATGAAAGCGCGCCTTCTGAAGAGAAACTCAGATACAAGCAAAAGCAGATCCACGCTATGTCATTGCTTACTTCAAGCATCGTCAAGGTTCATGAAAAGCTGGAATCAGCAGGATGGGACATGCTTACTGAAAAAGATCCCTCTGTTCTCTACAGTTTGATTCTCAGAACCATTCCCAAAGAGTCCGAGAACAATGTACCAGCAATGTTCTATGAGCTCGTCGGCCTTATGAAAATTCCTGAAGGCCAGAAGCTCGAGAAATGGTCATCTCGACTCAACTATCTTATCAATCGTCTCACTGCCCTACAATGTGGCATGTCCGACAAAGCTCTGACACTGATCGCGCTCAAAGCATTTCAACAACGTTATCCCTTGGTCCATGGTTTTCTTACCAGATCTTTCCAAGAGGGTAATTTGACGTGGAAGAAAATGCAAGAAGAGATCACTCGCAAGGCAAATGAAGAAGCACACAACCCCGAGATCATGTTACAGATCAAAAATAACCAAGGTAATTCAACTCTAGGCTCACAGGCAAATAAAGAGAAGGAAAACACAAACGACAACCCAGACAAGAAATGCAAGACGGAACACTGCAATACTTGCAAACGCAAACATCCAACCACTTGGCCTCTCTGTAACTATTGCAAGTTGCACCACACCGGCGACTGTTTTCGACAATTCCCAGAAAAGGCATCTGAACAATGGCGCAAACGTAATATGCCAGACTGGAAGCCTTCATCGAATGAAAATGCCTCAAAAGACGCACTTGATGTTAATACGAATCTTGGCCAACTTTGTCTTCAACCAGATTCAGTAGCGAAGCGTCCAACCAATCTGGGTCTCTTCGGCAATCTAATGTGTTTGCCAGCCAACACAATCTCAACTGATGGTGATGGAACAGATTACCTGACTCGTGACAGCTTCATCAATGACTCTGGTGCTGGAGGACACGTAGTCAATGATTTGAAGTGGTTTACCTCACTACGTCAACTTCCTGAACCAATCTACATGGACACAGCTAATGGTGGCGTTGCTGCTGCCACAGCTGTTGGCACCATTAAGATTCATCCTCAAAGAACTGATAGTAAACAGGTTAATTGGACTATCGGTAGTGTTCTCTATAACGAATCTTCCCCAGTTAACATCATCAGCCCTGGCTTAGTGAGGGAAGATGGCATCATTGAAGATGGACATACATCAACTCTTCGCATTCGGGAATCGAATGTTGAACTTGGTAAGATCAACTGGCTCAAAAACGTGAAGGTTATTCCTCTCGTCTGCAAGCCAACAGCTCCCGCAGAGCACCTTCCACTCTTCTCAGCAACAATTGACATACAATTGATGCACGAGCGACTTATGCATGCGAACTACAAGACAGTCAAAAAGGCCTGCGAAGCCGCTGGTCTAAAAGTCACAAAACCAATCAAACCCTGCGAGACTTGTATGCTCTCGAAAGCAAAACAAATCATCCACAGAGATCCGGCTATTCAACCGAGTAGACCACTTGAGATCATCTATTTTGACACTATTCATCATCAACCGCTAGGCCTTACTGGCTGGCGTTACAGCGTTCACTTTACAGATGGGTTTACTGACATGCAGTGGACTCGCTTCACTCGCAAATTGGGTGATATACATGCGGAGATCATTGCCTTCGTTACTCAGGTCGAGCTTCAAACTGGTCTGAAAGTCCAAATATTCCACTCGGATAATGGCAAGGAATTTCTTGGCGATGCAAAGCAAATGGACACATTCGTCACCAAGAAGGGCATTCAATGGCATCGATCTCCTGCTAACACTCACGAACCAAATGGAAGAGCAGAGCGCTCAGTCCAGACTCTCATCACACCAGCTCGTAGCGGCATCATCGGCGGTAACTTGCCCAAGTTTCTCTGGCCGTGGGCTGAAGAGACAGCGGATACGATACATAATCTCCTACCAAATGGAAAAGACAGCCTGTCACCTCGCCAGCGTCTTGGATTCTATCTCAACATGACAGCACAGGTCATTAATGGCAATATTTCCAATCTCATCAAATACGGAGCTATAGCTTATGTCCACAAGAAAACACCAGCTGATCTTGCCAAAGCTGACAAGGTGGAGCACAGGGCATGGAAGGGCAAGCTCGTCGGCTATGCTGACCTTCGTACCAAACTCTACAAGATCTGGGTTCCCGAGAAGCACCGCGTGATGCGAGTGCGTGACGTTCGTTTTGCGGAGACTTTGGATGATACGCAACAAGATCACGACGCTGACGCTGACTTCATCGTTGAATTCGAAGATGAGAATGCTGACGTTGAATTTTCTGATCTGATAGCTAACCCCGTTGACTACGGAGTCGTCACGCACACAATAACCCAACCATCTACTTTTCCATCCTCTCAACCGGCCGATGATAGGGAAAATCAAGAGACAAAAGGAAATATGCAGCGCGAAGTTGAAAATGATCCACTCTATCCCACACCTGGGCCTGAGCAGATGGCCAGTCCAGCGCCATTGACTCGAACACGCGAAGAATTAAGCTTCGATTCCGATGATACTGATTTAGATGACATCGATGCCGAACATCCCTTAGGTCCCCAGAGTCCTGAGCCGAATCCTGAGCCGAATCCCGAACCGAATCCTAAATCATCGACAACCTCAAATTCACGCCCTCGTCGTGCTGCGGCCAGATCAGTTGCAGATTATCGACATCTCGCTGGCATACGCACATACAACAAGAGAAAGGCAGACCAGTTGTCATTATCTTCGGTCAATTTCTCCAAATCTATCAACAAAACTCGCTATCTTGAGCTCGACGCCAAGATTAGTGATTCCACACATCTATGTCTGTCTGCAATCAAGGTTAAAAAACTCTTGAATCAATCCAAAACCGCATCAGACTTCCCTTCAGCCAAGTCATACAAGGATGCTCGAAAGCAAGAGAAATGGCCGACTTGGAAGTCAGCTTTCGACGATCAGATAAACGAACTGGTATCTCGTAAAGTCTTTGAGCTTTCAGATCTCCCTCCTGGAGCGAAGGCCTTGCCGACGAAGTGGGTAACGGACCAGAAGTTCCATCCAGTTACCAATCAACATTTGAGAAACAGAGCGAGGCTTGTAGCTATGGGGAACTTCGAAGACTCAAGCAGCTTTTCGGTCGAAGAAATGTATGCTGCAGTCGCTAGCCTTACATCTCTCAAAGTGTTTCTCGCTCTTATGGCCACTCTAGGTCTACACGCCGAGCACTGTGATGTAGTAACAGCCTTCTTAAATGCTAAGAAGCCTCAGGACACTCCAGACATCTATGTTCGCCAACCAGAAGGATATGATGACGGCAGTGGACGCGTTTGGCGCCTGAAAGCCGCTCTCTACGGTCTCAAGCGAGCACCAATCTGGTGGTTCAATACCCTTGTTACCGCAATGAAGGAGATTGGATATGAACCTGTCGAAGCCGACCTCTGTCTTTTCAAGAATGATAAGACTGGAGTTATGGTACTTGTCTATGTAGATGATCTTCTGCTTGCGGGTCATCACAAGTCAGACATTACGATCGCTAAGCAGAAACTCGCTGCTTATTTCCGCCTCAAGGAGCTGGGAGATGTGCGAGAGTTTCTCGGCATGCAGATTTCAAGAAATCAAGATGAAAACAAGGTTTTTATCTCACAAGAGAAGTATGCGATGAAGATTCTCACCAAATTCGGCAAATTAGACCTCAAACCTTCTGCTGTGCCCTGGCCATCAGATATCAAAATACCAGCTGTATGGCCTAAGATTCAGCTGGATGACCAATCAAACTACCTCAAACAGACGGCCTCGCTCAACTATCTCAGTATTGGCAGCAGACCAGATATGACCAACACCAACAAGGCACTCTCTGAGGCGCAAAGCAAGCCAACCAAGGTTCATATGGACTTGCTTCAACATCTCTGGAGATATCTCAAAGGACAGCCTAATCTCGGTATTGTTCTCGGCGGAAAGTATCCCATTCATGATCTGAAACTCAATGTCTGGGCTGATGCGGCACACGCTGATGACCTGGCTACTCGAGCGTCAACAGGAGCTCATGTTGTATTCCTCTGCGGTGGTCCGATATATTGGAAGTCCAAGAAGCAGACCCTCGTGGTCATTTCAAGCACCGAAGCTGAATTCATCAATCTCACACCAGCTGGTTTATCCGCTGTTTGGATCTTACGCTTACTACAACAACTTGGGTTTCCCCAAGACACTCCAACTCTTCTCATGACTGACAGTCTCAATGCCAAGTCAATCGTACTTAACCCAAACAATGCAGCCAGAACCAGACATATTGACACAAGGTACAAGTGGATCATAGATCGCGTCCAACGAGGAGATTTCGATATTCAATACGCCAGAACAGGAGAGATGATTGCAGACGGTCTCACGAAGCCGTTAACGAAAGAGAATCATCTGAAATTCGTCCGTCAACTCCGTCTGACGCCGTGTCCTTGGTGATTCTGATTGATGCGGTGTCAGGTGGCAGAAACGCATATAAAATTGGAAGTCAAGTTGATGAAAAACGGATATTCTGTACGTGTACGTAGCTCTTTTTAGATGACTAGCTCTATTGGCCTGGGGGGGGTGTGTCAGAGGTGGTACCTGCGCAGCCACCACTACTTATTTCCAGACCAACAACACTAGCCTAGCTTTCTTTCCTCACCACAATACATCACTTCTATTGTGTGTCCCTCAACAGATAGGTAAGTTGTTCCTATCGGCTGAAACTCAGTACACATCCAACTAACACTGACATGGCATGTGACAGAGCCATCGCCTTTATGCGCATCCACGTAGCCAGCATGCTGGGCAATTTATTGTCACCGGCCTTGGCATCGGCACTGATGCCTCGCACTGGCCCCTGGCCACTCATATTCGTCGCTGTCGCATGTGCCGTCACATCAGTTTTTGCACTTGCCTTTGTTCCCGAGACACTGGACGACAAGTCTCAGTCCCCTCCCAAGGCCGACGACTCTCCAGAACAAGAAATTTGGAAGGCCTACATATTTCGCACCCTCAGCACCTTCAAGGACTCTTTCACCATGCTGAAACCCCCCTCTCTGGCTATCCTAGTGGCTACTGGCTTTATGTCGGCTCCAATTATTTCCTGTACCATGCAATTCCTGACCCTTTTCGCCTCCAAGTGGTATCACATCCGCCTCGCCGATACAGGCTATATCCTGACCTGCTACGGCATTTTTCATGTTGTCGTCGTCCTGACCGTCATCCCCTGGATCACCACCCTCGTGGTCCAACCCACGACACCTCGCCTTTTCCGTATCGACGAAAAGCGTCGCGACTTGGTGCTGGCACGCTGGTCTTTCCTGTCTTTTATTCTCGGCACCCTCATCATAGGCCTGTCTCCATCGCTCACCGGCATGATCGTTGGACTGCTGATCATGAGTCTGGGCTCAGGCCAGGGGAGTCTGATCAGATCCACCACAGCGCTCTATGTGGACCCGGAGCACAGGTCCAGACTGTATACACTCAGCGCAATGGTGGAGCAATCCAGTTCCATTTATTCAGACCCCATGCTGGCAGGGCTGTTTACGCTTGGCATGAGGATGGATGGCGGCTGGATTGGCTTGCCGTATTTTGGGGTCTCGGTGTTGTGCCTGTTATCTTATAGCATATTGGGGTTTGTGAGAGTGCCCAATGATGCGACTGATGATGTGGAGTCCGAATCCGGCTCTGATAGGGAGTGAGGAGTTCAGGTCCGAGTTGACAGTTATCAGGCATGCCGCGTAACGGTCATTTGGAGCGTCAGTTGCGCGTCGGTCGCCATCAGAGAAATAATTGGAATGACGACATATCGACGTCTCCATGATATAAAATTATGGACTTTATTAGTCCCTTTTTACATGTAAAATTGAGCGGGCTAGAAAGTAGACTTGAAAATAAACCAACTCCACTATATTCAACAGTTGGCTACTAGAAATTAGGTAAGGCAGAGTAAAACTACAGGGAGGGTAGCAACGAATTTGATGCTAAGAATTGCGACCAAATGGGATTGCACGAGTTTACTCGTACGGATCACGATACTGCACAAAGGCGACGTGAATGCACCTTCAAATCTCCCGAATTGTGCTGTTCAGTCTCGGTCATGTGTAAATCAATCATCTCCCCTGTCGTTGAGCATCCATGGCCGGACGCTCCTCACTCAACGCCCTTTGGCACAAGTCCCGGCAACCCACTGAACTCGTTCTTGGGATCCGCCAACTCCTGCTCCACCGTCTGCAACTTCTTGGCCACCTTGGCCGGCGCACCTGTCACCACTGTATACGCTGGTACACTCTTCGTCACCACCGACCCGGCGCCCACAGTACTACCTCGTCCAATCGTCACCCCAGGAAGGATAATGGTTCCCCCACCGATCCATGCATCGTCCTCAATGCGCACCGGCAGCCCGTATTCGACGTTCTTGATGCGCGAAAGCACACTGGTCAAATGTCCTGCTCCGTAGATGCTCACGTTGGGACCAAGTTGGACACGATTGCCGATGATGACCAAACTGACGTCCAAGATTGTGAGGCTTATTGTGTCAGTTCGTATAAGTAGAACACGGGTCGAAGAGGGGAACTACTTGAAGTTGATGAAGCAGGCATCTCCAATAATAGTATTGCAGCCATAATCAGGGATGAAGGGCGGCTAAACGAAGGATCCTGACCCAATCTTCCCCACCATGCCTTCAAGCAAGGCGCATTGCGTCTTTTGGAACTGTTCAAATGGCTCCGAGTTGGGATCCAGGTTGTTGAATTTGTGAGCTAGGCATCTCGCGCGATGGCGGCCTTCCAGTAGTTTGGGATGAACAGGGTTATACCTGCCCATTTGTCAGAATTTGAAACTTCCCTGTGATCATTGTGTGACTTACATCATGCCCGAGATCATCTTTTCGTACTCGTCACACCATGGCGTGCCTTGCAGCGTTCTTGCAAGATCAATGATCTCACGGTCCAAGGCGTTCTTCGCCATGATATTCAGCACGTCTTCGGCCGGCCGCCGCTCAGCTTAGGGGAGACCTTTATGGTTCAAGGAAGAGTTTGAAGTGTGATCAAAGCTGAGCGGCAACACAAGATGGCGAAAGGGACAGGTGTAGTTGAAGTGTAGATGAGTTTTCCCGAGGATAGCCCCTCACCGCCTAGTGACTGCCTAACAATTGGTTAATAGTTACCTAGATACTCAAGTACTTATGCTTGGCGTGCATGAAGACGGGCCCACAAGGGCAATAGTCGGCGTATATATCCGTACGTTTATTTCAGTATCAATACTAGCCCGCTCGCATGTGCTTAGTAGACTATATTTGTAAAGTAGACGATACTATAATATATTCCTGTATTGTGCTTGTGGAATTTGGCTGGATAGTGAAACAGACGTGAACCGCATCGATCTCCAAGCGCCAGGATTCGAGTAGATATCTGCACAGATACGTCAATCCGGTGAGAGTTCAATTCTAATGCTGGGGACAGATATAAAGCGTGAGCAGATGATGAATTTGCATTACAACCTAGCTTACATAGAAGGTGCGTCAATATGTTGTTGAAAGCTGACTAGAGCAGCACACTCACCACAAGGGGAATCAGAAGAACCGAGGTCGAATGAGAACTTGATTTCCCCACCTGGGAAATGGAAAGACAGCTATACACCGTGTCCTTTTTTTTATCTCGTGTACTATACTGTCCTATGCAAGCCTACGGCTTATGAAGACAGTAGGTCCGAAGACCCGAAGTATAGCGGGCAAACTACCCTGTACTACGAATTTGTATCGTCCATAGCCATTTCTTTTCCCTCGCACTTAAGCTTTCTGAGTTTAACCTACCATTAACATCGGAAGTAGGGCTGTGGGTTCTTTTAGTAGGATGCCCAACTACTAAATTCCTTCCCCATCAATTTCGCAGTGGGCATGCGCGGTCCCTATAACCACCGCCGGATTCGAACCGACTGTGCTCGTCGCCGACACTCCGTTTACTTGCTGTAGCCCAATCTCCTCGTTTCAACAGTCATTCCCTTGCTGAGAAATCAAAACATTAATCTATCTTTTTAGTGCATCCTAAGGACTTATAGGAATGCATTGCGAAAATACGCCCTATGTGAAGTTTGAACCTCTTGGTCGAAGAGCTAGGAAGAGCGGCCCCCTGTAACTGGCAAAATCTATCCTGACTCGGCCGATACAACGTGCCTCCGGTGCTGGAAATTTCGCTCCTGGATGGCGCAAACATTTTCGCCTGACAGCTAGCCTCTTCAGTCACCTCATAGCGATCGATACCGCCGTGTTCTCTATTTTATCATTCTATCCAGAACAGTCTTGTCCAGCCTGCCAAACACTTGAGCTCGACGGCGTTTCCGATGCAGTGCAGTCATTGCGCTTGCTATACAAGTATGGCCAGAGGAACTAGACGATCGGGTGCGCTATTATGAGCAGCCGAGAAGACTTGGTACCAGAGAGCCTTAAAGCTTTGAACAGAACAGGATAGCAATAGACAGGAATGGCAATAAGAACTTGAAACGTAGAAGGCTCAACAAAATATGAGCAGAATACCGAGTATGTCTACATTATGCCGGGTTTTAAGACAGACGGGAGCCAGCTGACGATACGGCGGCCATCGAAGTGCCGTTTGTTCATTTGATATGTGGATCGGGATATGAAGAATAAAAGGTATGCTCACACAAGCTGTCGGATCCCGAGTATTGGGGACTGTATTGGTGCTCCGAAGGCGCGTATAAAGAAATGCCCAGTCGGGTCATGCGGGGTCCCTAAAACTAAGTTGGTTCGTGCCTGGGTGCCTTGTAACCCGGTATACACACTTGCCGTACAACAATGATGACTCGTCATCTACATTCGATTCAATTCGGTCTTCGTAACATTAACTCGGTTCCATTGGTGCCAGGGCCTGTGCCAAGTGATGTAATAGTGCAGGTCCACCCCGGACATTGGAACCCATCTTTACCACGGTGCGATAAGCCCCGCTATGCCCGCTCAGCGATAGATCTCAGCTCCTCTGTGCGTGCGCGTCTTCGTGACAAACAGCAATCACCAATGACTTGGCAGGGCAAACTTTGCAGGGTCATATTTCCGAACTCCACAATCTGGTGAATTTACCAAGCAGCTCAAGCAACAGAGGGTGTTATCGGGAAACTAATTACACGGTGGAGGCGCCTATACACGGGACTAGATAAGAAACCCGGGATATTGGCCCAGACGGGCCTAATTCACTAACAAACACTAACAAACTACGCCAAACCGCCCCAAACTACAAGCTGACCGAGGTGGCCGGCGTTGCCGGGTTGTGTCATGTCTTACCGACCAGGATCACCTAGATGCAGCCAGACAAGGAAGGCATGGCTTATCGCTTCATCGCTTTGCATGCCTCGCGGGTTGATCAATATTTAAGAAATGCCTCGCGCCTACGATGGGTTCATATTTGATAGCGTCCATCCAGCCCCTTTAGAGCGGTTCATCGTCAAAGCCCCACAAGCTTGCGTGCATAGTCTCAGAGACTAGCAGCGATTCGTGCTTAACCGCCACGATGCTTTCCCTCCCACGCATCGCCGCCGCCACCTGGCTCCTGCATCTCACCTCGTTTGTGCTTGGAGCCCCTTCGTCCAGCAATGGCGAGGAGCCCCGTCTCGGCGCCGTGTCGTCGGAGAATTCGGTATGCAGCCAAATCGGCATTGACCTGCTCAAGGCCGGCGGAAATGCAGCAGATGCCATGGTCGGCACCGTCTTTTGTGTCGGCGTCGTGGCCATGGTGCATAGCGGCATCGGTGGTGGCGGCTTCATGCTTGTGCGCAGCCCCAATGGCACGTACGAGTACATCGATTTCCGCGAGACGGCGCCGGCGGCTGCATTTGAGGACATGTACACCAATAACACGGCGGCTAGTCTGTATGGTGGGCTTGCCAGGTGAGTTACAATAAGCGAGATCTGATGTGATGGTTGTGTTTTTTATATTTATTTCTTTGTTTCTTTTTTAGAGTTAGAAGAGCCGGAAGTACGCATGCTAACAGTCCGTCATAGTGGTGTGCCCGGTGAGCTGAGGGGCTTGGAGTACCTACATAAGCACTACGGTGTTTTGCCCTGGAAGCAAGTTATGGCACCCGCCATCAAAGTTGCACGCTTTGGCTTCACCGTTAACGCCGACCAAGTTCGGTACATGACCTCGCTTTCTGACCCGAGTTTCTTGACCGATGATCCCAACTGGGCCATCGACTTTGCCCCTCATGGCTACCGTGTTCAGCTCAATGAGACTATGACGAGGAAGCGTTATGCGGATACTCTCGAAGTTATTTCCAACGAGGGTGCTGATGCATTCTACACTGGCGCCATTGCTAATGCCACCATTGCGGCATTACAGGCTTCCAACGGGACCATGACACTTGATGACCTCAAGAACTACACTATCGCCCTGAGGACACCGTCTAACATCACGTACCGCGGCTATAAGTTGACATCCTGCGGCGCACCGGCGGGTGGATCCGTCGCCTTAAGCGCCTTGAACATCGTGGAACAGTATTCAGGATTTGCGGACCCGTCTGCCATCAACTTGACCACACACAGACTCGACGAAGCCATCAGATTCGCATACGGCCAGCGCACTGAACTGGGTGATCCCTCCTTTATTGATGGAGTCTTCGAGTACCAGGACTCGATGCTGTCTAGTGCAACAGCAATCGAAATCCGATCCAAAATCTCTGATTATACCACCCAGAACGTCTCATACTATAATCCGGGCGGTCTGGAGAGTATCGATACGCCAGGAACGAGCTATATCGGCACGGCCGACAAAAGCGGCTTGGCCATCAGCCTCACCACGACCATCAACACCATCTTCGGCTCGCGACTCATGGTGCCAGAAACGGGCATCATCATGAACAACGAGATGAATGACTTCTCTATTCCGGGATCCAGCAATGCGTTTGGCTATATCCCTAGCCCGGCAAACTACGTTCGGCCCGGCAAGCGTCCACTCTCATCCATCTCGCCCACCATCGCTGAGACGGCGGACGGCAAGCTCTACCTCGTGGTCGGTTCTGCAGGGGGAAGCCGAATCATCACGGCGACAATTCAAAACATTCACCACGTGCTGGACCAGAACATGACGACTCCTCAGGCGCTTGCGCAGCCTAGACTGCATGACCAACTTAGCCCGAATCTGGTCACTTTCGAATATCCCTACGACAACAGTACCGTGGCGTACATGAAGAGCCTAGGACATAATGTGAGCTGGGTTGGGCCAGGCCAGAGTACCGCGCAGGCGTTGAGGTTGTTGTCGAACGGCACATTTGAGGCGGCAGGGGAGCCAAGACAAGTGGCTTCAGGTGGTCTTGCCGTGTGAGAGAATATAGAGATGACGATTTTCACAACATTCCAGGGTATCATAACAAAAGAGTAAGATAAAAGAGTGCTACATACAGCCATTCTCCATAATACACCATTTGATTTCTTCCATGAGGTTTAACTCAAATGCCAAAATTTGCTATGAAAATACGGTTACGTAGTTATTTCGCAAATTCCAAACCAGAGTGTATGCAAGGTAAGATTGAAAAAGGAAAACTGAAAACATGCGGAATGACATGCCAAAAAGCAAAAACTTCAGCAGTCTTGAAGATTATTAGGATTTGGTTGATGACCAAAAGAAATGACCAGAGGGAGGCTCGATCTCCCGACCTTCAGTGGACACTCGCATTGAGATGTTAGACTGACGTGATAACCAACTACACCATCCGGCCAGTTAGATGATTGAGTGATGAAATTAGTCTCCCCAACAAATTATATCTTGTACATAACTGGAGATGGGGTAAGTACGTCGTTAGGAGTATAAATCTGGTCGGTGACGAGTAACAAGATTTCAATACATTGATGCAGTCTCAAATTCAGACTGAGCTATTATGAAAATGGCAAAAGAGTGACTAAAACCAAAGTGCCCAACATTCCGGATGCAACCCTCCTTTACTTCCCCATGCACACCATTTCCCATTATAACCATCTATCCAATGCCATGCATATCTATTCGTCGATTGATTAAACCTGACACCCCTACACCTCTCTTCCTTGGTGAGTATTCAACTCCTCTTTCAAGGCAAAGGCTGAACATCGAAAGACTTGTCCGCTGCTTTGCCGCCAGCCAGCTCCGCATCCGTGTAAGACGGATATCCAATCAGCTTAGCCGACTGATCAACAACGGCCATGGTCGTGAAACCGGGGCCGAATTGGCCGCTCCAACCCGTGCTGACGGAGTAGCGTCCGCATTGGACCGGGCCGCCGTTGGTTTTCGTCGCGTCGTGGGTCCCGTCACCGACGGTGGTCAGGGCGCAGTGCACGACGGCGCTGGCCGTGGGGGAGATGTTGAAGGACCAGGTGCAGGTGCCCCTGGTGCCGGCGGTACAGGTACGAGTCAGCGACTTGATGGTCCATTGGGTCGCGCGGGCGTCGATGGGCGCTGGGGCAGCGAGGGAGGTGGCCGAGAGGACGGCAGTGAGAAGGGCGGTAGTGAACTGCATTTTGGTTGATTGCGTTGGATCGACTTCGATGACTTGTAAGGGTTGGCAAGCTGAGTTGTGTGGAATTGGAGATTTCGATGAAGTGGCGATTATAACAATAAGAAGTGGTGTGAACTGTGTCGAGTCTGGATTATGTTTGATGGTGTGATGAGGATGATGAATAGCTAAAGGGATCTTTATCAGTCTTTATACATGACCTTCTTTCTCAGGAAGCGGCGGTCCATTGCTGTATTTTCTCCGTTAGCATCGTCCTGTTGTGTTTTCTTTGATTCACATGAGCATTAGTTCCTAACTGCAGTCTTGCTGAGGTGTTGGTTACGGGATACGGGGTCTGAGCCTTGTCTTGATGCCGTATTAATTGAACGAGCCACAAGTAACGTTGACATAGAGAACCACACCTATGCATCGTGAGTCGTATCATTGTTATTGTGGAATGACAGTATGAGCACTAGCCGACTGTCATGTACTCTAAAGTCAGAGTCAGATGGTCAGCATGGCTTAAACATGATGTTCCTTCGGCTTGGCAACACGTGTTTGTATGACCGCGTATGGAGCTAGTTTCTCTCGACATACGATTACTTACTCTCGCGGTTAGATTAGGGCGGCGAAATCAGTAACTGAGTCTGCTTGCTTGTTCCCAAGTTGATGTTTGACCGGCAACGCAATAATCTTATTGGTGTTTTTGAAACTCGGACATCCAAGAAATCCCTAGGGTGTCGGGCCGCCACAAAGACAACCCAGTAGGAAGGATATGGCGGTCCCCGCCAAAGACGCACAAAGGCTGTCATTTGTCTGGCTGAGACTATTTACCGCTTAGTCGCGTCCCAGGTCAAAATAGTTATAGCAGCTTCGGAGTCCGAAACATCACGAGTAATACGCACGGCGCACAAATCTGATCCATCGGAATGATCACTACTCAGTCCAAACCAGTATGCTGTCAATCAAGGCCCTGAAACAGTTTTCTATGGGCAATGACCGAAGTAAGGATCATTGCAATGCCCAAACTTGAGCCTTTGAAACCCAGCCCAGCAATTCCAGCGGTTACGATCGGTGTAGCAATTAATGGTCATAGGGGTAGCTGGAGTACTCAGTCCTGTCTCTCCATCACCCCGCTTGGTATAATAGCCTAGCAGCGTGGCATTGCCACCGCCGGAGCTGACGCGCCATAATAAGCGGCATAGGTATCGTTCGGCGAAAGCATTCAGTCAGGTGCAGTACACAGCGCCTCCAGCTGGGACCCAGCGTCGGGTGGGATGATGGCTGCGGTTGGCGCACAGCGTCTGTGGAAAGCAGTGTTAGGGATCTGATTGATGCTCTAACCACCAGCTTGGTCGATGAATAACCCCATCTCGACATTATCAAGGCACATGGATCTGTCATCGCGAAATGTGTTAAGTCCCAGGTCTGTTCTTTCTTGGTGGTGTAGCAATGGAGATCAAGGGAAAAGGTTCCTGACTTGTGCACTTCATACATAGAGGCTTTTCCAGAGTACGAGGGAAGCTCAGGGGACCCGATATGCGAGCAGCCGAGGAAGGGACCGAGATAAGAGTAGACATGAGTGAAGAAGACACTACATCGACATCAGTTCCCACCTCAGTAGTTACTTCTCTGATGGCTTCGTACTATTGTGCAGAAGTAGTGTTCCCGAACCCGGACCTCAGCTGTTTGGAAGCATGACAATCATCATCACCAAGTAAGCTGACGGGTTGCACTTGAAGTACCCGTTCAGATCAGCATATTCGCCGTCGAAGACCGTACGCGTCAGTGCACCGATGAAGCTGGCAATGGGGACGGTGCTGTACTTGGAGAACAGACCCAAAAGGGCAAAGTGTAGTACAAGAACTGCCCAAAATGGCTAGTTGGCAGCCGTATTCTCGCCAATCATTCTTTGTGTATAGGAATCGCAAGTGGTCTTGCCATTGGGTTGTTTTGTGCCATTGGATTGTTCTAGAGCCAAGATGAGAAGCGGTTCGTATAGCAGCACAGATGTTACGAACAGAGTGCGAATTTGGTAAAAGGGTGGCATTTTGTCATTTGCATCAGTGTTATTCTACGACAACCATGTTTGGAAGCTTGACAGTCGACTGGTCAAATGCAGTCGGTTCTGGACTAAGGTTGGACAGACTTATAGTGCTGCGTATATCAAGCAGAAAGTTTTCTCCATAATTGCTTCGTCTTCAGCTTTTGTGAACTCAAGTGGGTCGCTCGCGAGACCCTGCTGACAACGGAACCGCGCCGAAAATAGCCCCTGTGTGCCATGCTCCATAAATACCCAGCAAACACAAAAAAAAGATTCCGCGATCTAAGCGTTCCCGGAGACGTATGCCTCAATAACTTCTGGCAAGCACTGTTACTATTCCATCAAGTCAAGCTAAGATATACACAGGCCTGGACGTACATACTCTCTGGTAAGCCAAGGCGAAGCATGCTGCTCATATCCATGTTCATCGACATTGACCGTCGTGCTGACGGACCAATCCGAGATGAGAATACCGTCTGTCGTTCTTAGGAACAGGGCGGCCTGCTGCCTGTAGAGTGACGATGAATTCTCCGGTGGACCGTGGAGGTGGCCGAGCTTCATGGGACCTGAAGACGGTCGGAAGTCTCCACTTGGACTACGAAGTATGCGTCGAGGCTGATAAGGGTAATGAGAGGCTGGAATTTGAAAAGTCGTAATGCACCCATCAGCGGCGGCTACCACCGGCCACAACACCGCACTAGCCCTAAATCTAAAAGCCAAGAACCCCCAAGGAAGACACCACGTGACGAATGACTTCTTTTCCGTCTTGTATGCCCCAATATCGCATGTTTTTGAGGCTTTGGGATGCATCTAGTCTATCATCCTATCTGTCCGTGTCAACTAGCATCTTTATCCAGGTGAGAGGTGTCCATCCAGCGATAAAGCTGACTTATCAGACGGCGCAACTAGATCAGCCCGAAGCCAGCGATAGAAGTTAGCTGCGAGGGGTCCCGCCAGCCGCAGCGTCGCTCGCATTCAATAGTCTAGAAATCCCGCTTCCGTCATCGAAATGTCGCGTCTAGACTCTGGAGGTAGGTGCCATGTTTGCGCTCTGGAGAAAGGGGTAGAGACTTGTTGGCGCGCGGCGAAGGGCGACGACCTTAGGTGTTCTCAAGTTACCACAATCCAGTTCGGGGAACCGTTTTTACATAGACTTCTGACAAAGAGACTGTCCAGATTGGCAGCCCGCCAAGATATCGCCGTGGGGCGCTGAGATTGAACGGTCCCGCCCGCCATCGTCTCCGCCCTGCTGCAGCACCAGCCCGACGCCTTATCTGCGATTTCTGGGTGTGATTTACGCCATAACTATGTGCTTAAGTACTTCATATCTGCCATTCCTGTCACACTTCTGTGTGCAGAGCATACTTCAGCAGCCGCAAACTCTGAGGAGCGACCGTTGACGTCCTGGCGTATCCTTTACATCCCTAATTTTGGCTAGCAGTTAGGGTTCTGTCAATACTAGCTCAACGGTAGCGTCGCGCAGGCGCAACCGTTCTATTCGCCTTACTGTCGAGCTTTCATAGGTCATCAGCAGTTACGCTGACTCAATGGACGAGGATCAGGCTCCCTCGCGCATCGTGCCCTCAGAGGCACCCAAGAAGACTTTAGGCGATCGCGTGCGGATCCTCAAGCACACGTTTCTGACGAAAGATGGACTTCTTGGAGACTACGACTATGCCTTTCTGTTTCGCCCCAACCTGCCCTTCATGAAGAAGCCGCGCAAGCTCGCGCCATTCTTCGGGCTCAATGATAGGTTGCCCGTCTTTCTGGCGCTGCTTCTCGGGCTTCAGCATGCGCTCGCTATGCTTGCGGGCATCATAACCCCCCGATCATCCTGGGCGGGGCAGGCGGAGTTAACCTGGAGGGTGATATGCAGCAGTGTGAGCAACTCGCGGGGTCTATATTTCCCTTATTTGTAGTCTCTCCTGAGACAAGCTGCCAGCAGCATTGACTAATGCCGAGAGTTGAACAGATCTAGTTTCCACGGCTTTGATTGTCTCAGGGATTCTCTCTTTGATCCAAATCACCAGGTTTCACATCTACAAGACTCCGTACTACCTCGGAACCGGCTTGATCTCCGTTGTCGGTATTTCATTCTCCATCATACCCGTTGCTCAAGGCGCCTTTGCTCAGATGTATGCAAATGGCTTCTGCCCGACAGCCGAGGATGGAACGAAATTGCCCTGCCCTGATGGTTATGGCGCTCTGCTGGGAACGTCAGCTGTCTGCGGCTTGGTTGAAATCCTTATCGCCTTCATCCCCCCAAGACCATGCTCAAAATATTTCCTCCGATCGTAAGTGGGCAGGCCATATGGTCAATCGAAAAAGGTGATCAGCTAACCTCCTTTGCAGGTGACTGGCCCTACTGTGATGCTCATCGGTATCAACCTAATCTCATCGGGTTTCAGTAACTGGGCCGGCGGCAGCGGTCTTTGCGCCGAAGCAGAACCCATCGATTTCTACGTCTTGTGCCCCGACATCACAGCACCACATGGGCTGCCGTGGGGCTCCCCTGAGTTCCTCGGCCTGGGCTTCTCCGTCTTTCTGGCCATCATCCTGTGCGAACGCTTTGGCGCCCCCATCATGAAGTCGACATCCGTCATCATCGGCCTCCTGACGGGCTGTATCATTGCTGCCGCTTGCGGGTACTTTGACCGGTCCGCCATCGACTCGGCGCCCGCTGCTTCCTTCATCTGGGTCCACACTTTCAAGCTCCAGGTCTATGGGCCTCTGGTTCTTCCCATCATGGCCGTCTTCATTATATGTGCCTGTGAGGCAATTGGTGATATCTCAGCCACGTGCGACGTCTCCCGTCTCGAGGTCACTGGCGAGATCTACGAGTCTCGGATCCAGGGTGGTGTGTTGGCAGATGGCTGCAATGGTATCCTGGCTGCTCTCATGACCATCACCCCTGTATCCACCTTCGCGCAGAATAACGGCGTCATTGCGCTTACTCGTTGCGCTAATCGCACTGCCGGGTATTGCTGTTGGTAAGATGCCCTATTCTGCCCCTATTCTGCCCCTATTCCCCCCCGACCCCCCTTTGTCCCCAACCATACGCAATAAAAGACTCACGCATGTTAGCATGTTCCTAATTATCATGGGAATCTTCGCCAAGTTCGCCGCCTCGCTGGTCGCCATTCCCTCCGCCGTGATCGGCGGCATGACTACCTTCCTATTCTGCGCCGTTGCCGTGTCTGGCATCGCCATCATAACCAAGGGCGTGTCTTTCAATCGGCGCAACCGCTTCATCCTAACGGCGGGGCTGGCGCTCGGCTACGGCGCCACACTGGTCCCCACATACTTCGACCGCGTATTTAGTTACAATGGCGATAACAAGGGACTGCAGGGTTTCCTCGATGCGATTGTCCTCATCATGGAGACGGGGTTCGCCGTCACAGCTATCGTGTGTATAGTGCTCAATCTGACGCTCGCCGAAGAGGTGGAGGAGACGGAGGAGGGCATGCCTGACACGGCCAGTGTCGGAGATACGCCTACGGTGGTGGCTAGGAAGAATGTGCAGCTGAATGGGCAGAGCTTGGACAGTGATGATATTCGCCCTGCTGGCGCAAGTCGGATGGAAGAAAAGGTGTAAATGCTAGATAGAGGGGCCAGAATGGACGAAGTAGGATGGTTGCACCGTACTAAAGTTAGTAGATATTGTATATTGGTTTACTGGGAATCATGTACATATTCGATTCACTCACCCGCTTTTGCTTATTTCGCATATTGATGGGAGGCTTTCCGCGAGTTATTTCAGAGACGTTCTTAGCAACCCGAAGCCAGGATTGCCTTGGCCGTTACCGCTGAATCGTTGCGGTTAGTTTGTGAATTCGTTATAATTGTCCGTCCATTCTATCTCGTAGAGACAAGGTTTTGTTTGGCGTCTCTTTCAAGCTTTGTTCTCCAACAAATCTTGTTTTCATTGAGCCACTATTTATAAGCCCTGATCGTCGAATAACGTACCACTATGAATGGCTTTCTCGACTCTTTTACCGATGTATACTGTATTTCATGTCTCTAGTCGGTATAATCCACTCAGTCCAGCTTCTTCAACAAGTGAATGGTATAGCTGATTTCTTTCTACTTGAATTTATTATTGGAGCTCATACCTCTAGAACAAATCGAAGCAATTGGCATAATAGGTGACCGTACTCGACCAATCCGAGAATATCCCGATGACGCCCACTTCCTGCACCAGGACATCAACCAGCCTATACATGTCCCCATCCTTGACGGTCCCATTTGCGATGCTCACATAGTAATAGTCCTCACCGGCTGCCACATTCGCCAATGGCCCCGACCTCTCCAACGACCACGTCAGGAGCTTCAGCCCCAGCCGCTTGGCCTCGACTGCGTATGCACTGGGAACGTAATTGTTCCCCTCACCAAGGGCTACCAGGTATGGCAACGGCGGCGCAACGATCTGTACCCCGGCCTCCTTGTACGTGGTCAAATTGGCCACTGCACCGGGGAATGTCTCCGCCGAATCACCGCTCTCATCCAATAGCACCGCTTGCGCCCCAAACTCGGGCTCGTTCGCAATCCAGTATGCCACGGCATCGAGCTGGAAGCTCTGCGGCCAGACGCGACTAAAGGCAATGCCGGCTTCGCGGTACTCATCCGCCAGCTGCTGCTGGTATTTCTGCACAGTGTAGTCGCCGTCGAATGGCATGGGCACAGCGGGGGCTTTCAATTCAGGGGTGAAGTCAAGCCCGAGCGAGTCAACGAGGGAGATGTACTCCTTGTGTCCAAGGACGGTGCCGCAGGTAGCGTACAAATCAGTTCGCCAGGCGGGCGTACCGTGGAGGTAATCCTCGGGAGTCATGGCCGAGGAATTGGAGCCGTCCATCTTGCCGCATAACGTCTTGAACTCGGCGAAAGTGATGTCGCTGGTGCAGCACTTGGCCGTGGCGGCCGCGCCATTGGATGCAGGAGTAAAAGGAGTGCTGCACTTGGCACCCAGGTCCGTAGCTACGATGTTGGTCGTTGTGTGTAGATCGCACTGGTCGTGGCGGCAGACCAACTCACGGTCCCTGGTGAAGGCTACGTCGCACTCTTGGATGCCCGCGCCCATGCGCGTGCCCGCCATGATGGACTCGACTGTTTCCTCGGGGAACTGGAGACAAGCACCGCCGCGGTGGCCGATGCTGAATTTGGTTGGACGCATCTCCATTTCTGAGCACGACGAGAGACGTTGTTTCAGCGGGCCATCGTCCATGTCGTTGGTCAGGTAGTAGGGCCGAGGGCCGAGTTCGACATTGCTGATGGGATGTTGGGCTGGCTTGATTCCGCGACTGTAGGACGTCCAGTCGAGCTTTGGCATGGCACCGACCTCGACCGCGGCGAAGAAGCCAGCGGCTAGCGACACTGATTTGACATGCATATTGACCAACTGGTGAGCGAACCTACCAGGTTAGGATCTTCAAAGGGCTCGGGTTCGGTTGACTGGGCTTGTGAAGCCGCAGCGAATTTATCAACGCCATTTCACGGAAGTAGGCTTCTCTTATGAGTTCGCAGCTACACGATCAAGCTGGACGACAGGCTGCCAACCAGTAGAAACAGTGACGTTCAACCGCTACTATCGCAACCACAATCATCGTCCCAGAGATTATCAGCGAGTAATTTGGTATCATCAGCGCAGTCATGCATCGAATCCGCAATGCCAAGCGCGAAGGGATGCTGGGCACTCTGCCTGTACCAGGGCCTGCCCCGGATGATTCGACCGGCGGAGCACGTGGGCATGTGCAGAGATTGGGCCCATCACGCCTCGAAGTCGAGAAGAACAATCTCATACTTGGCAATGCGGGACAACGGGGCTTCTTAACCACGATCAGCTAGAGGTAAAGAACCATGCACGCCAAGACATCGTGCTCCAGTCCACCACTTCTATTCGTCGAGTCAGGCAGAACCTTACCAACGGATAACGCCGCAGCTGGTTCTCCATGAACGACATGTAAGCACGTCACTTGCTAGAGATCTTGGACAAGTGAACACCACCCCATATTTCATTGTCAATCAACTACAAGCCGCCCTCAGCCGCCATTTGGACGAATACGACTTGCCGAAGTTCGCTTGAGCATGCTCGAAACCAAGATGGCCAGCTGCTTGGCATTAACGAGGGATATCCAGGAAGCATGGCAGCGATACCATTCCGAGAGGTCGACAGATCTATGGCCGATTGAAACTCCCAGTGAACTCTTTCTCATGCTACTATCCAGCCAATGGCCAGTTTCAGCGATCCTTCCGACTTTACATCGCAGAAACGACGAGGACACTTCCAGCCAAGATAGGTAGGTGAAGCGAAGGAGGATTCTCACCGACCGGACATTGTCCGCCGTCTTTCAGCAGCGTGATTTCTGTGACCAGGATACAGTACACAGAGGTGGTGAGTTGGAACCTTCAAACCGGCTGTTGCTGGTCACGGTCAAGCAGAACGGCATGAGCTAAAATCTCGGTGATGGGCGCCAAGAACATGTACCAAAAATATTGAGAACTCATCAACGGCGGTATCTTTCAGAGGTCGTCCAATCTGGGTTCTGTGAAGCAGCTGGACCACTTTGCAAGCTTTTCGGATGTCGCCGTGCGTGGTTGACAGCATCGACCGCCATCTGTTTGATCTAACCTTTCGGGTACGCACTGAACAGCTTGCGGGACGGCGAGGGTTGTCTATATCTACGGGGAATAGGGTGATGAAGGCACGGGTATTCCGCTGGACCATTCGAATCGTGCTCTCCAGGGAAGATACTGGCTGTTTAAAGTATCGACGGATAACTCAAACAACCCCTGCCATTCCTTGTGGCCATTGCTAACTCCTAGCTGTACTTAGTCGTGATACCCTCAACAACAAGGCTTTCGTTTAGTAACACGAGTGCGGTCCAGGGATATAAGGTTCGACTGGTTGCATGGTGGTTGGAACTCCTAGGCCATGGACAACAGTATGCAGGTGGTGGTTCTTCGTTTCAGGCTGGCCTACTCCCTGAACATCTAGCAAAAGATTTGCAATGTTCCAAGGTTCGATGCTGGTGACGAGTCGACGGGCAGCATATATGCACTTCAATCGCAATCAATATCGAAGCAAATCGAGACGTACCGGCTCCGCCACGCGCAATGTCATGCACATGTCCATTCGTCCCGTGGCGCCAGCATACCTATGCGGCACTCGGAGCCCGCCTGGTGGCTAAACATATGGGCTATGCCCACATCCCCTCAAATCGGACGATATCGTGGAGATTGCAAACTGGCCCCGCATGTTGGGAACGGCGGAACAGCGAGACAGACCCTCAGCCGTGGCCAACTTATGCCTATATGGCCCGTGCACCATACACACCTACTTAGATAGCTCGAGGGACTGCCTTCTAACTACCTTGCCTCACGGTATAAACCATTTCGAGTTAACCATATGCTCGGCTCTTGACGTACTCCGCCTTATATATTACTACTAACAGTTAGCTTTACTCCCTAGAGAGGCTAGTCGCTGTTTAGCGAGGTATAAACTATGGATAGAGTTAAGAGCGGCGTAGAAGGTTTGTACCCTAGTAGGAGAGGTGGGGAAGGCTTTTATACTTTCTGCCGCGCAGATAATTGAATTATTAATAGAAAACGGCTAATTAAGTAAAGAATTCAATAAAACGCTGCGAAATTAATCATTTTCTTGGCAGACACGGCCCTCCTAAGAAGAGGGCTTCCAAGGATGTACGTTAGCCTTCGGGCTCTTTGAATCAGGCGTGTTTTGCAGATAACAGGTGAGAATGAAGTGAAGTGCCATGGTGGTCGTTGAACCCTGCAAAATGGGGGTCGATACAACATAACAGTCGAGACGGTTAGATCGAATCGGTTGCTTTCCCCACGTTGGATGCCGGGCAACCGTTCCGACAGAGGATTCGCCTCACTGTTACAAGTTTCAAGCTGTTGAATGGCCAGCCTTCCTCCAACAGCTTGGCCCTGGCCAACCCTGCTGTATATCACTGACTGTCGGCCAATCAGTTTTGCTCTGTACACGCCACACCGCGCGCAGCAGCCTCTGCTGTCCGATGACGTAGCATCGCCACTTCTCTTTTGTGAATGACGACATGGTTGCGGCGGGATTCTTTTTTTTCAATCCCGACTTGCCGACTTCATCATGCAATTCAAGCTAGAGCTTCGTGCACCGCTGTGTTTGCCAAGATATTGGGTAGGCTTGTACCGATTCTTTCCTTCCTAATGTTAAATTATATCGGATCACGATCGCCGTGGAAACGTTCTGTGTTAGGCATAGCTACATTAGCGGGATAGCAGAGAGGCTGGGTAGGCCCACGTCATGGCGCTTGGATTCTTCTGGGCAAATCGTTCCATGATCGAGACGCGGCGGTTCTAAAAGTTGCTAGACCGCCTCCAGCCCAACCCTTCCCAGCCAATCCAACTGTCCCAAGACCTATGACACGCTGACTAGTGCCATGTCTCTCGTCACTCCCGGCGTCGAGTGACCCCATTACAACCTGGCAACTGCGGGTAGGCAAGCAGGGCGTGGCTAAATAGGAGGGTCGCAGTCTTCATATATTACAATTCGCATCCATCCTACTCACCTATCTGTCTTTGCTCATTTCGTATCATCATAAATATTTTTGTTCCTCACCTCTATCTACAGCGTTTTACCGGTCGCCAAGACTGAGCATCCCTGGAACGTCCTCTTGCAACCCTACCCCCCGGCTCCCCCACTTTTAGGCTATCAACATCCAAAATGGCGGCTGGATATCTCCCCATAGTCTACGGCATTGCGGCCGTGTTTGCTATTGTTGAGCTGGGCTTGACCGCATACAGTATGGCTTCGTCGTCCATCCACCCCCATCCATTCACCACTGCGTGCTAATTGAATCAACAGTGGCAAGCTGGTTTCATAGCTATTATTGGGATGGCGACTACACGCCCTCCATCGTCAGCTTCCTCGTCTTCAACTCGGTCTGGTCGCTGCTCGTCCTGGCCTACGTCGGCATCACCCCCATCTACATGGCAAGCGTCTTCCGCAAGCTGGCCGCGCTCGCCCTCAATGTCATCACCGCTATCTTCTGGTTTGCCGGCGCTATCGCCCTCGCTGTATATGTCGGTACGCCATCGTGTTACGGCAGCAATCGTTGCCAATCTTCACAGGCTGCTGTTGCTTTTGCCTTCTTTTTGTGGTGAGTATCTGACTCGGGCTTTCATCAAATATGACGACTAACTTTGTACAGGGTACTATTTACCTTCCTTGCCGTCCTCGATGCGCTTGAGGCATTGCGAAGCCGCGGTCACAACACTGGTGCTCGTATCGGATCTAAACCGACCCCATATTCTGGCGCGTAAATCCACTCGAGAAGACGCGAACCAGCTAGAAGCTGCTTAGGAATAGTTACGCTAGATTTAAATAGGGCATTACCCGTCAAAGTGTGAGAAAGTAGTTCGATGTCTTCGACGTACGGAAGTTCGTACTGCTTGACAAATATCATGTTTACGAGGTTGCGAGTTCTGAGTTCGAGGCGTTTGTGGCATAATACCCTTTACATTTAATTAATAAGATTAAGATGTATATTGCCTACGATTTGACGAAGAAATGCATGTAATGTCATTTTACAAACTACGTAAACCAAAATTCGTCACCTCTTGCTTACAACTAAATTTAAGAATAATGTAATAACAGTACTGGGTTGGGGATGTTACAAAGTACCTATTCAAATTTAGACCGTAAAGAACTAATAGGAATCATGATGATTCTGGCTTAATTATGTTGTTTTTCATTATAATACTGTCACTTACGAACCTTTTCCAATTCGCTGGTCCCTATGTTTATGTAGTTACAACTTGTCGAATTTTGTTGATACAGTTCACGCCGTGGGCCACAAGATGGTATCTCATATTTGGAAGGACAAGCGTTGAAATTTCAAGTTCTCTTGGGGATAAAATTGGTTATAGATGAGCAACGAGCCAGGTAATCAGACATATAAGCTGGAATCCCCTGGGCATTGTGCAGTACTAAACAGATGCAACGGAACTCCGAGTATTCAAATGTATATTGTGCTATCGTCCTCGTACAGGGAGCAAGTGGTGAGTTCTTGGCGGCGTTGAGCAAGGGTTGACAGTATTATTGCTAAGTCTTCAATACCACCCAAAAAGCTCCAGTAAGTAGCAGTAAATAGTACAAAGGAATAACGCCGGAATGACCCGCTTGCTCTCTATGCCCTTTCCCTCCCCTACTTCCGGTAACGGAGGACCATCTAAAATAGTCCCGCAAGTGTCGTCAATAATCATGTCCCAGCCACCATCTGGTTTCTATCGCAGTCATATTACCGTCTCTCCAACAGACAGGCCGATCTCGGTCTAGTACCTCCCAACATGCGCCCTGTTCAAAGCCCTGACTGATTCCGTCTTCCCAACCACGTGGGTACTGTCGACACTTTCCACCAACCCAGGGGTGTAGAGTGGTAAAGACATCCCCTGCAGTCTCTTGCCCTGCCAGAACCTGATTCCGGCGAAATAGACCTGGCTGTTCTGCCTTCCCGCATCTTCTCCGCCCATTTCCACCTGACCTCCCTCAGCAACTTCGTAGTATTCGATCAGAGCCTCCAGCTCGCTCGGGTGGATGAAATGGAACGACTTCATGATAAGAATCATGAAACCCGCGTCAAAGACGTACAGAAACACCTCGCTCGTCTTGACAATGGAAGTCGGGTACAGCGTTTCCAACAGCCGGATCAGGCATCTGATGCCCACCATCGCCGAGGATGCGTACAAGAGGTAAAGATGCTTGGCGTAGGGGATGACAGGCATGTTCTCCAACGAACCACCACCTTGCCCTCTGCCGGCCACGCGCGCCGTGGGGTTCCGCGAGAGGTTATACTGAAACTTCCCCGCAACGAACAAGAACAGCAACACAAAGAGCATCTGCTCACCCACACCCGTCATGACCAATCGGTTTCCTGTGCGGACCCAGGAAATGTGGTTGGTGAGACGCATGACGGATCCGGCGGTCTGAATGATCAAGGAAAAGGCGTCGAAGAGGAGGAAGACTCGCTTGTAGGTGCGAAGCTTCCAGGGGAGGATGGGCTTGTCTGCTTGCACGGCGACGAAGACGCGCTCGGCGTGCAGGTAGATGGTGGCGGAGATGAGGGTGGGAGCCATGAGGAGGAGGACGGATTGGATGGCGTAAGGGACCAACGTGAAATTGGGGGATTCGTTGTGCGACATGAGGCGGCAAATATAGCCCACTCCTTCCACTGTTTGAGGATCGTTAATATCGAGCTAACTTTGTGGAGAAGACTTATGTGTCTAAGAGGTGAGATGACTAACGTATAGCTGCGACAATCATGGGGGCCATGATGACTGACTTTGAGCGGCCGGCTTGATAGCCATGTATGGCGGCCACCTGAAGGAAGACGATCAGAAATGCCGCCGCCGGCATCAAAGACGGCGTGTATGTGTAATATCTGCCCGATGCGAGGGTCGCCATGGCTGCAGTCTTTGGTGCGTGTTCGCTTTGGGTTTGGATGGGAAGTTCGGCTTATTACACCAAATAGTTGCGTGGGATCGGAATTCGATGTCGCTCTCGTACCCGAAGTGAATGTCGCTTACAGGAGGAGTGATCGTTGCTTGACTTGGTCAGGGTATTCTGTACTTCTGCCTCAATCAACGGGAGACGACTGCTGTTATAGTCAGGAGTCGGATTCCTAATACGCGTACTAGTACACGCGGATACTACTGTCAAATACAACGGTTGAATCTCTTGACAAGTGGGACCGGTTTAACCACACTATCATCCATGTCAGTCTAAAAAAGGAATGTATCTACCAGATCAGCGGGGTTTACCTAGTGGATCAACGTTGAGCGGGATGGCTTATACTCATCTTGGCACTCGGGAACCTTAAATGCGGCCAATCAGACACAGAACCGAGCAGTTAAGCACTGCCCTGCGATAACCCCAGCCCACGGTAGTTGTATTAAGGCTAGCCAATAGTGCAGGGAACCGAATGTTCATCTGTTTAATATCAACAAAACCCTACTGTCCATTTGACAAACGCGGAAACAATGCACTTGCCAGGACATGGTCATTAGGCTGGCCAATCCAGGTTTTTATCCGACCCATCCGATTACGAAGTGGAGTTCGAGATGAACTGGGGTGGAGTTGGGCTTTCGCGTGCTTTTCAGGGCTCAGCCTTCTAGAATGCATACCGTCTCGTCACTGATTCGGGTGATGAAAGGCGTGGAGGCGTGTGATTTGTAGGACCCTCGATTTCGGACTTAAGAGTCCAGACGCCAACCCTGTCGAACATCGACCAGGGGATATGTAGGGCCGTCTAGTAGCTAAAGACAGGTCTTGGAGATCTATTTTTACGCGCATTTCTTGAGCTAGTTGGCATTCGCAAATTTTAATCTCCATGTCTTCTTTACCGTCATTCGCATGGTAGATATTTGACGTTTTGTATCAGAATCGATAGTCAGGGCTATACCGCACAGACAAAAATTCTGCAAGCTCGCCGAGTCATCAAGCGCTCCTCTGGTCTGGATTGGGAGCGGCATCTGGGTCGGGGATTGGATGTGCCATTGAATTGGGCAGATAGTGAAGTAACATCCATCCCCCTTTCCCCCGCCCAAAAGTGCAACTGGCGACCAAGTCGTCGAAATCTTGCCATTGTTGGTTGAGCATTTACAAGCTCTTGCCTGATTGCGGTTTCACAATGCAGCATTCCTGCCACTCAATCACCGACCGCCGGTTCTTCCCCCTCTTGGTTGCTGTGATATCTCCAATATGGTGCATGGCTGTCAAATCTGCTCTCACCTCTTACCAAGTCCGTTGGTCCCAGAAGTTCAAAGCACCCCTATCATTGTCGATGTTAATACGCACCTCTGCGGTCTCAATGGCCATCTAGGCTTTCTACGAAATACTGCGCACTCCCCTTGCGGGAAGCTTTTCGCACTATAACTCGTCCCTTACGCCGGTCATTCCATCGACTCCCGCGTTCAAGGCCTTTAGATGCTTGAACTCGGGCGCGTCCTCTCCAAGACCCCAAGCAAACACCCCGCCCAGCTTGCGCAAGTCCACGATGGCCGGAAACTTCTTCAAGATGGCCTCGGGCGTGTCGAACGTCCACCACAGGCTCTCGTCCTGATCGAAGTAAAAATAACCACCCTCGGCATTATCGTACCGGCCTTGGCTCAGCGCCTTCAGGTACGATGTTTCGATGATGGGAGGGAGTGGGCTTTTGGCGTGGTCGTGCCAGCTGAATCCGCCGGTCTTTCCCAGGTCGGCACCGGTTTCCGGGTCCTCCATGAGACCCGTTGGGCAGCCCGGGACCACGCCTCGTCCTTTTGCGCAGGATTCCGGGTGGTTGGGATCCAGCAGGAAATACTTAGCGTAGAAGGCAAAGCCAAGATTGAGCTTCGAAGGCGGCGCGCCGTTACTGATGTATAAGTCGATGGCCTCGAGTGAATTCAACAGACCAGTGTGATGTTTGGTTACGTTGTCACGACGGTTCATCAGGTCGTACGTCATTACGTTGAGGAAGTCGACGGATTGCATTATGACCGGCTCGGTTTCAGCGGTGAACGCAAGCATGTCGCGTGGGATGCCAGGGACCGCTGCGGAGATGACTTTATCGGGGCCTATCGACGTGCGGACCGCGGCAAGCAGTCTTGGGTAGGCTGCAATGGTCCATTTTCTCTCTGAGTTGGGGACCTGCTTGTAGTCCTCGCCGTTGCCGCTGGCGATGCTTGTTAGTACAGGACCGAGCTGGTCACGATGCCCTTCATCCCACCATGATTGCTTACCCAGGATATTCCCAGTCAATGTCCACACCGTCTGCACCCGTGGCATCGACCATTTTCTTCACATTCCGCGCGAACCTCTGACGGCTCTGCTCCGTTCGGGCTGCATCATCAAATGCTGTATCGCCCCATCCACCAATTGCGACCATGACCTTAGTTCCAGGCTTGAATTTGGATCGTGTTTCGGATACAGACATAAACAGTGGCCAGCTTGGATCCGGTGCCTCTTCATTGAAGGTGCCACAGCCCATGAAGGCCAGAATGACATGGTTAATGGATGAGGTGAGGTCCAAAGAAGGCACAATGGGGTGTTGGCTGTGGGCATGGTCAGTGGAAGAACACGGCATATGCATGAACTGATCCTGACCCTGTCAAGTACATGATGTTACGCAACTGCGGTTCGGCCGACTGCGCCGGTGAAACGATGCTCAAGACCAACAGGCCGAGAATTTGGAGTGCGAAACCTGCCATGGTGACGCTGCAGAGGTATGGAGAGCGTCGTCAATGGTAAGGCAGTGAGTAGGAGTCGGGAATCGATATCTCAGACGAAATGAAAGTGACACCACATTAAGCGGATTGAAACATTTGCTGTTACACGAGGTTCCGTGGGAATGGAAAGCGCATGCACGTCAACGACTCGACGCTTGCTTAAGTGCATTCAACCCAGGTGTCATCTTTTGTCAAGTTCCGTTAGATACATATCGATACCCCTCCAACCCCAACGATCTTTCGAAACCAAGGTAAATTTCAGCTCCGCCAAGGTACATAGGGTCTCGTTTTAAAATCGGGTGAGCTCGTTTCGGTTTTCCAGTTCTTCAGACCTTACGCCTCAAGTGCTTGACCTGCCTTTGTTCCTTTCCCTATGGTAACCCACTTCATACCACCGGGCCGTCTTCCGTGCACCAATACTAAAATTATATTACATATCAGTCGCCCGGAGCGCCCAGAAGACACTAAAGAGAACACAAGCCAGACTTTTCGGGCTTGATCCACAGTGGTTCTACAGAGCCACGCCGCCTTGGAATTGAATTATGATTCTGACGCTACAGTTGCAGGGTGCTGATGGCATCCAAAGGGTCGGGACAATACTCAGCGGGTTCCTGCATTTTGTGTGGATGCCCGAACTATACTGTCGGTGTAGATATGCCGGCCCGAAACATGGTTGAAGATGTTTTGGACCTTTTTGTCCGAGGGCCATCTCGCCTCCCTGATGACTACTTGGACATCTATAACATTACTACCTGCCTGCCGTTAGAAATACTGGAGAGTATCCAGGGGATTTGTTGTCGCACAAAGATAAAATAAGGTCCAATAAGTTCTGCCCGAGGTTTATTCTTGCCTTTTTGTCCCCCTCGGGTCCTCTCGTCTTTCAGTCGATGGCAGCTTTAGCCATGTCTGGTGCCTCATCCCATTCAGCTGGGTTAACCACAACCATCACAGTATTGAAGTGTGAAACCCAGTCGGTTCGAGGCAAGCGAGTTCTCGAACCCCCAATTATTGATGCTGAATCTACAACCGACTCTGGAAGCCTCACACCCGGCGTCTACCGTTACCAGTATGAGAATGGCCGAAGATCCCACGCCTTGCCTAGGTGACGAGGTGCAAAACCGCGAAGACCTGACGCATTGGGTGACGATGGAACCGACGGGTGGAATCTTCGCGCCCACAGGCGATCACCCGCAACGCATCATTGATCCGAGCGCCGGCACAGGCATATGGGCTATAGAAACGGCTGACAAGTTCGAAAGTTCCTCTGCCATTGGTCTGGATAGGACGCAGATCCGGCAGATGTTCATCCCACCCAACCTGAAGTACATCCTCGGCGACATGAAGAAGGAGTGGTATTGGGCCTACGACTTTGACCCTGTGCACCTCCGCCACATCTGCCCGTTGGTCAAACCCAGCCGCGTTGACCAGATCCTCCGTTAGCCGTTCGTAAATCTCCAGCCCGGGGGGAGGTGGGGTGGACTGAGGTGCAGGAACATCGCAGTACCCTTAATGCGGTGACGGGACTATGCGGCCCAGCGGCCGAGTCACTCGGTTCGCCGAGCAGGTGACCGAGGCGCCACGGCATTTGAACATGAGACGTTCGTATGCCTAACCACCTTGGCCTTATGCTTGCCGTAGCCAGTATCATCCATGTCCACCGTAGGCGGCTCAAGTTTCTCATTGGCCTCTAGGCACGGAACAAGAAGCTGAGATTGGCGGATTCGTGTGGCTTGCATATCATATAAGATTAGATGAGCACCACGAAAGCCAAGCTTATGCGCGAGATCGTGGGCCAGAACGAAATAGAGAACTTCGCCGCCAGGGTCTTCGATGAGTTGGAGGACGGCGAACATAGCCAACATATCTACGGCAATTACTTCTTCTGGTATGGTATGCGGAGAAGCCTCGTGCTGCATGACAAGAAATCTCCCCAGGGGCAAGTCTAGTGGGGCAAAAGGCCCTGTTCTGGGCGTTTAGGATAATAGGATAAATACCAGGGTATCATGGGGAACTTACTCACCATTGCGAATGAGGCATCACTGGTTGCGGTATGCGCTGGGGGTAGAAACTACAGGTTGCTTGCATGCCCACCATGTATCATGCAGGATTTCCAAGTTTGTTGGGACAATCAATGCCTGATTTGCACATCAAGACAAGATCAAGACCCTTTACCTGCAGTCGAATGCTGGCTTCTGAGTGGCGGCGGCGGCGTAACATCGCAGATTTTGGGTGCATGGACATCATGCTTGAATTGATTCGATGAATGAAAACAAGCCATTCTCGCTGGTACTCAATAATCGACAAAAGGACAATTTGTAGCAAACCCAATTCTTTCAAGATGATTGTGAGATTGAGGAAGTTGCTGCCATTGATCGGATTAGTATGTGTATGCTTCAAGGCATGGTTGCCTGTGCCGCAACTCATGCACGGGCCCCTGTAAACGCGCCTGCCATCCATTTTGGCGATTGCCTCGGATTTTTTCAACGTCGTGTCTGAATAGTTTCAATTTCTCACACATGCGCTTGATCAATGGAACAAATCCGACAACTCACAATGCTATAGTCAACAGGATCTTTTGTAATACCAATCATTTGCCTTCGTGTGGTATTCAAGGACGCGAACCCACATCCTCGACGACAATGTTTGAGAATCTCTGCACCCTGCCGTTGAGCGCCGAGCTCTTTACTCAGGCATTGCATCCTACCGAGCCTCTCCTAGCTGTCGGTCTCTCAACGGGCCATGTTGAATGCTTCCGATTGCCGGCTTCGGATCGAAGTGGAGGGGATGAAGATGGGGGTGCCAGTGCAGATACCAGTATTCTGTCCGATGGCAAGGGAGCAATAGACACCATCTGGCGCACCAGAAGGCACAAGGGTAGCTGTAGAGCGCTGGAATTCAGTGTGGATGGCAGTGGTAAGTAATGCACAATTGACTTGCACCCGACCTGATATAGCAGAGGAGGATCAGCTAATGGTACCCCTTGTAGCACTCTACTCAGCCGGTACCGACTCCCTCCTCAAGCACTTCTCGCCTAAAACAGGCCAAGTTGCCTCGAAATTTGTCATACCCTCCCGTACCTCCGGTCCAGACCCGCCGACGCTCCTTCGTGTCCTCTCCCCCCAAAGTCTCCTCCTCGCCTGCGACTCGGGCGCCCTCCACCTCCTCGATCTCAGGGACCACGCCCTAGAAAAGTCCAAACCGGCACAGACGCACTTCCCCCACGATGACTACGTGTCCGCCATAGCGCCGCTGCCACCGAGCGACCAGAGCACAAGTGGGTACAGCAAGCAATGGGTTTCGACGGGAGGAACAACAATTGCCGTCACGGATCTGCGGAGAGGTATACTCATTCGCAGCGAGGACCAAGAGGACGAGTTGTTGAGCGCCACGTTTGTACCTGGCATCGGACCTAAGAAGAACACCCAGAATGGAGTCATGACAGTGGGCACTGGAACGGGCATCCTGACGCTGTGGGATAAAGGCGCATGGGATGATCAGACAGATCGAATCATCGTGGACAGAGCAGGCGAGAGTCTAGATTGCGTCGTGCAGATACCTGAAGATGTGGTCAGGGGCAAAAAGGTCGTGACGGGTCTAGGCGATGGGACTGTGCGCATCGTCGACTTGAATAAGCGCGAGGTCGAACTGTCGCTACAGCATGATGAAGCAGAGGGTGTCCTCGGTTTGGGATTCGACTGTCACGGGCGAATGATCACCGGAGGTGGCACAACGGTCAAGGTGTGGGATCGGAGCTTTACTGGTGGTGCTGGCTCTTCAGAAGAGAGTGATGCGGACTCCGATGATGACGTTGATGAAAAGGCCGAATCAGATGATGAGGACTCAGATAATGAGCCGGCAACCAGGGAAAAGAGACAGGCCAGCGCTGAACAGGAGTCAGATGATTCGAGTAGCGATGATGCCTCACGGAAGCGAAAGAAGAGGAAGAAGGGCAGTAAGGCTGTGCCACTGGGGCCGCATGGTGCACACGGAATTCTGAAGTTCAAGGGCTTGGACTAGACTCTAGACTCAAGTGTAAGCTCTAGCAGGCTTACAGGGGGCAGTGGTTGGATACCATACAACCGGGACAGCTAAGTATGAGCAGAAGTCTTCTGGCTGGAACTGTTGCGATACCCCAAAGCCAGACTTCACGAAGCATGTCAGAAATGTATAGGCAGATTCTCCTGGTTAATTCAAGGCACCAATTGCTTTTCTTGGTCCAAACCGGCAGCCCAAACTGTTGATAAGACATTTGGAGAAGCGCGCCGCCCCTGCAGCTTAATGGCTTTTGGGGCACGTGCGGGGTAGCTTCAGGGCAATGCGGGGTCTTAGGGTCGAAGTCTATATAGCGAAATCTCCAGCTGGGGCAAGTTAGCTTTCTGAGATGGTTTACAAGCGAAAAATCAAAATTGGTGAAGTCTGAAATCAATGCTGATGGTAGACTGCGGCTTCCTAAAGGACTCTTGGCTGCCGATCGCCAGCAAGGCTTTGGACCTTGATACCTTGTGAAATAAAATTGGTGGCACTGTGGACGATAAGGCTGAGCAGTAAGTGAACTTGGAGATTCAGATGACCAGGTCGATGTGACGAGTCAACAACTTGATTATTGGTTTGGCATGTCTACTAGATTCTGATATGCAGGCTTCCCTCCCCTTCAGCTATCTCACAAAGCCAATGGTTCCTCCAGATTGGATCTTCCACCATCCGACCCTTCTCATGAGCAAGTCGTGCCAGGAGACTAAAGAAACATGACCCGGCTCCATAGGAAGTTCCATGTTCACATTAATATTCGTTCGAACCACCCACACTCGTTGCTTCCCCATGCATCTCACAACTTCGCTTTACCCCTCATATGCTTCGCCGCAAACTCAACAGCAGCAGTATATCCATAAACCCCCAAGCCGCAAATTACCGCCACCGCCTTATCGCTCAAGTAGCTGGTCCTCCGGAAATCCTCCCGCGCATGCACGTTGCTGACATGCACCTCGACGAAGGGAATATCGACACCGAGCAAGGCGTCGCGAATTGCGACAGAGGTATGTGTGAAGCCGCCCGCGTTGATGATGATGGCATCGACACCGTCGGTGCGCCCTCATGGTTGGATTGGAAGATGGACAGGGTGATGGAGAGGGAGGTGGCTTGAGATTTCGCTGCGGACTCGACGTTGGGGAGGGTAGTGTAGCCGTAGGTTTGGGGCTCCCGGGTGCCGAGGAGGTTGAGGTTCGGGCCGTTGATCAGGAGGATAGAACGAGTGGGCATTTTGGTGGTGCTTCGAGTGTAAGTGATGATTTGGGATCTGTGGTCTCCTTTGCTTGTTTACTACTTTATCGGGGCTGTATTTTGTCAGTTTGAAATGGCTCAAGCGAGCCTATGTTAGATATATCAATCCCAGGCCCTCGGCAGAGTCGAGGCATCTTGATCATTACCACGCCTTGTTTTTCTGCCTTTCATTGTCGTGTAATTTTGGAGTTCACGATCTCAATGTTGGATTACGCAGGTGGTCCATCACCGATGGGACTTCCCTACTACCCCGCATTCGTGTCCCCAGGCCTGCCGCCGGTTAAGTACTCTCCCGCTTAGGATCATCACAGCGGGAAAGAGCAAACACGGGAGGCAGCTTTCAATGTTGTTACTGAAAGTGTTGGAAGATCACGGCTTCAGTTCTCACTATCGTCGCAGATGTGTGTCGAATTTTTGAGAACCCAAGTCGCCACTGGCGGAGGTTTGAGCTGCAGCTAGGAGATGATCAGGATACAAGTATTTTTTGAAGTGAATATCCCGGCTGCCAGCAGAAACACAGTGGATCGATCAATGACAAGATTAGCCCATGATTCCGCTATCTACTATGCGATTTCTGGTCGTGCAGCGGACCGAAACCGCTCTGGGTACAGTCTATCAGTTCGGCTCGCGGCGGTTCAGCCAACAGCCTGATCTCTAGTCGGAGACGAGTCACCATGGCAAAGATATCATTTTCAACTTTTCACCAATGGTTTGATTGCCCCTGCTTCAGTTCTCTTGAAGTTTGCTTGATAGTGTGACTATGGTGGTCGATATTCCCGAGAATGAGCTAGCTGAAATCTACGCCTTTGCTGTGCAACTGGGCAAAGAATGTGGTCGAGCTTCTCATGCAATTTGCCCCCGCGCGAATGGGCGACGTTGGGTCGGGCGACTTGAAATTTACCGAGAAGGATAGCGCGGTGGACATCGTGACGAAGGCTGATGAAGGTGCGTGAGGCAAGCCACGTGCGATTTCAGCATTGTCTCTTGGGTGGACTGGCTGGCTAACTGACTCGGGGAGCATATAGATGTTGAGGCCTTCATCAAGACCTCAATTGAGAAGAAGTACCCCACGCACAAGTGAGTAGCACTTCCACACATGTCTCAAGCCAATTCTGGACTTCTCATACGAACACATACGCCAGATTCCTCGGCGAAGAAAGCTCTTCTAAAGGCTCCTCCCGATCTTACCTCATCGAACCCTCGACCCCAACCTGGTGCGTTGACCCCCTCGACGGCACAGTTAACTACACACACCTGTTCCCCATGCTCTGTGTGTCCATTGGCTTCATTATCAACGGTGATCCCGTCATCGGCGTCATCTATGCCCCTTTCCTTTCGCAACTTTTCTCGTCCTGCCGCGGGCGCGGTGCCTGGCTCAATGAGACGCAACGCTTGCCACTAATCTGGCGGAGGGTGAGACATCTTGAGTATAGTAGGCCAGGCGCATAACTGATGTATATCACATATATCATACACCGTGTCCGCCATGGCCCGCCCCACCTCCCTGAAATCAATGCTCAACTGGATATATACTTTAAACCTCACAGTTTAGACGCCTGCGACAACTTGGCCGCTATAACTTCACTGACCTCCTTCAACGGCAAGTCTTTGACTTCGATACCGGTCCAGTACTTATCCTGCTCCAGACCCTGCCAGATCATCGCCTCGGTGCCCAGGATAACGTTCCACCCCTCCCGTTCCGCGATGCCACCAAGCTCCGTGTACGGGTTTGGGTTATAGCACATTTCCAACATGGCCCCCTTCCTCTCCTTTTGGAGTATCGCCTCGATAGTTGCCCTAGCCCTCACTTCGTCCGCCGTCTTGGGCGGGAAGTCCGGCACGCACGCCACAATGGCCCCTGGTGCCTCGACCGCCTCAGCCTGCGACACTGTCTCGACATGCACAAGCTGGTGTCCATACCCCCGCGCCTTGCACTCAGCGATGACGGCCTCGACCTCTTCACGGTCCCGATTTACGAAATAAATCTGCGTAGCACGCATCCACTTGCTCAGCGCGTAGACTGCACTCCGTGCCGCTCCGCCTCCCCCGATGACCATGGCTGGCTTGTCGTGAAACACGGCATCTGGGTCGGCGATGTTCCGATAGAAGGACTCTCTTATGCCGATGACGTCGGTATTGGTGCCGCAGTATATGCGCTTTCCTTCGGCATTTTCACGCAAATAAATGGTGTTGCAGGCACCGACGTCGCAACACTCTGGCGTCAGCTCGTCCAGGAAGGGCATGATGGCCACTTTGTTAGGCATCGTTACTGACGCGCCTGGGTGGTTGGTGAGTTTCCGAGCGGCCAACCCACAAATCTGAGCACGTACCATAGAATTTTGGATCCTTGATGAGTTCGAGAAACTGCGGGATGTCGGCAGAGTCTAGTAGGACTTGTTCCCATGGCAGCCCGAGGGCTTGGTAAATGGTTTTGTGGAACAGCGGAGACATGGAGGCGGCGATCTTCTGGCCGAAGAGGTAGCCATGCCGGTCAACATGCCGAGTTTGTGGCGGCAGCGGCAGAGGTGTTACGGACATGACTGAGACCGGGTCTGCTGCCATTACGGGTTGAGAGGTGTGTTGTTGTACTGCCAAAGTTAAGGCGGCAGGCTGAGCGGTTAACCAGCTGTCACAGACCGGGCAATCGGATTTCAAGTAGACACGAGTGAAATTGTGAAGTTATCCAGATGCTGTCAAGAAGCCAGATTTCTTGCAGGCGTCATCCGGTGCAGCACTCCTGAAGTGGCCTCGGTGAGTTAAGTCGCGACTTGGAAGGTAAAGGTCCTATATCAGCAACTGCAATTACTCCCACATGAGCTTGAGGAAATTACTGCGTAATAAAGGTAGCTGTAGCCTGTGTACACATCGTCATGAGCGCGGCCTCATCTTCGGAATCGAATTTCCAACATCGGCTTTTTACATTTCCCAACGCCATGTATGTGCAGGGACCGGACATGGGACCGGGCATGGGACGTACGTTTTACCCTAGTCAAATTAATAATCCCCACCTCTACGCCAAGCCCCTTCCGGCGCCGGCACCCACACCCGGACCGCTACCGGCTGAGTTTTTTTCCAGCTCCCAAGGGATCGCCCCAAATCACCGACGTGCCTCCAAAGGGCCGGCTGACCTTCCCAAGTTCTGACGCATGCTTGGAGTTTCCAATCCTACCGGGACCTGCGGGGGATGGGAGCAGGGGCTTTTGCGGGGGAGCTGATGACTGGGCAACGGTGTTGTGTTGGGATGGCAGTGGAGAGATCCTGTAAAATTCTTCCGACGGTCGCATCATGACTCGTTGGGAATATCGTCGAAATTGTGGTTTCAATGCCGTGAACGCAGAGAAGTCACGAAGCCCTATTCGTCTCCACGAAACCCACTCCTCCGTGCTCAACACGTGCACGTACGCGGACTAATCACGTCTGCTGGGAGAAAGTCTGCGTCTGAAATTGGCAGCACCCCGAAAGAGTGTTTACCCCCAGATTCCAGGGCACGACCATCCCATCCCATCCAAGACTTGGAGAGCTGCCATCATCCCGGTACGTGGCGTCCACAGCATGGGTGTGTGGGATTTGGCTAACCCAGACAAGCCAGGACCGTAATCAAGCACTCAACTATCGTTGTCTACCCCATACCCCACACGCGAGGCAGTTCGTGTCAGCTCCTGGGGTCCCGGGTGCCGATATAAGACAGGATTTGTCGCGTCGGTATCGTCCTGTTTGCGCCGCTTTGAAGGGTTACCGTTCGGAGCTTGAGCCTCTGTCTTCTACTCTTTCGCTCGCCCGTCATACTGTACTTTGTCCAGTCTGAGTCGCCTTCTGGGTTTCACAACCACAGGCGATATGGGCCTCCTCTCCATGAAAGAAGACCGGCCCACGCCGGCAGCCGTGTATAACTGGCGCATCTACGCGTGCGCAATCATTGCCTCGTTCGCGTCGTGCATGATCGGGTACGACTCAGCCTTCATCGGCACCACGCTCTCGCTGCCGTCCTTTGTTGACGAGTTCCGACTCGACGAGCTCGCATCCTCGGAGCTGGCTCTCGTCTCGGCTAACATCGTCTCCGTCTATCAAGCTGGCGCCTTCTTTGGCAGTCTCTTCGCGTATGTCAGCAGTTACTTTCTGGGCCGTCGCCGGTCTCTGCTCGTCTTCGCCACCGTTTTCATTCTCGGTGCCGGCCTGATGCTGGGCGCCAATCGGCAGCGTGGTCTGGGACTTATCCTGGGCGGAAGGGTACTCGCAGGCATTGGTGTCGGCGGTGCGTCCAACATGGTGCCTATCTACATCTCGGAGCTCGCCCCTCCTGCTATTCGAGGCCGTCTGGTGGGCATCTACGAGCTTGGCTGGCAGCTCGGTGGCCTAGTGGGGTTTTGGATCAATTACGGCGTCAACACGACCCTGGCCCCTAGCCACAGTCAATGGCTGATCCCCTTTGCCGTCCAGCTCATTCCCGCCGGTCTGCTCCTCTTCGGCGCCCTGTGGATCCGGGAGTCGCCCCGTTGGCTCTTCTCCAAGGGCCGTCGCGATCAGGCTATTGAGAACCTGTGCTGGATCCGCAACCTGCCCGTCACGGATATTTATTTGGTCGAAGAGATCAAGTACGTTGACGAGGAGCTGGAGCGGTACCGCATCGAGGTCGGCGCCGGCTTCTGGAAGCCTTTCGGCTCGTTGAAGAACAAGACGGTGCAGTGGCGCTTCTTCCTGGGCGCCATGCTGTTCTTATGGCAGAATGGGTCGGGTATTAATGCCATCAACTATTATTCGCCCACTGTGTTCAAGAGCATCGGTATCACGGGCACCAATACCGGTTTCCTGACCACTGGCATCTTCGGCGTCGTCAAGACTGTGGTCACCTTCGTATGGCTGCTGTATCTCATTGACCGCGTGGGAAGACGTAACTTGCTCATCGTGGGCGGCCTGGGCGGATCCATGTGTATGTGGTTCATCGGCGCCTACATCAAGGTTGCCGACGCGACCAAGCCCGCTACTGGCGGCGGAGGTGGGTTGTCATCGGGCGGCATCGCGGCCATATTCATGTTTTATCTCTGGACCACGTTTTACACGCCTAGCTGGAACGGAACGCCCTGGGTCATCAACTCGGAGATGTTTGATCAAAACACGAGGTAAGCTCCCCAACCAAGCCATACTACATCTCTTGCTCTTGCAAAAGTATCGACTGACAATTGGAAAAGATCCCTAGGCCAAGCCTCGGCTGCCGCCAACAACTGGTTCTGGAATTTCATCATCAGTCGTTTCACGCCGCAAATGTTCTTGACCATGTCATACGGCGTCTACTTTTTCTTTGCCTCGCTCATGCTGCTCTCGGTCGCCTTCGTCTGGTGCCTGATCCCCGAGACCAAAACCATTCCTCTAGAAGCTATGGACAGGCTGTTCGTTATGCGGCCAGTGCGCAAGGCAAATGCCCTTGTCATGGAGGAACTGAAGCTGCAAGACGAGGAGTTCAGGCATACTCTTGGAAGCGGCAATATAAGCGACAAAAGGGGAAGTCGAGACCAAGGAGAGACTTTCAGTGTAAGTCTGGAAAAGGGGAGTTTCATGTCTTGAAGTTATCCTTGGAAAGGGCAATATATACCAATGAAGTTTGAGTATCGTGAAACATTCCCGAGTTGCGCGATACAGCCAGTGTATTAGTGAACTCGCTTAGATTGAACTATCTGAGGTCGGCGGCAACTTGGGTGGGACATAGCACCGATGACGGCATGCATCGATATGTCATCGCTTTCTAATTGCGGCATGAAGTTAAGTGACGAAGTGGGCAAGAATAGGTGTCTGTCTTGAACCAAATCAACGAGAGGCAAGCCTGAGATAGAAGCGGGGATTAATTCAAGTGTGGTCTCATCGAGAGGCTCTGAAGTTGAGACAACGAGAATCGTTTCTCTAGCCTTGTGTATTGTAACATGAAACCTAAGCACAGACCTAAACGCCCCAAATGCACTTCATACCACCACCATACACTTGATTAATTATCATAGCGAAGCACTCACTCTGCCCTCAAGCGGCAGCCTCCTTAACTGCTGCTGCATCGCAGGCTCCTCGTCCTCAACCCTCAAACCCAAGTCCCTCACCAATTTCTCCCAAGACCTCCCCCCCCTTGCCGCCAACTCTCTCGGCACATCGTAATCCTCATCGCCCATCCGCCGGTTAAACAACTCTAGGCTTACCCATCCCTCGAACCCCAACCCGTCAAAGATGGCCCCGGCAATCTGCGTTACGGGCAAGTAAGCCCCTCTCTCATGCTCCCCGTAGAACAACCTACAGTTCCGACTCCAACTCATCCTTGCCGGCTGTTCCTCATTATAAAAGGCGTGCCCCTTCATCAACGGAGTGGAAAGCCGCTCTGCGTCGACGACCTGCACATAGAACACCTTGCTAAGATCCACCTCGCTCACCAGCCTATCCATCGACTCCCTTACAGCTTGTTCGCAATCCACCGTTTTGCCAGTTGCCGAAGCAGGATCGGCGTAGATTCGTCCCGCAATATTGAACGTATCTAGACACAAGCCAAAATTATCTCGATCAACCGCTTTCACCACCTCCCAGCTGCCCTCCCACGTATCGCACCGCGTGCCCCAGCACAGCGCTTCATAGACGAAGCGGATCGGCGGGTTCTGAGCCGAGCCCATGTCGGCCGCCTCCTGCAAATCCGCCACAGCCAGTGATCGGTCCGCTGACACTTGGTCCGCGGGCAGAAAGGAGGACGGGATCTGGACCATGTCGGTCCCCAGCGCCCGGGCAAGCCGGAACCAGAATCGGAGCTGCTTCAGGCGTTGGGAATGGGCATCCCGGTCGAGCAGCCCTTCATAATGTGCAAATGGTTGGAGACAGAGAATGGCGAGGTGGCGGTGGTGGCACATTTGGCGGATGAGGGAGGCGGCTTGGAGTTCGGACTCTTCGGTCGTCGCGGTGGTGCCTGGAGGCAGGAATTGGAAGGCAAGGGAGGCCAGGTCCTCATGGAAGAGCTCGATGCCGCGGTAACCGTACAAGGCGGCCATGTCGAGTTTGTGCTCGAGCGAGTGACCTGCTGAGGAGCGGCCTAGGGACATGGATGATATGGCTAGGCGGCAAGGCATCTTGGGCGAGGGTGTTTTGGATGTGAAGCTTGGATAACAAGGCGAGAGACTGTGATAGTGTCGATTGTGTTCATACACAAAGTCGTATGATCAATTTAATCCCTTTTGTCGATGGCAGGTGTAGTTGAAGGTAATGGTATAGCTTGAGATGGATTACCGGCAACTCGAAAAGGTACCAGTTCAGATTCAACGCAGAAAAGAATGAACAAAGCAAAGAAGGCCACGCTCAGTTTATTTAGCAAGCAAGGAGCCGCATTATACCAGTATCAACAGACCAACTCAGGCGGCCCCCTGCGTCCCGTCCGCCCCATAGGTTTAGCAATCACCTATCTACTGTCCGATGGAAACCGAAACCGAATGCTCCCGTTGGTGAAGGATCATAACATGATCGGCTTGAAATCGAGATGACCCCCATCATTCTAGTTAAGTGGCAGGCTGATAAGCGGAAAAGTGAACTGCCTCGCTGAGAAGCCTTGGTTAGCGTGGTCGTTGATGTCATGTCTTGGAGGCGGAGTGTACCACCGGATGCAGTGGACCGGTTAAACGTTTACACGACTTAACGTGGGTGGTACTAGAGCAGGCTAGCGCCGCATACACATTCGGAATCAGGGATACCCAACACACTGGGAAAGTGTTGTCCCAGTGCGTCCCTCGCGGATGGCGAGAGTCCCAGCGGTCATGGGACAAGTAAACGTTGTCTATCGGCATGTCTGGTCTTGGACCATCCACGTGCATGATTTTGCAATGCGAGAAGACCAACACCGACGCAAGGAACCCATTCCCTGATCCCATGTGGCTGGCTCACAGCCCCGATGCATCGCTGCAGAGTAGGGCCGGGCGAGATCTGTCGGATGAAATCGTTACATGTCTAGGTGTTTGCATATGTGTTGGGTTCACGGCATGCACGAGTCGACATGTTTGGATCATGTTGCATATTCTAGCCAGGTCTATCGTGCTACATATCTAGCTGAATGGACTGGAAGTCACGGTCTGTGGACGGGATAGGCCCCGTCTCACGCCCGGAAGCTTGCCAACCAGATTACTTCAAAGGATCGTAGGCCCTCACCTCATATGGCATCGTGAATCGTGAATCACAAAGTCCGTCATTCTACGGCTCCTGTTCAACGATATTCTCCAATCGCGGCTGGAGCTGCGTCTGATTCGACTTGCCTTGCTCCTCAGGGTACGACCTGAAGACCTCACCACGCATCAGTCGCCGGGGCGCCCGTCTCCCCGTGAAAAGCTCAAACTGGGCAAACCCTTGTTCAGGCAATAAGTCCAGGCCATCCATTGGCACCCATCCGCGATGCGCCTCGGCCCGCACCTGTTCCAACAGCGGCGTGTTCAGGTACTTGTAAGCCAGCTCGACCACAACGCCTCCCGTGGAACTCTGCATCCATGCCGCAGGAAGTGTGAAGTGAGGCGCCGGGCTGTCACCAATGGCGTGCGTTGGAATACAAGAGACGATCATGGTGGCGGGGCGGAAGCCGGCAGGCCAGGGTTCATCACGAGAGCGCAGGATGTGGAATATGGTTTCGGCGTCGGTACTAGGACTAAGCAAAGGTAGGTCGTCCCTTGCAAGGAGTCTTGTGAAATGTGCCACCAACTTGTCGGCGTTGGATGGAGTCCTGTTGTAGATGGCGATGTTCTTGACTCCAAGCTGGAGCATCGAGTAGACGGCTGCTCGGGCCATGCCGCCGGCGCCGATGATAAGTCCAGATGTGCTGGAGCGCACGGCGTTGGCGGGGGACAGACCCCGTCGGATACAGGCCCTGATGCCGATCCAGTCCGTGTTTTCCCCGTACAGACCCAAGACGGGACCAGCTCTGTTGGCATGGAAGATTGCGTTGTTCGGAACGCTCCCATCTGAGTTCAAACTCCGGACGGGGATAAGCGTGTTAACGGCACCGATGGCTTTGGCATGGCTGCTCAACGAGTGCGTCAGACTGATGACTTCGATTTTGAACGGAAGCCCTACCGACGCCCCGGCAAATAGGGGATCGTGGACCAGATGCTGGATGTTTTTCAACGAGTCGGTCGAGTACGGCCGGTATTCGTGTGGTATCCCACACGCCTTCAGTGCCGTGTTGTGCATCGCCGGGGACATGCTGTATCCTACATTGGCGCCGAACACGTAAAGCTTCATAGCATCATTGACGAAGCACGAATGAAGGGCCCTTGTCGCCTGCAGTGCAGTTATCGCTGGCGGGATGTAGGATGAGGACGTGTCGTCCTCGGACATTATTCCAACCAGAGACTCGGGAATGACCGATGTGAGGATTTGATTGAAGCATTGCGAGTTTCTGCCTTTGGTCCCAGTATTGAACGCGATCACCGGAAGCTCTGGCTGTTCTAGGCCGCTGATCGCATGCCGTAAATGGTTGAGCTCAAAGTTGTCTTCGATCTGCGTCGCTGGTCGGAGTAGCCGGACCAAGTCGCATCCAATGTCACGAGCCTTTTGGTAGTGGGACATCCATATCGGATCGGTCCAAGAAGATGGTTGACTTTCGGGCACGTTCACTGTGCCGATATATTTTGATACAGATCTCTTCTTGCAATCCATGATCCAAGAAAGAGACTGTTCGTCTAGCCTCAGGTCGACAGTGACGTATTCGGGGGCAAGAAGTAGCCCGTGTAAGATATTTTGCATGTACCGTGTTTTCTGCGCACCGGTGGCTATGCCCTGGCGTGGCCAAGGGACATGGAAAATAATGGGGATGACGACGTTCCTCCGGATGTGCGCGACGATTCTGCTGATTTGACTCGCACGAGCGGGACCGAGACCAGAGGTCTCCTCCGGCCGACAATAGACGTCATCTAGAACGATTTCTATTGCGTCTGCACCGGTCTCCAGGTCCTCTATCCTCAGATAGTCCGTGAGGAACTTCGATAACGGAAAGGACACGGCGTATGTAAACTGTCGCTTCTCGGCTGGAACCGAGGCAAGCGGAAACGCTGTCTCAATGAACGGAATCGTTCCCTTGGGCGTAACCAACGACAGAAACTTGAGAAAATGCCTTTCTGCTCGTTTCAAAGTCAAGTAGGGCGCTGGCGATTTCTGGTCGCAATTGGGGTCCAGTGCTGTAGACTCCATGATGGTCGAGTCGTCCGTCGCCAGAGGCTCCTCGGAAATGTTGAAGAACTCCAAGTTGACACACGCTCGGTAAGTGTTGGCTGAGTAGTTCAACAACTCCAGAAGTTTGACCTGGTCCGCCACCTGTAGATAGTCGGCAACTGCCTTCTGATCCCTGACAATATGGATCACGGGGTGCGAAGTTTTGAATTCCTGGAATAGATGTTGGGCGCCCGGTTCCATCCAGGACGAGACGATGATGCAGCCTTTCTGATGTGCGGAAAGAATCCTTTGCAGCACGCCGTACTGGCGTTGTTGGTATTGGACACTGCCATGGGTCTTCTTGAAGGCCGTAGTTGAGAGTCCAGTCGCTTCGTGAAAGGCCTTTTCCGTTTCTACAATTCGTCTTTTCATTGCTGTAGAGGCGATGATGGCCAGCGTAGACTTGCCAGAGCCATGCATGCCCACCAACACTATGGAGGCATCGGGATCAAATCGCACATTTGCACTTGGAGAGGCAACACTGCTTGACACGGCTGAATAGATGGAGATTAGGTATGGTTTTAATTGTTGAGAACGAGAACTTACAGCTAGTACCTGCTGGACATGGTTCATCGTGTACCGGCGAGCCGTTCTGGCGTCGTTTTGGGGACGGGTTGTCAGCAAGACGGGCGAGCAGATCGAGTTGTCGCAGACCTCCTGGGCCCATATTCGCCTGACCAAAGTCCAACAGCGTTGTCGCGAAAGGTCGTTTCAGACCTTGGAAGATGGGAGGTACCATATTGGGAACGGGGTTGATGAACAACTCCGGCCCCGACGAGCGGAAGCAGCATTTCCAAGGTCAAGACATTACTATCAAGATACAGCCACGAGAAGCATTCGACTTGAGCACAGTTGCGACTAAACAATGATCATTCTGGTAAGCGGAGGTGTAGCAAGGTAGAGCGCAGCGGAACGTCAGCAACGATGTCGAAAGTTTCTGGTGCGAAAGAAGTTGCATGGCGGGACATTGCAACTCGTTTCCCCCAGTCGGAGGAATCGAACACACCCTGGCTCACCCCGCGGAATGTTCCATGCTTCCAAGCTGGGGAACGCTAGCGTCTTTTTTTAGCGGACTCTGGGGGTTAAATGTTTAACCGGCAATGATTTTTGTCTCCGCAGTCCACTGCCTACCCCAGATTTCCCCCGCCTAATGGGAGAACAGCAATTGTAATCGACGCATTGGCATCGAGACCAGGCATCGAGGTCGATAGACAGCGCCAACGAGACACACGTGAGGGACCCAATTGTCTCCATGCCAGCGACTGCGTCAACAACGACGACGGCCTCTGAACCTGAACAGTCTCCAGTTTGAGATGCCGAGTTGCGGGGACGACAAACGACAGGTCTATCATCATCTGCCCATGGATTCCGAGTTGCCGCCAGAAACGACTTTGCTGGCCAGATGCCTTCAGAGCCAGGCCCCAAGATGGGCCTGAAGCGCCAGTCAAGCCACCAGGAAGACAAATCAAAGCCGGAGCCTGCAGCGGCACCGAAAAGACAGAGGGTGTCGCGCGCATGCGATCAATGCCGCGCGGCACGGGAGAAATGCGATGGCCTACAGCCCCTGTGTTTCCCCTGCGCATCACAGAACAGGCATTGCACCTGGGAAGAGCCCAAGAAGAAACGCGGGGTGCAGACTGGATATATCAGGACCCTGGAATTGGCATTGGGTTGGATCTTTGACAAGATCCCGGGGTCTGAGAACGCCTTACACAGTCTTCTCACTCACGAGGGCGGCCAGGGACGGTCATTGCTGCTAGAAAAGGACACCCAGGCGGGCAATCGTCTGCATCGAAGGTGGAGACGGAGTACGATCCACAAGGAGATTGACCGTGTTCTGTCAGGGGCAGATGCCACAGAAGCAAAGGCTGACAAGACATCGCCAGCCAGCGATGATGTCGACAGCGCAGACGATGGGGAGAAACCGTTGCATGCGAACTCCAAAATGCCGGTATTGGCAGTAGATCTTGCAAGCATATCAACGGGGAAGCCAACCCCAGATTCCGAACGACTCGAGCAAAACGTCACTGACGCGCCTGACGAGGCCAGCCATCCCAGCCCCATCTTACGGGATGATACTCTGGCTATTTCTCCGCGGTCAATGCATCTGAGACTGCCGGTAAACTATTGGAGGCTTTTGGACATATACTTTTCTTACACCCACTGCTGGTTTCCTATCCTAGAGAAGCCACGTGTCCAGAAAACATCGTGGAGGTATCCCAATGAGGGCTTGGGCATATCGTCTGACCATCCAGAGTCTGGCGCTCACGCTGAGCTATGGGCTGCCCTAGCACTCGCTTCATATCAAGACGAGGCTAGCCATCCAAATAACGAAAGGCCCCGCGAACGATGCTCCCCTGGCGAGATGTATCGCTTAGCGAGAAACCTGATACCACCAGAGGAAGGATGTTTCGATGTACGGCACGTCAATGCTCTGCTACTTCTCACTCTTGTTAAATTCGGACACCAAAACCTCGAGGCGGCATGGATACTCGTTGGACTGGCGGCTCGCATCAATCTCCGTCTTGGACTCGATGCGGCACCAGTAACGGACAGTAGCCGGCGTTCACATGCATATATGGGATGCTTCATCCTCGACACCCTCACATCTGCCCGGCTCAATCGGCCGCCACACCTACGGTTTGACGACACGCAATCGCCGATTCCATCTGGTGAGAACGAGCAAGACGAGTGGGAGAGCTGGGCCCCTTGTGCTGGCTTTGGACCAAAACAACAGGTCATGCTGGCGCGAAGCCCCTCGCACACCGTCAGTTCCTTCAGTTCACTATACAGGATACATCAATTTCTTTCTAGAAGCCTATTCTCCGCCAAAAGCCGCATATTGCCGACTGACGAATCATACCTGATCCAAATCCAGCGTTCCATCGGTCGGGGGCCGTTCAGTGCATTCGTTATAAACGGCGGCGTGCCACCGACCCGCATACCGTCTGTGTACATTCTGCGCATTGCCTCTCTGTTTGCTGGAGATGGATTGCAGGTATTTCCGGAATCATTACCCGGAATTGTGCTCCAGTGCCTTGAAGAGTACATCTCGAGCTTCGGGGCTTGCGGAACACCGCCATTGTTCCCAACATACATAGCTCTTATTAATTGCCATTACAACCTCGATAAGCTTACACCCCAAGATCGGGATCGTTGGAACAAAGTGGAAGGGGCCATAAGATCTGTTTGGGCTGCAAACAGGACACCCTTGGCATCAGGCTCAACTATGAATGCCAACATACGTCCGAGGCCTTCGTCGATCTCTCAATCATCACAACCAAACCCCGATTTCCCCAGAAATACCGATACAGCAATGCGCCAATTTCCCAATCCAGCATCGTATTACGGAGATGCCTCCGCCGAGCAATCAACCTTCCATCTAAACGCCGACCTATACGCTCCGACCCCTGCCACTAGCATCCTGTCATATACCAACAACCACCCGCACCAACAATCCCTCAATTCGGCCACCCATGATCTCAATCCTTCATCCTCATATTTAAGTGGAACCGCCTTCTTCGGACCCATGGACGTATCTCTTCCCTCACAATCACACGGTCCAGCACACCACACCAGACACAGTTTCAGCGCTGGCAGCAACGCGACAACCTTCGACTACGACGCCATGCTGGACGACATAGCTGCCATTGACCGTACCGATAGCATGGGCGAGTCAGATCCGCAGTTCATGGCCAACTTGGGTTTCGCGCCGGGCAGTAATATTGCGGATGTACTCACACATGATTTTATCGGCTACTCGTAACGGGGAGGATGGCCGCACACCAAGGTATTTTGGAGATGTCAACGACTAATGCATGAGATGTAAGCTTCACAGGTGGAACAAGCAGAGAGTAAAGCTTGAAAACTTCCACGAAGCTCCCTGTTATTGAACGAAGTGTAAGAACAGGACCTGGTAATTATATCAAGGTATGGGCTGTATACGGTTTCTCGATCTTATTCTGCTGTTGATTATCCGCCAGTCATGATTTATAGAGGATTGACTTGTGTTATGACTTATTTGATTCACTATCGTATATTTGTCAATAGAAAATTTCCTTGTCCTGACCCCGAGCATTGGCGTTTCGGTCTCTGTCAAAATCACAAAGGCTATTAACACATGGCTCTCAGTGTCAAAAACAACGCCTCGTCAATCGAAAAGCCCTAGAATTGGCAATGGGCAAACCTTGTAGATTCTCCAAGACCTCCCATCTCATTTTGGAAGGACTACCGACCAAGACATACAACTATCATGTCGCTTCGGTCGTATGCAAGATGCTCCATCTCTCTTTTGAATTCTCTAATGCATCTCCACGCCCCAGCCCAGCCACACAGTCCAAAGACATGTAACACGTCCGTCGCGTCCATTCTCTCCATGCTGCCCGTCACCATAGAAGAGGTGTCCGAAGAGGTCTCTCGACCTAATGCCAACCGTATTTGTGACATTGGCAACGGCAATATGCCTGTGCCCATTCTGAAACTCGGCGTGATGGACTATGTTTTCTTCCATATAATACTTTTGTAACTTTTCAAGTCCTTGGACTGGAACATGTTGATTATGAGTGCTTGTCGTCAGACACTGCATGATGCTAGCTGATGTAAGTGTTCATTTTATTCTTGAATATTATGTCTATGTGGATGCAACGCCGCTTTGTAATTGTCGATAAGGGGGAGCCTAGTTTGAACACAGGGCAGCCACAAGTTTGGGGCTTCCAAACTGCTTAGGTCCCAACCCACATCCTTTGCTAAATTCATTTGCCGCTTCCATTCTGCAAATCCAACCTAACACAGCCCAAAAAGAGTTTGACATCGCCCAGCATGGAAAGCATTCAAGGGAATCGACCTAGACAGGATATCTTCTCAGATAAGAACAATTACTGGCTGAGTCGAGACCAAACGGGCTCTTCGAAAAGTAGCCTTGACGGCGTCATCATTGTTCTGCGACAGATTACAGCCACCTCTCACCGAAGACTCTGAGTTCGATCCATGAGCACGGCAAGGAAACCCTAATGCTCTAGATTGCTGCCTAGGACTTCAGTCCAACCACCCCGCATGAAGCACAGCTAGCTACAAGCAAGTATAAAGCTCTCCAGAGACTTCAGCTTGGCGATAACTTGGGCCTCGATTTCGTCTGTGTCGTGGAAAAGGAGCTGATGCTAAAGATATGGCGAGAGGGTGAACTCGAGATATTTCATCGAAAGGTCCCTTTGTTGCACCATAACCAACTGCAACCTGATGAAACCCTTAATATTCGCTGAGGTAGAGTACCCTTATAGTAGGGGGATGTGGTGTCTCTCGAAGATACCTTGAACCCATTTTACAGCTGGATTATTCTGGGAGAATGTCGACCATCAGAGAGCCCCAAACGGCTGATCTAGGTTGTCATAAATATTCCAGATCTTCTACCGCACGAGTTTACACGTATCATACACGTTGACATCGACGCACTCGAGTCACTCGAGTAACCATGTTCCTCTCAGGTCAGGGCCAGCGTCTCGTCAAGCCTGTTGATGCGTTTGTCGCGCGTGTTAATGCCCTCTATTCCACGTTCCTTGATGAACCGGATTGCGTGCGGTTCTTTCCCCGGCTTTGGGACCCCAATGGGAGAGGAAGCGAGACAGGACCGCCTTGGATACGTTGCGGGAATAGGCGGATTGCCATGGATGTATGGCCGTGCCGTAACAGAAAAAGGGGAAGATTTTACTTCGGACTATATACTTCCTATGTGTAACGAAACCTCTAATAGTCTAGCTGCGTAAACCACTAAAGAGTCTGGAAGGGTTTGTGCTAGTAAGTAAGTCCTGCTGCGGAGTCCTCAAGCAATAATATCGGGGTCTGACGTATGGAGTATAGTGCCTTGGGGTAACTGAAGTATTCAAGTAGGGTAACTGGGAATAGAGTCGTCAAGGCAGTTTGCCTCACCAATGGGTTAGATTGATGTTTATATTGATCACTGAAGTAGAGCCTGTCTATCTATGAAATGCCTGGAAGTCCTGTCCCTTATATACCCGTCTCTCCTTCACTGATCCCCATTGTCGGTCCTTTCCTTTCTCCGATGCGGGGTCCCGTGATCCTAGCGTCTGTATCCACCTGGCCTGCCAACGGGCCTGTAATGTTGGTTCAGGGTCAACGGTTCGTAACATCCTGGTTGACCCGTGCCGTCTATTGAGTTTTGGCCAAGTCGTCTGCTATTCTCTTTTTTGTGGAAAGAGGTTCATAGGTACTTCATGGCTGGAGAAGCAAAGCATAACTTTTCCTTGCCGCTTTGAGATTGAGAACTATCCGAGATTGGGAACAGCTTACCTACCCGTTTTTGTTGTTCTTGACGGGGGTTGTCTTGGCTACATTGTCGTCCACCACGGCCAATGCCACGGATCCGGGGCAACGACATAATCGAGTGTTCTCATTCGTGTACAGGGAACGGGAATTTTGAAGCCGAAAGGTTCACATGCAATCGTTTACGAAATGCCTTGGTCGAAAATGTTGGGAAGTCATGAATCGCGATCACAACAGGGTGCGATTTTCAAACGGTTGTTGTATTTGAAGAATCACTGCTAAGCCACAGTTTAAGACGGCAGCCACCGCCCATAACAAGTCGTTGCTCCTTCTTGTTTCTCATCATTGTATGAAGAGCAATAGGATTGAGGAAACTATGAACTTGGTGGCTTGTGCAACGCCAAATCTCGATGTCGTATCTCTTTACTGTCCGGCAGCTCGACGGGGATCATGCACTGTTCAAGTGCCAGCATCTTATCGGATCCACAGGCTGGGTAGAGATCTCGACTAGACTCACCGACCAAGTCAGACACAGTCACGTGTAGTGCCAGGCTTGATTCCGGGCCCGTTGTTTTGTTCGTATGCCAACTTCGCCGACTAGAATTCCGAAGTCGAAAGCTGTCGGGCAAGTCGGGGAACTTTGACGAGAGGCCGTCGGGGAAGCTAACTTTGAAGATTCCGCATCACCGCTAATCCCCAATCCTCTGTATGCGGTATTATCCAATGTAAGGGCTGGGACAAATAGGGTTCGTCCCATTGCAACCCGTGACGCGCGGCAATCGTCGGTGAAAACGCGACGAAGGTTTTCGGGCTTCATCCGTGACTTCAAGGTGAGACGAGCAGCAAACAACCTGGGTAGTGTGAGGCTACGCTACTTGCTCCCGGCAAGTTGGATAAGGTACACAGCTGTGCATCGCCGACTTCCCCGGGACGCCTTGAGTTGCTGTTGCGTGTAACAATGTCGTCTCGTGACTTCTGGTCGGCGAGTCACCGTTCTCTTTTCTCAACGTGGCCCTTGAATGGAGGCGGAAGACACCTCGTTGCTATCTGTGGACCCCGACATATTCCCCCTTTGCGTTGCTTCCACCTGCGCTTCCACATACGTCACTGTTCATTCGACAATTGCTGCCAACCCTCTGAAACTCTTGTTCTGTAGAGTCGGGTATTGTTCGATCGTCTCCGACGAGATTGCAGCTTTAGATGACGGCGCAGGGGACCGATTCACCCGAGCATTGTCTGACCCATACGCCATCACGACCCTCAAGTGCCGGAGGTATTGCCAGAGCCCAGGCGGCTATGGGCCTACTCTGCGAGGCGTTCAGCTTGCAGTGAAGTCGGCCAAGAACAGGAGCATCGGACAGTTAGCTCCCCAGTTCCATCATGTCGGTACAAATCCCACGGTTGATTGGTCGGGAGCTTGGCAACCTCACCCGAAGACCGCAGTCAGCTCGTCAATTGTTTGTCGCCGCCGAGTCGCGAACTTTGAGTACCTCGCCAGCTCGGGGTTTCAGCTTCCGATCTGCCTTCCAAGTAACAGCCGCGAAAGCTGCCCCGCGAACCTCGTCCAACCCCCGCCGTCTGGGACCGCTACCCGTCCTTGCAGCCGGCGCAGGCGTGCTCACGGTGCTCTTCTCCGTCTTCCAGCCCGTTTCGCACGAAACACTGGAAGCAGACGTTGAGGATGAAGGACCGGCACAAGCAGCAGATAGCTCTAATCCTGGCGATGGGCTACCGCAATACCGATTGTCGGAAATCAAGAACCACGGGCCCAAATCATCGAGACCATGGGTCATATTTGAAGACAAGGTGTATGATATCACGGATTGGATACCCGCCCATCCAGGCGGTGAAGTGATTCTCCGCGCAGCAGGCGGCAGCATCGAGCCGTACTGGGACATCTTTGCCATCCACAAAACGCCCTACGTACGCGAGATCCTGCAGCAATTTGTGGTGGGCAAGATTCACCCAGATGACCTGGAAGATGGGCGACCACGCATGAACGACATCGAGGACCCGTTCGTGTCGGACCCGACGCGAGATCCGAGATTGCGACAGATTACCGCCAAACCGTGCAATGCAGAGACGGCGGGCGAGGATCTAGCTGAAGCATTCCTGACGCCAAACGAGGTGTTTTATGTCCGCAATCACATGTGGGTTCCTGTGATTGAAGACACGGCGGCAGATGCGCACGGCATCACGATTGAACTTCCTGATGGTGATGTTAAGACATACACAGTCCATGACTTGAAGGCCAAGTTTAAGCAGTATTCGGTGACAGCTGTACTGCAATGCTCGGGCAACAGACGGAGAGACATGACGGAGCATGCCAACAAGACGAATGGTCTGCAATGGGGCCCAGGAGCCATCAGTTGCGCCAAATGGGAAGGAGTACGCCTACGCGATGTACTTAAAGATGCCGGACTGCCACTCGATGACCTACCCGAAGACGCTCAGCACGTGCAATTCTCAGGCCTGGAGGCGTACGGCGCCAGCATCCCCATCCACTCTGCTCTGGACCCGCGCGGTGATGTGCTTTTGGCATTCAAAATGAACGATCTACCATTGCCAAGGGATCACGGCTTCCCCGTTCGAGTCATCGTCCCAGGCACAGTAGCAGCGCGCTGCGTCAAATGGGTGAGCAAAATTGTTGTTTCGGACGAGGAGAGCGACACCAGTTGGCAAAGGCGGGACTACAAATGTTTCGGTCCCAATGAGACTCGGGATCTTGACTGGGATAAATATAAGTCGATCCAGGAGATGCCCATCACCAGCGCCATCACGCGGGCACGGAAGAAGTCGGCAGACGGGAATCACGTTGAAGTCGAAGGGTATGCATACTCTGGTGGCGGCCACGAGATCCAGCGCGTGGATGTGAGTCTCGATGGGGGCAAGACGTGGGACCAGGCCAGTCTGGTTGACGACTCGGAGCAAGACAGCGGAAGCAAGGCGTGGTCATGGAAGAGATGGAGGTATGAGGGGGCTTTGCCCACCACGACGGAAGCGGCTGCTTTCGTGGTGAAGGCTACGGATGATGCGTATAACACCCAACCGCAGTGCTACAAGAGCATTTACAATTTGAGGGGTAATTTGGCGACGGCCTGGCATCGGGTCGAGTTCGATCCTCGGAAGGAGAAGGGTTGTGCTGATTCGTGAGTGTGCGTGGGTATTGGTCAGGTAACTTTGGTTTTGGTCATGTTGTATGCATTATTGGAGCGGGCGTATTTGGGAATATCTTTCTGCATTATCCAATTAGTCCTTATCCTGGTGGTAACCGAGGTCGTATATGCTCATCGCAAGAATGTCAGAATTTCCAAATTACCACCCAGCCCAGGAGCTGACAGGATAAGCGTCGCACTACAGCCAGAACGACATGGGATAGATAGTTATTCCAATGCTGTAGACCAAATATATCGATGAAACCACCTGCATACACCCGTTATTATATCGTCCAAATCTATTGCAACCTCGAAAGACAAGGTCACTCTTTCGTACTTCAGGTGTTTCTTTAGTCCCCGTCTTACGCCATCCGCATTTCAACTACGCGAGCCAAGACATCACCATCATCAAACGCGCGAAATATTATGAATAAAGAGCCAGGATAGAAAGCCCATCCATCTTTCAGCGGGCACGTCGTGGGTCGGAGGAGCCAGGCTACTCCCAAATCCCTCGTTGATCTTCTAACTCGCAGCCTAACTCAAGCTCTGCTGATACAGCGTCTCGATGCGAAGGCACCGCTGCGTCTTGCGCAAATGTCTCAAGGCATGCGCAACAACATATGGTCAGAATACGACGTTGAGGTGAGGCTAGCGCGTTTCTTCGACGACCCAGTGGCGTTCCGGGCAGCTGTGTGCTTCAGTTCCTTGGGCACGTTCTGTGGCTGGCGTCGGATCTTGATATCATACTAGCTACCGAAAGAGGACTATTAGATCCTGTGAGTGTTTGTTAAATGAATAGCACATGGGATCGAAACATCCTTGAAGATCCTCAACTTCTCTATCATACTATTATACGACTGTTACTAAAGAGTCATAGCAACGGTATATTAACACGGCATCTTTGACAAAACTCCGTAATAGTACCCCTCGATTTAAATTCGCAGCCACCTTACGCCATAATTTGCGTGCTACTTGCCTCTGATGGCGATACCGGTGCATTATTTGACGGCCAGGGATCCTGCATACATCCCTTTGGGAAGTACGGGTTGATTTATGTGGAGGCACTGCCGGATCTGGTAAATATGCCGAAGTTCGTGAAGTCACGAAGTACTTCCTCGACGCAGGAGAGGATGTCGACCTTGGTAAATATACGAGCAAGACTTAACGGGGTTTCAAAGAATGGATTTATAAAGAGCTTTTGGATGCAACGTCTACGAAGATAACGTAGGAACTCGGCGACAATATCATCCGCTTCATTAAGGAACAGAATCTTGAGGAGAGCTATTCGTGCCTTCCAGATAACCTTTCGAATACAAGCTCATACTCACCCAATCTTAATAAGAGTGGCCCGAAAACAGGCTGAGATACTTGGGTACATAGAGGTGATAGGTCTACCGCTATAAGCGGTCTCTTTTATAAAACAAGCAGGCCAACGCACTGAAATGGGAAAAAAACTGGGGGAATCGAGCTGTTTTTTTATTTTGTTTTACCGCATTGTGATATATCCACTATCACATGCTCTATTCATGTTTGCATTATATGCTAAATAAACTTACGCGTTCTGTGTCGGGCTCGTAGCTTTGTCAATGTTCCAATCTGCATGCGACCCGTCATTATACCCGGGAGGAGAAAACGGAATGGCTTCCTGATCTTTCGAGCTGTCTCGATGCACGATCAATGGACTTCGACGGGGTGTCTCAATGGCGGGCATTTGGGCCACAGCATCCAGGCCATCCAGGACTGCCAGTTGCGTTAAAGGTGACGGGCTCAGATGTCCAGCCCGAAGAGAAATCTGCTCCTCTTCGGGAATCAATTCGTATATATCCATACTCTTGTGCGAGCTCGTCATCAAAAGCTTGAAGGCTGGCTTTCCAGGCTGGCGCATTAAGTCATCAATAAGGCTTCGCAGCTGGTTGACTAAGTAGCGCAAATCATTTCTCCAGTTCCGATCATCGGTTTCAAAACTTGATAGATCGTCGATGATGCAGTATAGTACTGTACTATAAGGTAGCTGACTGACTATCCCGCGGAAGATGTGCAGGAGACCCGATATGTTATGGTGCATCAGATCCTGATGTAGGTCTGCATCCGCCGCAATGAACGATAAGTCGAGATTCTTCGCGCCTCCTCTTAAAGATGCAATTAGTTGTGCAAGAAGTGAGCGTACAATTTGCGTTGGACCCGAAGATTCGTTATCTGGGTAGGAGTTCAACCCGCAGAAGTAGCACAAGACATAGCAAGAGCTCCGCTCCCCACTTCGGATCTTGGGCAACCCAACTGCAAGGGTGCCGGATACAGAAGATATAGGGGCATGTCTGCCGATCCGCTGATCGCCGCAAAATCCATCAACTAGCAGCGTACCCGATTGAGGACTGGCAAGCCAGTACTTGAAGTTTTTGTGTCTCAGCAACCAACTCGCTTGCCTCATGGCATTTGGTTCAAAGGCGTTGCTCTTATTAACGACTTCCATCAGCTGGTCACCCACGACCCCAAGGTCGATGTGCAATATGTCGAATAATTCTTCTAGGGGCATAGAAGGCGCGGGCAATGCATAGTTTGTAGCCATCAGATAGGGAGATTCGAGTCCTAAAATTGATGTCAGTTGTCGAAATCTCCAGGGGTAGTGACTTATAAGTTCTTACCAGCAAGATTGTAATTCCTAAACCCTTCATGCACTAGACGATACAAAAACGTCTGTGCCGCTCGTTCTAAAGTAGCCTCCATACGTTCCGCATGCTTCTCCTGTTGCTCTTGCAAGCTTGCAAAACCGTCCCGTGCATCCTGGCGAACGTCACTGAACCCATCACTCATCCTAGACATCATGGTATGCTGGGTCTGGCGCACAGCTCTGGTCTGGAGTAGGTTCTCGCTGGAGCTTTTCTTGAGGGTCCCCATCGTGCTGAAGCTTAGGCTGCTGACGTAACTGTTTAGTCGGTTGTTGCTATCGCGGACTGATTGCGTTATTTTGTCTATCTGATCTGCCGTGGTCTCAACTTGGAAAAATGAGTCAAGTTTGCGCGAGCCTTCTTTTGATATATTTAAAGTTTTGAATACTATAAAAAGTCAGTTTCACTGCAAAATACGTCCTACAGACTTTCATTCACCTCCTCTGTGTTTTCTTGGCTGCAAGATGTCCAAGAGCCCCGTGAGTGCTAGAAGCACGGCTTGGTGTAGAGCCTTTAGCAACCTAGTGAGAGTTGGGTCTTTGGGGAATGAATTATGTTGCACCTTCGCATCGCGGAGAATATCAGGAATTTCTTGGAAGAAGTGGAAGATCTTCTCGCGGTTGTCGGCGATTTTTGTCACAGCCTGTATCTGTCAGTCATTTTCAGGTGCTGGATATCCAGGCGATACACGCACATTGAAGATCACACTCAAACTTCCAGCCACAACAGACAGACCGTACTCGTCTGGAAACATTTCCGTGAAAACTCCAAGGTTTGAAGCCAAACTTGGTGCTTTGTTCCTGGTCCAGCTCCGAAACCTACTGCTTGCGTCACGGCTGTTGTACTCATCCTCAGCAATTCGAGCTTGCTCATACACATCGTCCATGGTGCACTTTTCTGGGTTGAGACCCGGGATCGGGTTGTTTTCCAAGTGTTTCACGATGAGTTCCTTGAGGTCACTATTTTACCCATTATCAACTGAAGCTCATCATTTTCAAGGCCGTCGACTTACTGATAAGCCTCCCTAGGAACCATCTCCGCCTTCTGGCTGTCATAGTAGTTATTGCCGCCGGCAAAGGCCGGGTGAACCACACTTGATTCCTCTTGACACCAATCGTTAAACATGGCTAATTCATTTCTGTCACTCATTTGAGCTCTCAGAGAGCTTGGAAGTGCATGTTGAGTCTCCATTTTGACGTAAGGATGTAAGGCTCTAGCGTGTGTGTGGACGTAGAGATCCCGATTCTCATATTATGTTGATGGACGTGAAGTTATTGCCACAGTCGAAGGCTGTGTTCCCGTACTATATGTCACCACAAGGCTGCCAACGTGGCTTGAAGAGGGAGACGTAATTGAGACAATGGAGGCAATTGTACGCGAGTTTACCGATGCTAAGCCCCACAGACTGTGTAGTCATGGGCCTATGAGGAGGTGCCCCGTCAAATATGCAGAATTAAATTTAAGCTGGTGCTTGAATTAGGAAAGTTAACGGAATTCGAGTAAGCGTGCATATGGTGGGTTACACCACCTGCCACCCGACCCTTGCTTATCTCATCCGTCAGTTGGCTAGTCTGTCCTGCGAGTTCCTCGTGGTGGCATGAAGAACGATTGTATAACGAAATAAAGCTCAGGATAGCCCGGTATTCCAGGCGGAACATGTGAACTTATGTTCATTTGCTATACTAGACTGTCAAACTAGTCCACAAACCATTCCTTATTACAGGTTGCGCTGCTTATTTTGTTATCCATTGGGTGAGTTCAGCTACGATATTGATCGGCAACTTCAGCCAATGGCTGCCCTGGTTCACGCATAAGCCATCATTCGAAATTTGATTGCCTGCAGTTTGCTGAAAATCTGGAAGGATTTCATCCTTGCAACAATAGCGGCGCGCCATTGTCTTCTCTACATGTGCCATGAGGCTCTAGAGTCCTCATGTTTGAACACGCTCCCACCTGACAGCCCTGTATGGTTTTCCACACTAAGATCAATATCCTGTCTTCTGAGTGTTGGACCAACGTCTCCGTACTCAGAGTATATCTTGTACTGGCACAAATTTGCCGTCTTGGCTTCAGAATTTGCGCGTCACTGCTTGAAGACGGTCGCCTCAGCTACCAACCATCGTCAATGATCAAACCCAACCCGCAGTCTTCCTCGTCTCGCATCAGTCATTTCTCATATCCATGGCTGAGAATCAGCCACCTGACCAGCTACATCTAGCGGTGGCTAAATCTTTATCAGATACCCCGGATACTATAGAAACCACACAAGAAACAGTAGATCGGATACATGATGTGAACGTCGACGCAACGAAAAGTGCCGAAAGCGAATCAAACAACGGAAATGGCGCAAATGTTGCATCCTCAGATATTGGTGCTGGTGGAAATAGCCTGGTGTCGAAGTCATTACCAGCGCCGATGTACTCTCTGGATTTCCTTGGGTACATCCACTCACTTGAAGAGCGGCTAAAGAAATTGGAGGCAGAAAAGGGCGCCAAAGATGGAAAGCCGCCCGCCAAGAAAGACGAGAAGAAAACCAGCAAGGAAGATCAGAATACATTAATGCCAAAAGTACGTCTTTGCAACTGGGAGCAGTTCAAAAACTACTTCGGCGAAGAGGAAGGAAAAGACGCGATAGAAATCCTGGTAGCTGGGAAACAGCTGGAAGAGGATGTCAAGCAGGAACTTTCTCGGCGGTTTGCGGCGAAAGAGGGGACTTACAACCCTGCACTCAGTTTCCCAATTGATACACTGAAGGGCTCTTGGATTCAGCGTGTCCGCATCCGATCCCGAAACATCCTATCCGTCTTGGCAACAGTCTCCTCCAGAATGGGCCTGTATCTCCTTACAGTGGACATGCCTACTACTTTCTCCCGGCCATTCAAGAGTTTGATCTTCATACATGATAAAGTGAAAGAAGAAGTCGAGAAACTTAGATTGCAGTTTGATTCTGATAGCCATGAGGGCGCCTCTCTCCAGAACACCAATGACGGCGCCGATGGTGCTTCCATGGGACCAAATCAAACTTCCCAGACATCGAATGAGAATACCATGCTATCTCAGAAGCCAAAGTTCTCAAAGAGTGCCCTTTTGGAGCTGGAATGTTACGTCAAATTCATGGACGAAAAAATCATGCCACTCTATAACAACTTGAGGAGCGAGACAATCGACCAAGGCCATTCGAGGAAGATTCGATATGTGGATCTCTGGTTTCTGTTCAAGCCGGGAGAGTTGATCTACGTACCGCCACAGTCCCAACTCGGAAAGTCACACTCAGCTTCAACCGAGCAGAGAGTCTGGCGGATGTGGGAGATGCTGACCACACGAAGCGAGTGGAGGGTCGACGATATCGAGCGACAGCACTACACTAGTCTCGGTCGCAAGCGGGAGGAAAAGCCGCCTGAGAATGATGAGGATGGGGAAATGGCGTCAGGTGCCGAACTAAAATGCTACTATCTGGACTACAGTGGAACGACATTCTGTCCCGTCCATCAAAGTTTCACCATAGATTACTATGAAGATGAGGTCGAGATCACTTCCCTCAAGGCTTACCCGCTGAGGTTCCACCCCAAAAAGGATACAATCATCCAAGAACTCAAACAACAGCGCGCGCAATTCTTGACATACGTCAAGGGACGGCATCAACTTGCCTATGATGGGTGGTCACTTGTCAAGAACGTTCTGGGCGATCCTATTGGAGAGGATGCGAAACATCAAGAGTACATTGACAGTGAGGTTATCATCGACTTCGAGGAAACATTTCAGACGTATCCTTGGTGGAAACCCAATTTCTTCTGGTCGGTGCCACTCCCTACAGCCAGCGCAACATGGGCCACGGATTCGTTCACCATTATCCGCTGGAAGGACAAAAAGCGGTCCGAAATGGTTTCGGAGATGCAAGAGCTCTACGCTGACTTGACTGGTGTGGTCAATGGCCTCGAGAGCAACCAGTGGCTAGTCAAAGATAGGTTCTTGACTTTGTCGACTTACATAGCCACCAACGAACCGCCACGTCATGAGAACCTCTCAGATGACGAGCTGTTGCTGCTACCCACGCGGCTTTTTGCCTACGCTCTCCGACAGCGGAAGTTCTTCCAAATCGACATTCGATATCTCAAGGAAATCGAACAGATCCAGAACCCGTTCCAGAGTCTACAAATCGACCCCAACCACAAAGACACTATTGAGAGTCTACTGCACTCGCATTTCACCAAAAAAGATCTCGATAAAGGGCCCGGCCCGGCGATTCCTGATCAAGATCTTATTCGTGGCAAGGGAAGGGGTGTTGTAATTCTGCTGCACGGGGCGCCAGGGGTGGGCAAGACGGCAACGGCCGAGGCAGTCGCTCAACAACATAAAAAGCCATTATTTGCAATAACTTGCGGTGACCTTGGATATGAACCTTCCGAAGTAGAATCCTCCCTTACTGAGATATTTCGCCTCGCCCAAGTATGGGATTGTATCCTTCTACTTGATGAAGCGGATGTATTTCTCACTCAAAGATCTCCTAATGACCTACAAAGGAACGCCATGGTTTCCAGTAAGATGGCTCCTCTCAAAACTATCTAACCAAGTTCCCAGACTAACCATGCTGTCCAGCCATCCTCCGCATCCTTGAGTATTACAAAGGCGTCCTATTCCTCACTACCAACCGCCCAGGCGTCCTGGACGAATCCCTGAAATCCCGCGTCCACGTCAGCCTGCACTACCCAGCGCTCGACCTCCCTAAAACACAAGAGATCTTCAAGACTAACCTCGATCGCCTGGAACTCATCGAAGACCGCCGCAGTCAGAACTCCGCTGACAGCAGCAAGCTCCTCATATTCCGCGAGGAAATCTACGCCTACGCCACGACGCACTTCCAACGGTACGGCACAGGTCTAGGCAGCTGGAACGGCCGGCAGATTCGAAATGCTTTCTCTATTGCCGCGGCATTGGCCCACTATGATCGGACGAAGGTGCCTGGGGCGCAGTCGCAGTTGAGGGCGAGTCATTTTGAAAAGGTGGCCGAGGCAACGTTCAAGTACGATGAGTATAGGAAACGGACCATAAGAAAGGGGGATGCGGATTTGGCGAGGGAGAGGGATGAGAGGGATGATACGTACGGATTCTCCGGTGGTGGGAATGGGGGACGGAATGTGATCGATCCAGGTTTGGTGTATAGGAGGTCGTATAACACGGGATCAGGGCCGATGGGTGGTGGGAGCCAGGGCACGGCGTACTATGGACAGGAGACGATTCAGGGTACGAGATATGCGCAGGCACCTTATGGGGCGGGAATGAGTGACTCTGGTTCGTCAGGGTATCCGCCTCAGCCACCGAGGCGAGGGGGGCCTCCTGGAGGATCCGAGCAGAGGCAGGATGATCAGGGAGCCGGAGTTCAAGGGATTTTCTCTGGGGCCCAGTATCCTTAATGTCGTAGCTAAATGATGAAATATTCCTAGGTAAACCTTAGATGAATTAAGATGGCTTCGAACGGTTATGGCCCACATTCGGCGCAGTTGGGGTCTTAGTGGGATATGAGGGTCTCATGCAGTCTAACAAATAGCAATGACGAAATAAACGACACGACAAAGGTGAAATTACATGGGATAGCGTGGTATTTAAATGTAAAAAGGTTTGTTTTGTCCAACACTCAGCATATTGAGACGGTGTTGAGGGTCAAGACGGCGAGCCTGCCAGCTCGGAGTTGTCCCCCTCGCTCGATGTGTGTGAGGTTAAAATTATGGATATAATTGAGTGAGGAGATTATTTCATGATGAGTGTTAACATAATAAGTGTATGATATCTTATCTTGTTGGCTCAGGCTCAAGCTGGCAGACGCCCTCGACAGTGACGTGAGGTGAGGCCTGGACAATGAGTATGTGGCACTATACGCAAAAAGAGGAAAGCCGCTTCGCAATGTGGAATCGCAATACCAGAGACGAGACTAGGCCTATATGGACCCAGGTAAGTAAGTAAAAGTAGGTTCCTGAGGTGGGATAGAAATGCCTATTAATAAAAGTCAATTATCAATTCTTATAAGTTAATGAAAGTTATTTCACAAATGTGTTTCAAGGTGCAAACATATGTACTTGAAATACAACAACTTACAAACCTGTAGAAACTCGTACTTCTGGGACACTTGCAGCTGAAGCACCCATGCAAGTTAGTCCTCAACATATCACACGATGAGTGAAAAGCTACTTAAATGGATGCAGCGTTATCATATAGCACAAATAATGACGTAAACACTGTAAAAGCTACCGGGCCACAAGTTAGTCAACGTAGATCACACTTGCAGCAGGGGAAGGCTGTGCACTGCAAGCCACGGAGCTCCGCCTGGTATTTTCATAAAACTCCCCCGGCTGACGATCTAGAGATGCCCAATAAATGTGCTGCTTTGCAATTAGGTGGTTTTGAGCAGTCATCGGGACAGACACTAAGCAGAATGTTAGCCGCACTCGATAAAGCAAGTGAGAGGCACCCCGGTGCACAGCCTCGCCACGCTTAATGCCCTTCGTGAGGGCTTAATTTGCTGTGAAAAAATTCACTTAGAGACACTAATCAGAACTAGCAACACTCCACGAACGGGCCAGCTGTGGCCTGGCGGCAGTAAGAAGAGCTCACTAAGTAGCACATTGTGGTCAGACCCGTTCCAACTGGGCGTTCTCGACTGAAGTAGGTGATAAGAATATGTTTACCTGGGAACATTGTCCATATATATCCCGGAAAACAACCGGGCACTTGGCAATCGTGCTGATTCCATATTGCAAAAATCGAGAAACTCTTAAGAAGGGTGAATTCAAAAGTGAAATATGTCTCAATTAATAGGACATTTGAAAGGATTATTTTGCTTCTAGGTCCTACACATGTGTGCTATACAACTAGTGGATCTACTTATGCAATGGAAAACTCTTCCAATTCTCCCACCACTTCTCCGTCCGCCGCGGCCAGATCTGCTCCCAAACTGCCCTTAATTTCCCTTCCCCTATGTACTTCAGCTTCTTGCTAGCCCTGACCCTTCTCTCTTCGTTGAGCTCTCGCACGACAACGAACTGGTTTCGGTCCAACTCGCAAACCCAGCTCCGCCCAATCCATTTGAAAACATCGTCCAGTTCCGTCATAATGCCCTTCTGTACCGGATACCCAGGATGGATTAATTTTAACTGCCGGAGTCTTCCATGGCTGACGATATGGCGCAGAAGATGGAAAGGGCGAGCGAGTAGTCAATAGCGGCGTTGATATAGGCCTCTCGAAGTCTATCGGGCGGTATGTCTTCATCGTAGCCCATGTTTTGACAAAGAACCTCTCCGTCTTCGTCTACCATTTCTTCTTCTGTTGGCCCGGCTGAATACTGGAATTGCAAAGTGGCATGCTTCAACCGCGGTAGTTGAGCCAAGGCACGATAAATCCCCGCTTCTCGTTTGTCGCCCTCGGTTCGAATGACAGGGAGCTCGATATGTTCCAAATTTGAGCACCGTTCGCTGAGTTCCTGCATACGGTCATGCGAAAGAACAAGCATGGGTGTTCTTTGGCCCAGTTGTCGGTCGGGCATAAGTTTGAGTTTGCGTAACGTCTTGCCGTGTTGGTGTAAGAGGGCTTCAAATGCCTTGTCACTCGCGAACCCCACCAGCTCTAGGCTTTTGAGTGGACGCAAATGCCGCAGGAGCAAGGTCAAGCCTTCGTGGTGCGCATCGTTGTTAGGTAGGGATGAAACTAGAGTATGGAGTGATTCGAATTTGTTGTTCCGAACCTTCTCGGCCAAGTCTTGTATTGACGCCGAAGCATCTCTATTTTCATCCCACCAACGTATCGCCAGGTGTTGTAGTCTGGAAAAGTCTGTGTGACTGCTTTGATCGAGTAATTGAGAGAGCAGTGACTCAGCATCGTCTAACACCAGGCTCTCAAGCCTAGCCGCAGAAAGCTCCCTGTCGTCTTCCGGTGTGCCAGGGAAGAATCCCTTCCAAGTCGGTCTTCTGGTATGTGGTGAATTCATCGACGCGAACGTACTACTCGGCTGAAACTGCCACACTCAGACATGAACCAATTTCGGCGCTGCCCCTTCCACCATGTAAGACTGCTTCTTCGTTGTAGTTTACATTCCCCTCCTCGTCCCACGTGTAATACGGTACGATAATGCTATATAAACAAGGCGATGTCGCAAGCGCATATTCATCCGCATCAATAACTTGGGGCAGGTCTCTAGGTTGAAACAGACTCCGTAAGCTGAAAGTGTGCATATGAAGGCGACAGTTCATGAAGTGTACTGCCTCGAGTATGCATCGTGGAATCTGACCGTCCGCTGCATAGACGACATCCTTGAGGCCAGACAGTTTTCGGATGAAACAAGATAGCGGTTGCCACGCCTTGTCGAGCTGTCGATTATCCTCTTGCGATAAGCGCGTAGCCCCATGCCAGAAGTGGACAGGTTGTTTGGGAGGCTTGCAGAAGTCATTATCGCTGCTCAGTCCATCCTCTGCTTCGACCATGTGTGTGTCAAGGTCAACCTTTGCATCCTCTGCTTTTTCCCGTGGCACGAACCCCGTGATCTTGAGTTGACGCACGTGGCGAAAACGGTCATTAGCGCCAAGCATCTTGCTCCATCTTCGTAAGTCGTCGCGTAGCTTCTTCTGACCCCGTACCGTAACCTGCACACGAGAAAATCGCTGTGCTGTAGCCGCGCAACAGCAGTGTTTGCTCGTCAATGAGAAGCCATGCAGACTGAGTTTCTTGCAATCGCGACAGCCGATGTATTCACAGATCAGCTCAAGAAGCGTAGAGGGAAGACTCTCTAAGGCGCTTGCTGTCGTAGTTGTCATGTCTTTATGCTATTCGAAACTATTATTCCCCATGCGACCGGGGAAAGGATGGATTGTAGATGTGAGAAATATCTCTGAACTCTGCACTACTTAAAATAATATAGATCTGAATAGAGATTGTGAAGACATGGGGCGGGGGAGGCGTTGATGGTATTAGAGTCGCCCCACTCGAGTTGAGTTGCACTCGAGGTGGAATTCGCCTAGTCCTCGTCTTCGGCTAGTAGTAGTATCGATTCTTCTACTTTCGGGTTATTTGGCCTTTCTACGGCTCTAATAATAATACCGGGAAAATGTTATAAATTCGAGAGTACCCTTTTAGTGATATAAGGCGATACGCTAGCGATCTGACCTCGTCAAGTATACGATCACTCGCTACTTGACGATAGGATAAGGCCCTTGGTTCTTGTCGTCGTATTTTACTAGACCAGAATGATCAGTATCAAGGGGAATATTGTCTCCTTTAGCCACTGCAGTCAATCCCTTACTGGTCGCAGACTTTCCTCACACCATGAGAATATTTGGGCCTGTTTTGGCCGGTATTCCATCAGCTTGTTTCTACAAATAGTCTCATGGAGGATTGTGATGTTGATTGAGCTAAGTTAACCTACGTCAGGTGTAACGGTAGGATGTTACCTATCTAACTAGTGTACATTGTTACGGAGTAACTAGGGCTCCGCCAGTGGACTGTGTGCCACTAGTCCTCTGTTATAGTCTATCAGGATTTTCTTACTGATAGGATTAGGTGTCTTACTTCCAAAATCGGACTCTTCTGCAGCTCGTAAAACGATATCACTCGGTATTGGCCTTTGCAGACCTCGGCAAACTGATTCGAAGTTCTTTTCAGAAACTGAGAAGGTTCCGAATCCTTGTCCAAGTGCAGGTCTCGAATCAAAGCTTCGTTCGGCTGGCCCTGGACGAGATTCTGCAAGCTTGAGCGTCTCCCGGTGATCTTCTCGGCCTCCTCGTACTTCGAAGACGACGGAGTGTGTGAGCTGAATTGCAGACTTGGCACGTCATCGTCCAATACATCTCTGGAGGTCTCGCCGCAAACATCTTGGCCTTCGACTCCATCTACAGCCTTTGGCAAGGAAAAAATTGAGAGCTCTTCCATATGCTCGGTAATGTGATTAAGGGGTCTCTTTATGGACATCTCTGCAAATCATAATAGGCATTGATCAATGTGTATCGTGAATCGGGCGCTCGCTCATGTCGAGAAGAATGGAGAGGTGACGTTCGTTAGGCGAAACTTGATGCGCTAGCCTCAAGTGATCAGCTATGTCTGATATATTATCAAACATGTGATTACATTGTTTGCATATTTATTGTCTTCGATACATTTGCAACTTATGTACCACTGTCGTGCCTGGTGGCATACATCTGGTTTGGGTCTTCATAATGAAGGAAAGTGCAAACATACGGCCTCAGATCTCGGAATACATGGCGCCTGTCTTTATATTACGAATCTATCTCTAAGTTACTCTATCCGTGGAGGGAAAAAACTTACTTCGAATGTAGGCGATTAGGTATTGTCGTATAGCACAGCTCCATATAGCAAAATGGATATTTAAATTCCCTGACAATAGGCCTTTCCAAAACATATGTAGTAGTAGCTGAAATTGTAAAGAGCCTATTTATAGACGATAATCTGTACTGTTGGTTAGAGAGAGGGAGAAAGGTCAACAAGTTGCGTTTCTGATGACTGTCTAAGCAACATTGGCACAAACGGGGTTCAGGTCCTGGTAGTAGGTTCGAACTGATACAGCCGAGTATGTGTCACGAATCGCCAACCGACATACAATCACAGTTGGCAAGGTTCCTGAAAAAGGGTTTCCCTGCGAGACAAACAATCTGCAACGCAGTCTCTAGTTGCAGTGTCATTTCGAGTGTTTGCGACATTATTCAGCAACATGACTAGAAAAACTTCAACGTGCCCGACGAGGAGCACGGTAGAGTTGCTTGCGTGAAATTATCACCTCGTGAGCATATGAATAGCATCTCATTGAGAACGGTACTTTCTGAGAGTTAGTCCCTACTAAGGAAGAGCTCCATTTCTCACACAGAGCGTTTGGCCACGGCCGCAGCCGCGACGTGGTCAGTCCTGCTCCTATGCGAAACACCATGGCTGGACAAAGATTGGGTTGGAAAGGATGACATCGTGCTCTTTATGGACTATTCGCAGCATAATATCAAAGTGGAACCCGCAGTAAGACTCGCGCACACTTTCTTCGCAGCAGACCTGGTCCCAGGCTAGTCCCAGGGATATCAGTCGAAACGAATTCCAAAGCCAGCAGACACGACGCAAGACGCTGTTCGCCTTGGGTATATTGCTCATCGAGCTTGGACTGAACATGCCATTTGAGAAGCTGCGGGAACAAGCGAACAACGACCATCTGTCTGGAGAAAGCGCCCTGGGAGACGATTACAATGACCCGGCTTGTAAATAGAAAGCCGGCAGGTCAATGCACTGCTGGCAGAACTCACGAATGAGAGCTGTCTGGCTCACCCAGGGTCCGCAGCGTCGAGCGGCCTCGAGCGACTGGTTGGCCAGCGCACCGGCCCCGGCTGCACATTTTGTGTCTGTTGGCCAGATGACCTCTTCACAAGGGTCCGAAATTTCATTGTTCACACCATAATTCTGAATCTCAATTCTTTTCCCCGCAGCCATTTCTCCTCGCTACCAGCTGAATATGATGAATAGATGATACATGTCGTAACTCGGAAATCACTCGCAAAGTAATCCGCCATTTAAGCCAAGCCAAGTCTGCCAGCCCGCCCGAGCCTTGTGTAAGCCGTTGTTTCCCTGTCTATGTGTAGAGAACATGGTGCTGCCACCCTGACTTTTTTCGCTTTGCCATCCAAATTGGTATCACATGTTGTAATTAATAAATTCGACTTACTCTTTCCGTGGCAATTAGCCGCCAGGGAGGTCCGCACATGGCCTTGCTCTTGTGAAGGTCAACCGTAAAAATCCAACCGACTAGGTCAGGGCCGTTCCATTATCGGCACGGAGGGACAGTCTGCACCTTTGCCGTCAACCGTGAGGGAAAGAAACCCCAGTCAGTCAGGCCCTTGGGTGTAGTCTTGACCATCGCCTTCGGTTGCGGTTCTACCTCAAGCTCTGGGTTCAACCTCGACCTTCGTTATTGCCCACACCCGGTCCCCGTCTCGCCCCAACCCCCTTCCTCTCATCATGACCGGCCATGTGTCTTCCACAGCACTTTAGTTTGGGGGGCACTCGCTTGCTAACACTCTGACGTTGTTCAACAGTCCATCAATAAGTTCCCGGTACTTCGATTCTCGCCCTTCCATTACTCTTCTGCCGTGCGCAATCAATGTAGCGCTGTCCACCTCAACCTCCAACTCATGTTCCTTCTCCATCCGCGACTGTCCACGGATTACAGCGGCAACGTTCTGCGTCACCTGAGTTAGGTCAACTTGATAGAAGCCATGTGTGTACGAGAGTCTGTCCTTGTTTCTGTCAGGCAGACGCTCTCGGTTGGCCATCTGCGATTGTTCAATTTCCTCCACGGGTCCATCCCAGTCCCATTCCAGGTTGACGGATATTCTGCAGTCAAGCGGCATTCGCGGTAGATGCAAGTGTATATCGGCGACCCGGGCCTTCACGATTTTGGCGATGACGTCGCCTGTCTTCTGGTCGTAGCTCACACGTGCCTTGACATGGTTCTTCGTCCGGAGGAGCTGCTGCATAATATGCGGCAGACGGCCAGTAAATAACGAAGGCAACTCGTAGAAACGGTCGGTCTCGCGGCGACGCTTGTACTGAATTGGTATGTTGGGGTTCGGTCGACCGCCTTGTGCGTTAGCCGGGTGCGAGTCCTGGACCTTCTTGTTGAGAAACTCGTTCAATTTGCGATGTTGGGTCTGTGAAAATTCCGTTAGTTGGTGTCATGATACAAGCAAATGAAGGACACGTACCTCGGTCATGCTACTGCGGAACGCGACCCGCGATCCTTCTTCCAGAATTATCTCTCCGTAGGCCTGTTTGTCCACGCGAAAGTTGGTGTCACGATCAATGATGGTACCAAGCTTTGCCTCAATCTCGAATACCGCGCCGCGGCCTTGAATTTCATGCAGATGCGGATTATTAATCACATTGAAGAAGAGCCAGTCTCCAATTTCCTTTGAGACAACTTCGGGCGGTTTGATGAAGGCAATACTCGGCTGCCATGGGAAGGGCTGTCCTTCAAACATCATACGGTCATCCTTGGTCAGCGGAGGAGGAGGAGGGTGCTCGTCAACGGCAGGTTTACCCACGGAACGCGAGGCCTCGGGTGAGTTATGACGCGATGCCTCGGAGACAGCGGCGCTGTGAGTTCCATTGACGGCGTGGGACTTGGTCTTGGTGACGAAGTTGCGGCTCTTCTGGGGTTGCTGGCTTTTTCCACTCTGAGCCCAAACGGGTTTGTTCGCGTGGTACCTGCGCGGTGGCATTTTAGGCTGGGGCAAGGGTACGTGGTTCTGGTGGTGACCGTTCATCTCGGGCGGCGGTGGGCGTCGATTTATACCTTCCCTTTCGTCTGGTGCGAGGTCGCGTTCGTCCATCTTGCGCTTGGCAGGAGTTGTTGCTTGCTGCGGTTCCATAGTGGGCATGCTGATTGAGTTTTTCGGTGTTTGATGCGGTAGACCGCCTGCACTGCTTGGCAGACTGGGGATACGCGTCTTGGGTGAAACGCTCATGCTATGTTCCCGTTCGCTCCGAGACTGTTGCGATTGAGATCGTCGGTGCGGTTCGCTGACAGCGTCGTAAGAAGGTATGCGTTGCACAGAAGAGGGCTGCGGCGGTGGCGGTGGAGTCTGTTGGTGAAGCTGCTGTGATTGAGGAGGATAAGTCCGTTGTTGGTAGGGGCTTGGTGGTTGTGGGAAATTATTGGGAGCTATTGATTGTTGTCGAGACGTGGCAGACAATGGTGGGCCCAAGGGCGTGGGCGGTTGTGACGATTGTCTTTGATAGTGTGGTGCAGGTGGCTGATGCGTCGTCGCAACCGGACTGGTCATGACCTGCGGAGCATACGGAGTCCCCGCGCTGGTGCTGTACGAAGTCGCGTGGGCGTGCGCAGAGGTCGGTGTTGATGTGGGAGTCGACTGAAGCGATTGCGATCTTTGATGTAGATAGGCATTACTGCCACCTGGTGTCCCTACTGGCGGTGTCTGTGGCATGGGCTGCTGTCCCTGCATATAAGACACTGATCCATGAGTTGTGGGGATGCCAGCTGGCGGTGGAATTGAGCCAGGCTGGCTGGAATAGTTATCGCGAGGGTAAACACTCGTCGGGCCGTACTGATGTCGCTGCTGTGGACTGGGCGGCGGTTGTTGGTGTTGATTCTGCCCTGGGAACGGATATCCACCACTGGCTGCACTCAACGAGGAGGTCGGTGTATGCCGGTATGGCGACGGGTTGGATATGGACGCGCTGCCGGGGGATCGAGGGTCGCTGGTATGGAGAGGAGGAGGAGCTGGTCGTGATGGGAATGCGCCCGGCGGCGGATGGTAGGAGGTAGGCGATGCGTACGGGCCCGGAGGATGGCCAGAACGGGCTGCAGGTGGGCCGTATTCGTGCGGTGACGGCGCCGGAGCATGAGCTACAACGGGCGAGGCGTGGACCGAATGGCTGTAATCTCTGAATGCATGCGGCGGAGGTTCAGCCTGAATGGGCGTATGCGGTGTCGCTCCCACCGACGACGGCGTTTGGGACGGAGGAGCTGGAGTGGGTGCTGGAGCGGGTGCTGGCGCTGGTGCTTGCGACTGTGGTCGCGGTGCGCCTCCAGCGTCCCCGTCGTTGTTCATCAGGCTCCGGAGGTCCATTGTCGCGACGGTTTCGTCTGTCTCCCTTTGTTCTCATGCAACTTGGGGCTCTGTTCCACCTCTTCCAAACCCAGATCTGCTCGTTCCTTGCGCCCGTCTTTTCTGTCACATTCAGACGCACCCGCACTCGCACTCTCACTCGCGCTCTTTCAATTTTGGTCTCCTACAGCATCACCAATATGTCAATGCAGCAACGCGACGTCCGAGGCAAAGTCTTCGTTTGGATGAGGTAGATACAACAGTCGTGGGCTCGAGAGTTTGCGCTCGCTGTCGAGCTCAGCTGACTGCCTTGGGTTGTCGAATCGATATCGCGATGGTCCCAACGAGCTGTCGGTCAGTGTCAGGGTAAAAAGGTAAGGTATCCGGCTCAAGTCACGTTCCGACATGCGCGTTCTGCTCAGGTTCGCGATGCTCGAGCGTAATGCGAATTTCGTCCAGATTAATGTACAAGGTTGTATGCGTGCGGTGTAGGTTGAGGCAGCAATAATTTGTGTCTTTTAGTCGTCGCAAATGCTGAATTTTGTGCGTGCAAACGGACGATACCTTAGCTAAGATGAGGTAGCTGCTGGAGGTTGGTCCGCGTTGGTCTCGAATTCAGGCCGTTACTGCTTTTCTGCTACTATGCTCCGCTCAAATTTGGTCCACACTGTTCGTTCACTCGCACTTGGGTAGCGGGAGCCAGGGGGCCTGTCACGTCGTCGCGATTGGGGTCCAAACGCTGGGTTGAATTAATTATGTTGACAAAAACACTCAAGTTGTTCAATGAAACACTATGATGCTGTTGACACTCGACACTTGCAGTCGACGCGGTTGATTCCGTTTCGAGGGCTGTTGGGTGTTTTAACAAGTGTCCACTCTATCGAATTCAGGGATGAATTGTCTCCATGATGCTTGAATGCTTTTTTGCGTGCTCGAGCACAGCCCGGCTCTGTCCCCGGTCGTCAATAGCCTTGAACGAGTGGGTTCGCTCATGTAGCTGACGATAGAAGAAGGGGCGGCTGGTACTTGGTGGTGATAGCCACTTCCGGCACAAGAGACAGACATCTGACTGAAAAACGAGCGATAAAAAACAGCGTTGATGTTATGGATTTAATGTTCAGCCGGTTGACTATATATGTCGGTAGAGACCATCAAAGTGTTTGAAAGATGTCATTACTCTCACGGCTTGATCCGGTTGCTGCCTGATGGGACATCTCGAAGTCTCGATTGTCACAGACGGTGACTGTAATAACTCAGTTACATGGGGAAGCGACACTATATCTCACTGTCGCCAATGTATGGCCTTACATGTTTCTTATCGGAGATGCTTGTCAAAGAGGTCCATATTCAGAGCAATAATGAGAAAATTGATTGCGATTGACACGTTCAGTCACACAGTGTCATTGTAAACTACGGCTCAATGAGGTCTAGAGGGGTTTTGCAGGCAGCTGGTGAAGCTAGTGGGGTGCATGGATTGAATGTCACGCCCATTGTCTTCCAACAGCTAAAAGAAGGTCATTTTGAAGATGATATACACAGGAAAAACGACTGCCACTTGACATAATGCTGTCCGCAAAGGGGTTTGGAGAGAGCTGGATTCAGTATTGATTATTTTGCGACCTCGAAGTTCCAACAGAAGTATTGCACGATTTATATGTATACCCATCCCAATTGGCGGCAATTCAAACTACCCACGCCCAAGCTCCGAAGCTCCTCACTTCTGCACCAAGGGAAACTCCGACATTAGCGCAACCCGGGCCACCCTGCAAGGCAGAGCTCCTGACGTGTTCCTGTTCCTGCCAATCTCGTAATCTTGAGCCTTGCCTTCCACTTTGACTTTCAAGATTTCATCAAGCATCAACAAACCCCATCCATCTCCAATCCAGCCCGATCAGATCATCGCCCCATCCAAAAATGCCCGGTCTCACGAGTGCCAGAGGCATTCTTTCTTTTCTCAGCGAGGACGAGGCCGAGCTCAAGGTTTTCGCTTTGCAGACGCTGAACGACGACATTGACACGGTTTGGATCGAAGTCGCCGGTGCCCTCGGTCAAATGTGCGCATTTGCTTCCTGGTGATTGATCCATGGTCACGAAATCATGCTGACAATGGCTTCAGCGAGGCTCTTTATGAAGATGAATCCTTCCCCGAACGCAAGCTGGCGGCCCTGGTCCTCTCCAAGGTCTACTACCACCTCCAGGCCTACGACGAGAGCATGTTCTTTGCTCTGGCTTCTGGAGATCTCTTCAAGCTAGACAGCCCTGGCGAGTTCGAGGAAACCATCATCTCGAAGTGTGTTGACCACTACATCGCCGCCAAGAACGAGAACCACTCCATCCTTCCTCAGAAGGAGAAAGACACGGACACCTCTCTTCCAACCCTGGCCACTGCGTTCAGCGGCAGCAACGCCGATGGTAACAACGCTTCGGCCTTGATCTCGCCCACGACCCCCTTCTCCCAGTCCACCCTGCCGTCCAAGTCTCTGCTGTCCCGCGCCTCGACCGACAACACCATCATCGAGCCCTCCTTCGAGCCCCCCAAGAAGCAACATCGATCCTCGTCCATCGCGCTCACCCACAACGAACTCGACACCCGACGAGCCATCGACAGCGTGATTGAGCGGCTCTACGAGACTTGTCTGAAGGAGGGCCGCTACAAGCAGGTTGTAGGAATCGCCGTTGAAGCCAAGCGCCTTGATGTCGTCAACAAGGTCATCCAACGGGCTGACGATGACCACGTGAAAGCTAAGGGCAAGGGTACCGACGATGAATCTCTTGGCCCTGCCGAGGAGCTTATGGACTACTGTCTGAGCATCTGCATGGATGTTGTCCAGGAGCGTGCTTTCCGTGACGAGATTCTCCAACTGGTGCTGGACATCCTCACCAGCGGCAGAGCCAAGGAGCCCGACTATTTCTCCATCGCAAAGTGCATAGTCTACCTGGACAAAGATGAGCAGGCTAGGGCCGTCATCAAGCGTCTGGTGGAAGAAGGCACCCCCAGTTCCACCGCCATTGCCTATCAGTTTGCATTTGACCTGTACGACAACGGCACGCAGGAGTTCCTGGGCAAAGTCCTCGCTCCTTTGCCCAGGGGCGAGCTCTCTAAATCAGAGCCTGGCACAACCGGAGGGAATGCGGACAGCGAAGACGCCACTGAGACAGACGCTCTGCTCGATAAGACTGATAAGAGCTCTACCGAGCACAGCTCTGTTACCCTCACCGAATTGGACGAGAAGAGGGGCGGCATATATAAGAACATCCGTTCCATCCTCGATGGCAGCAAGACCATCAGGCTCAACCTCGAGTTTCTGTACCGCAACAACCACACCGATTTGAGCATCCTTAACAAGGTTCGGGACAGTCTCGAGGGCCGCAACTCCATCTTCCATACAGCCGTCACATTCTGCAACGCCTTCATGAACCAGGGTACAACCAACGACAAGTTCTTCCGCGACAATCTGGAGTGGCTAGGCAAGGCTGTTAACTGGTCCAAATTCACTGCTACAGCCGCTCTCGGCGTCATTCATCGTGGTAACCTCTCGAACTCTAGGAAGTTGCTCGAACCCTACTTGCCAAGAGGGACTGGTGGCATTAGTGGTGGCTCTCCCTTCTCCCAGGGTGGTGCTTTGTACGCCTATGGTCTGATTCATGCCAATCACGGTGCTGGTGCCCTGAGCTACTTGAAGACCCAGTTCACTGCTGCCGAGGAAGAAGTCATTCAACACGGTGGTGCTCTGGGTCTCGGTATCGCTGGCATGGCCACTGGTGATGAGGAAATCTTCGAAAACCTCAAGACAGTTCTGTTTGCTGATTCTGCGCTCAACGGCGAGGCTGTGGGTTTAGCTATGGGTCTGATCATGCTGGGCACTGGTAATGTCAAGGCATTGGAAGACATGGTTACCTACGCACATGAGACGACTCACGAGAAGAGCGTACGCGGTCTGGCACTGGGCATGGCTTTGATCATGTACGGCCGCCAAGAAGGTGCTGATGTCATGATTGAAGGTCTTCTAAACGACCCGGACCCGACGCTGCGATATGGTGGTATCATGACAGTGGCCATGGCCTACTGCGGAACCGGCAGCAACAAGGCTATCCGTAAGTTGTTGCACATTGCTGTCAGCGATGTCAACGACGACGTGCGCCGAATCGCCGTCATGAGTTTGGGATTCATCCTGTTCCGCAAGCCCGGCAGTGTTCCACGCATGGTTGAGCTCCTGTCCGAGTCGTACAACCCCCACGTCCGATATGGTTCCGCAATGGCCCTGGGTATCTCGTGCGCTGGCACTGGCTTGGACGAAGCTATAGATCTCCTTGAGCCCATGATGAAGGACCCTACCGACTTTGTCCGTCAAGGCGCCCTCATCGCCCTGGCCATGATCATGATGCAGCAGAATGAGGTCATGAATCCCAAGGTCGCTGCTATTCGCAAGACACTGAAGAAGGTTTTGGGCGATCGCCACGAGGATGCCATGACCAAGTTTGGTGCTGCTCTTGCGCTTGGCATCATCGATGCTGGAGGCCGCAACTGCACTATCGGTCTGCAAACCCAGACGGGCAACCTCAACATGGCAGGGATTGTCGGTATGGCCGTCTTCACGCAGTACTGGTACTGGTTCCCATTCACCCATTTCCTGTCTCTGGCCTTCACCCCGACTTCCATCATCGCCCTCGACCATGACTTGGACATCATCGACACCAAGTTCCACTGCTCTACCAAGCCCAGCCTGTTCGACTACCCGCCTGAGCAGGAGACCAAGGCCGAGGAGGGTCCTGCTCTGATTGCCACCGCGATCTTGTCTACCACTGCTCAAGCCAAGCGTCGTGCGCAGAAGAAGGAGAAGGCCCAACGTCGCGAGAGCATGGACATTGACTCTACACCTACAGTGTCCAAGCCTGCTGCTGAAGACAAGATGGAGCTTGACAAGCCTGCCGAGGAGAAGAAGGAAGAGTCAGCCGAAAAGGACAAGGAGACTCCGCCTCCTGACAGCAAGAAGAAGGCAGAGAAGGAGAAACCTGGCTACGAGGTCGACAACATGAGCCGTGTTCTACCCGGACAGTTGAAGTACATCACGGCTACGAAGGGACGATACTGGCCCGTCAAGCTGGTACGGCCTGGTCCTTTGGTGAGTTAACCTGATTCCTTCCGATACTGTAATATTTACTGACTTGCGATAGCCCACTGGAGGACCCATCTTGCTCCATGACTCTCGGCCTGACGAAACCAAGGCACTTATCGAGGAGAAGCTCCCGAAGGTTTCTGTGGATAAGGCGCCAATTCCTGGTGGTGCCGGAGGTGCTGGAGGAGTCACTGCTTCTTCTCGAAGAATCAATGTTGAGGAGGCTCTACTGCGCCAGCTGGGCATCTCTCCAGCCAACTTGGGAGTTGGTGCTGGCGAAGGCGCGGCTGCTGCGGCTGGTGTCTTGACTGCTGTTGATGAGGATGGTGAAGGTGCCGAGGAGGCTTCGGTGCCCAAAGACTTCGATTACGAGACCGATTCTGAGCCTTATGAGGAATAAGGGCAGCGCGATGGACATAATCTTGGTGTACGATGGTGGTAACATGTAGCATAGTTAGACATTTGTAGCATCCCTTGTCACTGCGCTGTCACAAGGCATAGACTGCGTTCTCTGCGCTATCAAGCTGTTGCTTTTCGAACCTCGTACTTTCGGCTCAGTTGCACGCATTTGGCCACATACTGAGCGTCTTCCATAGTATGGTGTTGAAACGAATATCACCCCCGGACTAATTCACGAAACATGAATAAAAACGCCAAAACCCACACGAAGCTGGGTACCCGACCAAGCCAACTTGCCTCGACAGCCCTCAGCCCACACGCCCATTCCACGTTTGCAGCTAGACAACACCAGCGACCCGTCATCCCAGCAATGCGACTTCAAGCCTGAGTTTCACTGCTTCCAGTCATGTCCCATCTCGGCTCGGCACAGCATCATGAATAAAGTCTAGGGCCGGCATTAGTATTGTGCATCTTAGGTAAGCACAAAGGGAAGGCAGCCAAACTCACCAAGCTCAGATCCACCCTCTTCGCAACGCGGGGCTTCCAGACGCTCTTGATTTAGCTGCCTGTAAAGGCCCTGTCATTATACTCGACCTTGTGGATGACAGTGAACGCAACACCGCTAACGCTGACGGTCGTCATAGTGGCCAAGCCGTCGTTAGGCCGTATCACCACCAGTACCTACTCTCTGGCGGCGGTTTGGAGCTAACGGCCGAATACGAGTTAGCTCAGAACGGGTAAGAGAGATATGAAGCGATAGAGATAAAACCACCTGAGCTGAATAACAGGAAACCTAGCTTTGATTTGGAGTTGATTTTCATCCCCAAGGCTTGGTTAGTAGCCTAGCAGAACCCTGATATAGATAGTCTTGCTTGTCTTACAGTACCACCCAGGCTACAAAGCCACCACTAATAGAAGCTTGAAGAAAAGCACCTCTCACATCTTTGTCAAATTCACCTACTCTACTTATGTTCCTTAGGGTCCATGCAGAGCTCTAGAACATCAACCTGCGTGGTTTGTAGTTTGTTGATACGTGACCCCACGGTGGGTTACCCTGTAGCTATAGATAAGATAGATAAGATAAGATGAGAGCTATAAAAGAGCTCCGCCAGGCCAGAATAGCTGACCTGGCCAACCTTTCTGGTACGAAAAGGTAGGGGGACCCACTGGTTAGGTGAATCCATTCACTTGGATACTATAATGTTGCGCACTACTACACTATAATGCCTTTACCTCCTAGTAGCATGCATCACTTTCCTACTACAATAATTCACATCCCATATGCACCTGCATCATTTGTACTAGCAGCAGAGGTAGATTTAAGTAAACCACAACTCGATACAATCATGTAAAGGTAATTATAGCACTTAATACCACGGTAAGTCATTCATGTTAACCATCCTTCCGGGATGGGCAGATATATGGCATTAGTAGGCTGCTCTAAGACGGACTCGAAAATCTAATACCTTTGATACAAAGAGAACGCATTTGATATTGTAACTGTTTTCCAGCTTCCTCCAGCTGTAAATGTGGTGGCTTAAATTACAAAGGTACACATATGATACGTGACCCCAGGGGGGGTTGCCCTATAGCTAGAGATAAGATAGATAAGAGCTATAAAAGAGCTCTGCCAGGCCAGAATAGCTGACCTGGCCATCCTTTTCCAATACAACAATTCACACCCCATATGCACTCGCATCAACATAAGAGAAAGCATAAGAGCACCAGAGTAAGACCCCTTCTTCTACGGGTATCAATTAAAGCAAGTGAATTAAGACAATCATGATGACTCTATGGCAGCCTAGGGTTTCTCAAATAAACTCGCAAGCCGTTTGCATCATTTCCCATCAGAAATACGTAGCTCATCTTGCGTGACTTCCGTTCTTAACTTCCGTTCTTACTATCCGTGAACACGTCTAAACAATCACACAATCACTTCCACCATCACCAATTCTCCAACCAAATATTAGTAAATTTAAGAGCCCAACGCACCAAAGCCTACTTCCATGCATCTCATAATGGCTGAGAAGAGACTGTGCCCTGATCTACTTGTCCTCAGCAGTGCCCTCAAGAACGTCAAGACCAAGGAAGAGATCCAGGAGGTAAGAATTGTCTTCTCAGAAATAGCGTTCACAATCAACTGGGCCAGGTTGAGTCTCCATATGAAGGCTTTTGTAGCGCAATCACTCGTCGATTGGGAAAACAAGTGGAAGTCTTTCTATAATCCATATCTGATCCGAGATGAGATGAAGCCTCAAACCTGATCCTGAAGACGAATCTCCCCTGGATCAAAGTACACCTCATGATCCCCGCTTATGACAAGAACTCTAAATCCTTCATGAACCTCGTTCTTAACCATTAACATTACCTTCCGACCTGTGCAAGCACCAAGTGTGAGAATCTTTCTGGCACTGAACAACAAACTTGAAGCATTCCGGGCAGATGCAGAATTGGCCACCATCGCAAATACCGCATATATAACAGTCACTACTATCCGGAATATATAGCGTGCAGACGTCGCACCAAGCTGATGATGTAGACGTTGCTAGCCCGCTTTCCTTGCTTGTGTCGTTTTCGTCGGATTGCAAGCCTACTCTAATGGCAATTCGATGGATAAGCTGAATGAGTTGAAGATTATCACTCCTTTTTGCCCACCACATCAATGTCCGGCCGAAGGAATCCCTCAAGGTAATGCAGGTATCATCCATAGCGAGTAAGAGCTCTGATACTTTGATATGTCCGTTTCTTACTGCCGCAAATAATGGTGTTGCGTCGTAGCAATCCTTGCTATAGAGCTCTGAAGGATGTTTGGCAACTATTAGTTGCACTAGTTCATGATGTCCCCGCATCGCAGCAAGAAAAAGTGCCGTACGTCCATTGCTGTCTTTATTCGTAGCGTCAGCTTTAGAGTTTCCGAGCAGCATTTTGAACACTTCTGTGTGTCCGTTATATGAGGCTGCGAGTAGTGGTGTCCATCCACCCTTATCTGCAACAGTGAGATCGGCCCCTTTCTCGAGCAGGATCTTGACCACTTCGGCGTGTCCCTTAGTAGAGGCATTCTTTAGTAGCGTCCATCCGTTCTTGTTTACAACGGTAAGATCGGCCCCTTTCTCGAGCAGGATCTTGACCACTTCGGCGTGTCCCTTAGTAGAGGCATTATTTAGTGGCGTCAATCCGTCCTTGTTTACAACGGTGAGATCGGCCCCTTTCTCGAGCAGGATCTTGACCACTTCGGCGTGTCCGTGATATGAGGCTATGTTTGGTGGTGTCCATCCGTACTTATTTGCAACAGTGAGATCGGCCCCGTTCTCAAGCAGCATCTTGACCACTTCGAGGTGTCCATTCCATGCAGCCAAGTACAGTGGTGTCCTTCCGTCTTGGCCAGCATTCTTACATTCCGCTCCTGCTTGAATTAGCAGGTCTACCATTTTCAGTTACCCTTGAGACAAGCAACTCCTAAAGCTGTTCGTTGTGAACCCCCCTTTTCGTTTGGATCATACTTGCGGGTATGAAGGACATACCTTATTGTCTCCACCATTCCAAGTCGTGACGCGTAATACAAAGGGCCGGCAGCAGTAATATAATTTTCTCCCGCTATGGCCTTTGATTCTTCATCATGTTGGTCAAACCGTGCCCTCCAGGCATCCCAGTTTGTATTTCTGGTACCGAAAAATCTGTTGATATCGCTGACAATATCCGTATCGTTTGGCTCGCTCACAGTTGCATGTTGATACCATGAACCTGCTGCATAATCTCGGAATGACCGCTGGACTTGGTTGTCGTCTGTTTGAAGGGTTTCTTGCTAGACTGCCCGGAAATTCACGTAGCGGAGACACAACTTCCCGAGAATAATATTCTGGATAACCTCGTTTGATGACCTTAGTCGTTCATTATTCACTAAAAGGCTACCCGGGGCCGGCATGTTGGAGATCAAGTACTCCCTGACTGAAAAATGAGTCAGGTGTACGGTTCTCACTCCCACAGATGATTCTGATGAAGTACCCTGAACTTCTAGGAGCGAGCCACAGAGGCCGAGTATCCCGCGATTAACATAATCTTCGTTAATAGAATCCGGTAAGTCTTCTACCGGGAGATCGTCGCAATCGTTATCGAGAAGCAGAGCTTCGGTTATCTCGCAAATCGTTAATGGTCGTAGAGCAAAGGCTGTCCAGCGTAGCAGAGAAAAGGCTCGAGTCCTTTTCAATATTGGCAAATTCGAGATATCTTTCCAGTACCGCTCGTAAGTTTGCTCAAGCCCGGCTGGGGTGTCTTCAATGGCGGCCCGAAGCTGGTTTCTACTCATGTAGCCCTCCAAGGAGTCCCCTTGAAACTTTAGCCGCAGGAACTGTCCGTCGCAACGATTAGACATTTCCTGGGAGATGCTATCCTTTACCGATTCCTTTTTATCAGGCAATTTGCTGTTGACAATGCTTCTAGAATACAATAGCGTGTCGCGTCGGTTATCCTCCGTGGAGATCTCGTGCTTAAAGAAACTCTCGCTCTTACGACTGAAGAGGGCTTGCCGAATTTCAGGTTCATCGCGGCTAACAATTAAAACCCGAGTGTTCGTACCTGCGACTGCTTTCCTAAGCGTTTCAAGAAATCGGGCCACGGAATCGATATCGTCCACTGTTCGATATTCTCTAACCCAGGTGCATTCATCTAGGCCATCCAAAACGAAAGTGCACTCGGGTACAGCGTGGACGATATCGCGGAACATTTCGACGACATGTGCGCGCGTTGCTGGCTGTCCTCCTTGGGTCTCCCATATATCTGAGACGACTTCAAATGCCTTGGGACGGGATAGTAGTACCTGGGATATCCATGATCTTATCGCCACATACGGGTCTCCGCGGCTCTCCAATTCGGACGAAAAGAAGAAATGCGCGACGGACGCGTCAGGGAGAGTAAAGAGATGCTCAATTACTCTGGCACAGAGAATGGTCTTTCCGAACACAGCAGGCCCATGGACCCACAGAAGCTTGGAACCTGCTGGGAAATCGGGTGAAGCCCATTGACAGAAGTCAGGTCGGTCCAGGATCCAGTCGCATGTGCCGTGCAGTCTCCTTTGAATAGATTTGTCATAGACCTCATTCGCTCTGTAGCCACCTAGCAGCCAGGTGCATACATCCCTCCGTGTCTTGG